TTTCCCCTTCGCTGTGGTGGAAGATGGATGACCTTTTGCCAAGATGTTGCAGAAGGATTCCTGTTCAGGTATGGTTTGGCCTAGATGTTCTCAGGATCCTTCCAATTCTGAGATTCTTCTAATTGGTCTCGTGATTCAACTAGTGGCTTTCAAACACTCACCCTATAATCTCCACATATTCCTTCATACCTTTGGCTAATAGTGTTGGGAGTCTAGGACTGTAAAATATCATTAGTAAGTTACAGAGCAAGGACTGGGCATAGAATCACAGCACTTTAGAGCTGGAGCACCACAGGTGTTCAATGATGTCTACCTTGCCAGCCTCAGCCAACAGATTCATTTGTTTTGCTTAATTATACTACTTTGTTAGAAGGGAGGGTTCTGCTGGGTAGTAGGAAGAAGTCATTGAGAAAGAGACAACAATTAAGATTTTTAAAATAATTCAGGCTTTTCATCTACCTAGGGCAGGGGTTCTTACCTTTCTGTTGTGGGCTAAAGCCTATGAATCTCTTCTCTGAATGATAGTATAGAGCCAGCTAGTGATATAGTGGTGGTGAGTGCTGAGCCTCGAGGCAGAACCTGCATTCAAATATTGTCTTAGATATTTAGTAGCTGTGTGTGACTCTAGGCAAGACACATAACCTCTGTTTGCCTTAGTTTCTTCAACTATAAAATGGAGATAATAATAGCACCTACCCTCATAGGGTTGTTGTATCATTTGAGATAATATTTGTAAAAAGTGTTCAGCACAGTGCTTGGCACAAAGTAGAGGCTTAATAAATGCTTATTCCCTGCTCCCCCCCCCCAATTGTTGCCTACATTTTCTATAGAAGGAAATGTTACATGTCAGTTAGAAGTTAGTTAAAATAAAGATGTAATTTTTCCCCTCATCCAAGTTGGACCTCTGAAATGGATCTGTGGATACCAGGTTAAGTACCCTTGACCTAGGGTCTTGAGTTGGGCCTATGCCAAACCTCTCTCCTTAACATCCCACACCCATATACTCTTGCAGAAAAGGCTCCCCTCACCTCCTACCCCCTTGCAAAAAAGGCTCAGGTCTTGGTGGGTTGGCAGGGCTCAGTGCCCAGGAAGGCTGTGGTTTCCACACCCTCATAGGTCACAAGTTTCAAACTGCACACCCAGCTGGGCCCAGCCCCACCCAGACAGCTCTCAATGCAATCATTTCCAGCTACCACAGCAACCGGGAAAACCACTTCCCTTTCATACCCATCTGATCTCAGGGAGACTGACGAGACTAAGGCTATGTCAGAGAAGCTGAGGAAAGCTGGTTATACTCAAGAGTAATTTAACTGGTTGCCAAGACAGAAATGCCTCACTGCTCCCAATGCACCTGCAACAAATGAGAGACAAGCAGAGGTCCACACACTTGACAACCACTGTACTAACTCGTTGATAGCTACTCACAACCTCCCCCTGGTAACACGATTAAGGGGGAGGTGGGGGTGGGTGGGGTGGCATAGACAGCCCCTCCCTCTTTGGGATGGGAAGATGGCTCACGTACGTTACAGGTAGACTATCTCTAAGTCTCTCACAGGGTGGACTCGAGGGCAGGAAAAGAGACATGAGAGAGCAGCTGTCCAGATGACTCCAACTGCTTGAGGAGCTAGTTATTATGGTCCTGAAATGACAGAATGTCCTAAGGCTGCTGTGCTGTCCTATGGTGGAGAGAGAGCTGACTGTCAAAGGATGACTGCGCAATGTGCTCATACCATCCATACTTCAGGAAGCAGCTGTGAGGAAAGGCCTCTGCAAATGTCTTCCCATTAAGCCCTCATTTTAAAGTTGAAGAAACTGAGTCCAAAGAGCCTTGTTCAAAGCTTCAAGTTAGTGGCAGAACCAAAGATAGCACCAACGGCCTTTAGATTCCTGGTCTAATGCATTTTCCGTCATACCACAGTTAAATATGGAGGTAAAGAGTGGCTGGCTATATGAAAACATGGGAGAGACCAAAAAGTCCAGGTGCTACTTTCCAAATTCTGCACCCCTTCCCTCAGCAAAAAAAAAAAAAAGATTATGGGGTTTGGATTACTTACTGGCTATATGACCCTGGGACAAGTCACTTAAGCTGTGTTTCCATTTCCTCATCTGTAAAATGGGAATGATTATAACACCTACTCACAAAGTTGTAAGGATCAAACCAGTCAACATATATGAAACACTTTGTAAACCTTAAAGCACTGGATAAATACAATAATAATTATTATTACTACCTCAGTGTTCCGTCTTTAGATTTTCCCAGAGTATCATTTAGATTTCACCTTTGCCCCTGTAACTCCCCTACCTGTGGTTATATTTATCTATGGATACAAACCATTGGCATATCCCTCCAATTAGATTAGGACAATCTCCTTGCTCCTTCAGGTAGGAACTAGGTTCTCTTTTATACTTGTATCCTCAGTAGTTCCTTGTATACAGTATGTATGGATAACCACTTTTTGAATGCCAATTTTACTTCATTAAGGCAGGTTCTCAATCATAGGCATATTGGTGCTTGCTAAAGTACTGAAAGGGCCGAATGAGGTGGTAAGGAGGATTGTTAATTGGGGGCCCCACAGGTTGTATACTCTGCCCTGTGCCACCACAAGGCAGATGGACAGCAATCTACAGATGGGGGATGTTCTTACTATCCCTGTGACTGGTGCAGAGCTTGGATAGAAGAGATGGGCAGAGTAAGGTTATGGACATACATAACTGTCTTGTTCCAAAAGCTTCTGAAATGTGTGTTGCTTTCCACCAAAACAAGAACAAAACACACCCCCCTCCTATTACTGAAGAGGCCAATGCCACCGAACATGTAAGTGTTCAGAGCTTCAGAGTTGGAGTCCTTTTGATATTACAGATCTTAACCTGAGGAGGGTGGGGAGAACCTTGCCTCAGAGAAAGGGCAAGATGGGAGAGAACGTTAGTACTAGACTTTGGCTGGGTGGCTGCACTGCTATTGTATCGTACTGGTTTCCCACCTGTTCCAGAAACAGTGAACTACGGAATTAGCTGGCAATGCATGCTTTTTGTGCCACCTGCTGGCAATCTCTCTGAATTATGGGTTTTGATAGAGGTTAGATGCTATATCCATCTCTTATCAGAGCAGGCCATTAAAGGGGCAGCCTGTAGCCCCTGTAAAGTTGTACTTCCCTTTCTGTTCTGAACCACACAGCTAGCTGCCAGAGTTCTCTTATCTATTGGCTGGGATTTCTCTGGGGAGCAGGGGGAGTAGGGGATGTGAGAGGTGTGGTTCTCCAAAGAGCACGAGTCATTAAATTCTCAAAAAACATCAACTCACTTTCATTAAAAATACATGGCAGACAGAAGTTTTCTGCAGGGGTGGAGGAGGGAAGTTAAGGGAGGGAAGGCACAAATTGAAACCAGATACATTAACAGGGAAGGAGAGAGGTCAAGATTCCCAAAAAGTTAAGTCACCATGCCTAGGAGAAAAAAAAAAAGCTGTTATAAGAAGAAAGGGTGCATGGGGGTAAAATGCCTGTGTAGGCTAATTTGAATTCCTGTAACCTAGTGGGCCTAAGAAAATTATTTACAATGCTGGTCTATCCTAGTCTTAAAAGATCCCACATTATTTCATAATCTTGGATCTCCTCAGATGTCATCATGTTCAATTCATAGCAAAATCCTCTCTATAACTTCCCCAGAAAATGGTTATCCACTCGAATCGAGGGTTCCCAGGATGGGAAATCACTACCTCCTGAGGTAGCCTATTCCTTTTTGGACTGACTGAATTGTCAGGAAGCTTCCCCTTACACAGAGCTACAATCTGCCTGTCTCTAAGCTCCACTCACTGTTCCTACTTCTGGGACCAAGTAGAACGACTCAAATCCCTACTTCCACTAAGGAATGTTGGATTTCAGATACTTTGAAGCATTTATTATCCCACTCCCTCACCTTCTCTCACCTCCCCTTCCCTCCGCCCTTCTTCTTCTTCTCCTTCTTCTCCTCCTCCTCATTTACTGAACCTTAAGGTCAAGGAATAGTTCCACATTTAACCTATGAAAATCTGGCATTAAATAAAAGCCAGTAAGATCTAGATACCCCAGCATCTCCCTGTTTTCTCCTGCACTCCTATTTACAGGTTCCTTACCCGCTTGGTTTGACTCTGGCCCAGACAGAAGGAACAAGAGGGGCATTCCACTCTGCTATACTGTCCTAAGCCTGGAGTGTTGGGACAGGTCCTTAGGCAGTAAGTAGACTAAAGCTCAAAGTCACAGGCCTACTTTCCCTTATCCCTCCTGATGAGTCTCAAACAATACACTCTTCTGGATCTGGTACCAGAAGACCCAGGTTCAAATGGAAGAGGGATCAGATTTATTCTGCTTGGTCCTAGAGGGCAGAACTATAAGCTGCAGAGAAGGTCTATTTTGTTTCAATAGAAGGAAAAATTTGTTTAATAATTAGAGATGCATAAAAATAGAATGAACTGCTGTTGGTGAGTTTCATGTTGTCCCTATCACTGGGGGTCAAGTGGAGGCTGAATGACCACTGGGGAATGTTTGCATCTAAGTATGAGGAGGAATTGTTTCATTTATTGTATCTGCATTCCCAGCCCCTAGCACAGCAGCACTTAGGAGATGCTTAGTAAATGTTTCTTGAATGATTAACTGTGGACAGGATTCCTATTCCAGTACTGGCTGGACTAGACCTGCGCAGTTCTTTCCAATACTTAACCATTTGCTGGCTGTGTGATCCTGGATGAGTCACTTAATCATTTTGAGTCTTCATTTTAAGTCTGTAAGATGGAGATACCAATACCTACACTACCTAAGTCAGCATCACTGCAAACATCAAATGAGATAATGCACACAAACACACTGTGAACACTAATGGCACTGTGTTAAGGTGACAGCTATTAACATGATGGGAATATGCCCTGAGAGAGTAGGGACAGCACTGTTTCCAAATGGCAGCTGGAACTGTGACCTGCCTAAGAGGATTAGGAAGAACTAGTACTCTTACACCCACTCCCCCCCAAATTCAATGAAACTGAAGCTTTTATACATCAGAACGACTTCATTTACAATATAAAAACACACAACTGCAGTGACTGTTGGAGAAACCAATACAAGTGGTATAAAAAAGGTGGGTTGTGGGGATGGGATGACCGGGAGGGAGCATATATGTAGTATCACATATTTACATTCAATACCAGGCCCCATTCTACAGCTGAAATTTGGGGCTGCTTCTTACCAGCTAAGTGCATTAAGCATTGGGTCTAGCTAATATAAGAAGCACCAAAGTGAGCCTGCTGGAAGTGAATCACAAGGCTCTTTGGGGCTCTCCCGACACCTGGTCAGGCCCACTTTCCCCAGTAAAATTCCTCAGAGCTCTGAAATTCATAAGCTACAGTCTGAGCTCCAGTTCCCAAAGCTGTATTCCTCCCTTCCCTGTGTGACAGAAGAAGAAGGTGAATGAAGCATTCATTCAGCACCTGATAGTGGCAGCTGAACAAAGCATGGTCTGGGCAGACTGTGTTAAACTGCGTCTATACTAGGCCCATGACACTTCTGGTACCCCAGAAGGCAGTGGGCTAAAGAAGGCCTTTAATCTGGATGCTCCTACAAAGATATGCCATGAGATTGGCCTGGGGAAAGGCAGTCTGTGATGGGGCCCGAGGGATAAAAGAGAACTGATATTTCTGTATAGCTTGTTGGCTACAGACCCCATCTTGGTCACTGGGCCTATTTCTTGAGGCCAATTCCACTGATGTCTATAGGGCACACTGAGTCTAGTTTTTCTCACGATGGAGGGTGGGGGGCATCTCACTGTTGACATGATTATGCTCCTTCATAGCAGGAAGTGTCCTTGGCCTGAGGCAATCCTGGAGCCCAGAAAACACAAGGTCATAATTGGGAGTGAGGTGGGGAGAGAAGAGATTACTCAGCACCAAAGCCATTGTAAATCATCAGCTGGGAAATCCATCCATAGCTCTCCGGCAATTGTCTCCTTTCATTTAGTGATGCTGGGAGAAGTGAATACAAATACCTCTTCTTACAAATGGATCATCTGCACCCATTTGTTCCAGTTCACTTCTTGTGGGAACACGCGGCCCATGCGGAGCGTACAGTCTATGGTGGGCTCATAAAACACGGTCAACCTCTCACTCAGGCCAGGGGCCGTCACCTCCTCTTCTACTGCCGGTTTGGAGAAGAGGGAAACTCCAGGTGGTTTGTTTAGGAAGAATTTTCTGATACAGCCAAGCGCTTCTAGACCCTGAGAAAATAAATAAAGACAAAATGTTTGTCTTTTAGACACATCCGTGGGCCTCACCACTGGTCTGAGCCTTTTCATCCTGTGAACTTCTTGGCCAAGCTTTCCCACAGACCCTCTATATGGGACTCAGTGCTAGTCATCATGCAGCTTCTTTCTGAATTGCTTTTCTTTTTCAGTTAGATCTGAGTAGCTGTGCCAAGAGAATTTCTTTCATATATAAATTTGATGTTCATGGCATCCACCCTGGCGCTAAGAATTCAAGTCCTAGTACAAGTCTCCCACTTCCTAGATATGTGGCTTTGGGGAAGCCATTCAAACTCTCTGGACCTCAGGTCTTTCACGTGTTAAACAAGCTCCCATGCCTAGAATGCTCTCTTGCCTCCCAACCGTCCTCTGCCCTCCTTCAGCAGAATCAGCTCACATTCACCTTCTGCCAGGTCTAGCCCAGTCCCTGCCACTGCTAGCACCTTCCCTCTGACATAACGTTCTATTTACATGATACATATCTTCTATGTACATAGCTATTTGCATGTTTTCTCCCCCAACAGACTATGAGCTCTTTGAAAGCAGGGACTTGGGGTTGCTTTGTTTTTGGTTTTTTTGGCCTTTTTTTTGTGTGTGTCCCCAGGGCTCAGTATAGTACCTGGCCCAAGGTAGGCTCTTATTAAACGCTTGCTCATTAACTGACTGGACTAGATGATCCCTGGATCTCTCGGTTTTAGTAGCCTATGAAGTAAGTCTCTGCTCATGTCAGAAGGACACATACTTGGAATTTTTTACCCAGCACAGTAGATGGTCTGTACTGAATTATCCCCATTCTCCTACTTGTAAGATGGGAGACCCAGATTGCTAAGGATCCATTTGAAGTCAGAGAATTCTCAGTCTCTCTGTCTCCTTGTTCTCCAAAGCACAACTGAACCTAAAACTGCATCTTTTATCACTTGTGCTCTGGAGAACAAGCATCTTTTTCTAAATCTGTGTATGGACCTGGAGAATTTCCAACACTGCAATGGGCTGCAGGACTCCTTGGTAGTGCTGAAGCAGGGTATTCTCGGGGATGCCAGGCTTGGTCATGATGTGGTAGAGGACAGCTTCCATCATCCCCTTACAGACTGGCTTATTTAGATGGCCATCCACAATGCGCCAGGGCCTGCCAATGAAGCAGACATTCTCACATTCCCTGTTGGAGAGACAGACGATGGATTTAGTGCTTATACCTGGTATTAATGTTACTGGTGAGTCAACATCTGAGGATGCGCAGAAAAACAGAGGCGAATGGCTGTATATGCTGTCAGACTTAGTCTTGATACAAGTCAGTTTTGCTTACTTGGTTTTTTTTTTGTCATAAAGGAATGTTCTATGTTGGTAGGCATGGTATATTGGAATATCTTAGTTTGAAATACAAATGGCACCAGTGAAACCTAAGTGAAAAAACAATCATTTAACTCTACTTACTTTTCCCGGTTTGCTTGGGAGAGGCTGCCTGCTCCAAAATTGTCTGCTAGAAAAACAACAGAAAGAGAGCATTTTTTATATATATATATATATATATATATATATATATATATATATATATATACACCTTTTCACAAGAAAAAGAATCATTCCTTTTGAAACAGTGTCGAGGATGGTTGGCATCTGGGAGCCGCCTGCAGCTAAGGCCTTGTAGAAAACTGGACTTTGTGCTCATTACCAAGAATATGGACATAAGTAATATTTCCATGAAGTTTACAAAGACTGACTAAAGAAGACATACTTAGCCCAACAAACACATGATAGGAGAGGAAGAAAAGGTTATAAATGGAGCAAGGAAAAACAGGCGATAACACTTAACAAATACATTTTGGTAGGAAGAGGCACTGCCTCAATGGGTGTTGGCCTCTCAGGGAGTCACACAAAGCCCTTTTATCTTTTTAGGAGGACTCCTGAGGTGCTAACCCTGTGGCTGACCATCTGGTTAGGAGACAGAATATCTGTAGTCAATAAACTGCTTGTGAACAGAACCCAGGAGCACATCAGAAATCCAAGGCCCTGAATCCTAGCAGAGGGCTTTCTCTCAGTGGGAAGGTTCTCTGCACTCAGTGAGCCAGAACACGTATCCTTCAACTGTCACTTGTTATGCTATTGGATTTTCTTCCAATTGAAGGAGAGCTTTGAGATCCCATGCACTTAAAAAAAAATGGAAACCAGTCCCTGTTGTCACTAAAAAAGAAAGCTTCTTTTGGGCAAGGAAAACTGACACTAGAGTATATTTTTTGTAAAGGTTTCTGGAAAAATTAAGTGGGCCTAAGGTGAAAAGAATATTCCCCCAAAGGTAACATAACAATAAGAACTGACATTTATGTTGTACTTTATAAAGGACTTTCCACAAATTATCACATCTGAGCTTCACAACAACTCAGAGAGGCCGCAGTAGTACAAGTACTCCCATTTTATGGATGAGGAAATCAAGGCTCAGGAAGGGAGGGCATGTGACTCTCCCAAGGTCATATGCCTAGTCAGTGCAGCTCCTGAAGCACAGCAAGGAAGGAAGAGAATAGGAAGCTGGCACACATGACACCCTGCTAGACTCTCTCTGACCTTCAAGAGTCGGCTCCTAAATGGCATATTTTGAAATTGTGCTATGACCTTGGCAGGGCCTCAGCTCACATTTCATAGCTTTCTCCTCAGATCCACCAACGGGGCTGCTGGTGGTGATGGTGGCCTAAGTATCGCCCCGGTTTCACACAGAAGGCCATGAGCTCAGCAGGGTTAGGTAAGTCACTCTGAGAAGTCAGTCAGTGGCAGAGCTCAGATAGCAAGGCCAGAGCTCCTTCCCTTCGTTATCACTGTCATCAGCCCCTTCAGCTGCAGAGAGGCCTACGTGTTGAGGGGAGCAGCAGAGGAGCCTCACAAAGGCCATCCTTCCCGTTCTCACTCACTGTGCTGTCCTGGTACCTAAGGCAGTACGTCCAGAGCCCACGCTGAAGCAACGAGCTAGTCTGGGCTCGGGCCAAGCCAGTTCTGGTCTCTGGGATTTTCAGGGTGGCTCCCTCGCCCAGCGGTCTAGTCACATAAGAACAGGATAAGCTGGACGAAATTGTTCAAACAGAGCCTGCATGGCGACCCCCCTGGGAGGCTGCAGATACAGCAGGTGAGGTAAGAATTTGGATCAGATTCCCTCCAAGGTCCCTCCAAACTGCCAAGATCTTTATGCATGTCATAGGGGAAGGAACGCTGGACAGGCTGTCACAAGTCGTCCTAACCCAGACATTTATTAGCTCCGTGACCCTAGGCAAGTCACTCAACTGTTCTGAGCCTCAGTTTCTTCTTCAGTTATTTTTTTTTGTTCAAGTGAGATAATGTACATGAAAGTACTCTGAAAGCTGTCAAGCTAAATACAAAGTGACATATTCACAGGAAAAATCTGCATTTTCTCCCACCCTAAACCCAAGTGCTAAGAACTGGCCTGCAGTGGTAAATTAATAACCTGGGGAGAATGAATTATCCAGTGTTAATGTCAAGTCAAAGGGTGCTTAAGCTGCTGCCGTACCTTTTGGGTCCTCATAGCCCTCGGGGGCCTGGGGCTGATTTCCAGGCTGCTCTTTGTCTGGCATTTCCAGGTCACTGGCATTTCCCCGATTGCCTTCAGTCCCTGATAGCCTTATGGGAAGGTCACTTTCACTTGATTCTAACTCAGCTCTGGGTGCTGGAGTTTCCAGGGTTCTTGTTCCTTCATCTGCAGGGAGAGCCCCTTTCTCTTCAGCTGGACTGGGGCAATGCTCTAGGCGTACATCCCTCAGAACAGCCTTCTTTGGGGGTGGCTCATTCATTCCTTCCAAATCACCTTCTGTACCCTCGTGAGTAGGGTCAGGGCCCACATGGCTGCTGTGCTGTGCCTTCCTCTTGGCCTCCCGAGGACCCAGTTCAGTTTCCTCAAGGAAGCTCCTCTCTTTGGAGAGCTCCTCCTGGGTTCTCAGCTGCAGCTTCTGGCTGGGTTGGTGAAGATCCTCTGTTTGTACATCAGTTTCTTCCTCCTTGTTCTTCAAGCGCACTGAGTGTAACAGCCAGGGTTGGGCAAAGATCATTGCCACCAGACGCACAGTGTTGCCTCCAACTTCCAATACTTGCTGCAGAGCCAAGAGGTCCTAGGAAAAGCAGAAAGGCCCATCTTGATATGTATTTGTTGACTGTATTCTGTATCTCCCTCTCCATGGAGGTATGTGGAGATAGGGCAGCATAACTCTGTTGGGCTGACTAGCTTTGGAAAGAGAGAACTAAGGCATTTCATTTCAATACCTAGAGTTAGCTCTATCTTGTCACTTCTCAGTTGGTCCTACCTGCTTGCCATAGGCTAGGGAGGGTGGTGACTCAACTTTGAAAAAGTTATGTTTGATTTTTCCACACCAGTACCCTGCTCCCCATCCATCTCCTTAGTCCTCCACCTCAAAGTGTATATTTATTTTTTAAAATGAACATGAATTTAAATTTGTTTTGAGAATTTAGTGACTCTACCTTGAGGAAATGGAGACTTCCTAGAGGAAGTGAGAATTTTCTGCCCTGGCTCAGGGAACCCCAGCAGCTGTTTGTAACTAACTCAAAGTGATCCACAAACATACACTTCCATTCAAACCAGACCAGCAGGGAGGGACAGACTCAGTCATCATGAGTTCTTTAGGTCCTGGATACGTGTTTGTTTTAAATTGTAATAGGAATCAGTCTATTTGCTCATTTAGAGGCAGCAGGAGGAATGTGATTACCTCTGCAAGTTCTATCAAATCACGAGGACTTTTAAGTCCGTAGTTGTCAGAGACTGGGATTGCTAGAAAAGAATGTGGCATCTTATTCCTATCAATATACATAGTCTGGAGAGGTGGCCAGTGGGCTGCACAGACAGCATCTGCTTTCTTAGCTTCTGGCCCAATAGTTCAATGCTTCTCAAATACATAGCTAGGATGATGGGGCCTCATAGGAAGCATGTGGGCACCACCCCTGCAGGTGGGCTGGGGCTTAGGGTATTTGTACCTGGCTCTCTCATCAGCTACTCTGAGGTGATTGCAATGGGAAGGAAAGGGATGGAAATCAGGTTCTAGTCCTACTTGTTATTAGTTAGTTAGCTGTTTGACCTTGGGCAGTTAAACTCTCTGAGTCTCAGTTTCCTCATCTTTACAACAAAGGAATTGGAAGAAGTTATTCTGTCTATCTGGGAAAAAAGGTTTCCTGCAGTCTTGGCTCTTCTTCAATATGGACTGATGACTCAAGACAGAGAAAGTTCATCACCCAGTCACTCTCTATTTCCCACTTCAAATTTCAGGGCCAGTAGTGACAGCAGGTCATATGAAATTAATCTAAGCTATTCACTGAGAATTTCAGATCTTTTGCTGGGAATAAAAGTTTCGATTCCTGGGTCTCTGGAGGCCTTAAAAGATTACATATACAGGATACACAGGGGAGAGCAGATGATCATAAGAGAACAAAATCGTTTCATATTTTCTAATGCTAAGCATAAATAGTAGTCACAGGAATATTTCTTTTTCCTTCAATGGATACGCAATATGCCTAGCCCTGATTAATGCAAGGGAAGATCCAAACCCATTTTTTCAAATGGTCTGGACCACTGAGTCCACCTGTACAACAGACCTGCAGCTTGTCTAAAACAGTCTTCTAGAAGTGCCTAGGGTACCGAGAGGTGAAGTGACTGATCTGGGTCACCAGGCCAGAATGCGTTAGATGCAAAGTCGCTGTGGTGTACAGAACAGAGACTCATGTAAAAGTGACTTATGACTTTCTGAAGCCTTGGCTCCGTACCAGGGAGCAATATGAAAGAGTGATTTTTATTTGTAAAAATAATCACTTACTGAGCGATTCTCTTAAAGACTGCCCTTGGCTTTGGATCTGGGGAAACTAGAAGCAGGTTCTAGATAAGTCCCTTCTTAAGACCCTAGCTTTGTCCTTTGAAAAAATCCTAACATTGTCCAAATGCTCCCTGAACTTCAGGATATAACTGAATGGTAATCCCTCCAACCTCAGACATTGGGAGCAAGTTGCCATCTTCATGTCTTGGCCCTGTGCTCATCTGTGAAACAGAGGGCTGTCAATCACCCTTGAACTACCTCCTTCACAAGCTGCTGTGACGGAAGCATTTTTCAAAGTGAAAAGAGCTACAAAAATGTGGACTATTATTATTTAGCTAATACATTTCGAAGAACTTTTGCATTTATTTTCCTTCTATGTAGGCGGTGTCCAGTTTACAACAAAACTGATAATGAAACTTGATGGCCAACTAACCTGAATATACTCTGACAGGGTCCTTGTGCGTTCACAGTCTATCTTCTCTAAGCTGGAGAACTGGGTGCTCAGCTCCACCTTGTCTACCCCAAAATGGGAAGCAGCTGCAATGGTGCTCTGGATCCCTAAAGCAGCAGACACATCTGTGGGCTTATACCCATAACTCTTCAGTTGTTGGACAAGCTCATCTATGCTGCAGGAATTTTCCTGGGTATTTATCAACCTGGTGAAAGCATCAGGGAGGCAGGTGACCCCAACTGCCATCTGATCCATTACGGATGTCACTGAAAAGAGAACAAACCCATGGATCAGAGATTTTTTCTAAACTATTACAAGACAAGAGGCAGAAAGATTCCTAAATCTTCTCTAAACTGGTTTATTTACCAGCTCCTGAATTATCCTGGTATCTTCTTTCCTCACAATTTTTCTTGCTTTTCCTGGAATGTCCTCCCTTCTGATCTGTGCCTATCCAAATCCTATGCATACTTTAATTCTCAGATCCAACTAATCTCCATTTCCTTTGTTTAAAACCTTCCAGCCCAGTCCAGTCCAATTCAGCCCAGCCCAGCGTGTAGTGGTGCTTTCCCCATCCTCTAACCTCCTACAGCAATCACTGTCTGTACAATCCTTTTCTCAATTAACTACGTACTACCCTGCCATCCATGATTAACATGAACAAATCTTAAAGCCCCCTATTGGTCACGTGTTTCCATCTTGTCTTCCCAACTAGTCTGTAAGATCTGTGGGGCCCTGATCCGGTCTTATGGGCCTTCACAGCCAGCCTAGCAAGAGTCTGGTGCCCTTGGGCAGTTCTCAGAAAACAATGATTTCTCTTGATTCAGTTACATCTCTTTGCATTTTATTCATTGCTCAAACAGGTATTAAGTGTTGACTGCATGCACTGCATCCAAAGCTGGCCTTCAAAGAGATTTTCAAGGCAAAAGAATGAAATCTTGAGGTCTGACGAGAGTTTTAGGGTATGAGGGTAAAAAAATCCTGTAAATCACCTGTCATTTCTCTCCACAGGGGAAAAGCACCTAGGGCAAGGGACTGAATTGGGGCAGGCCAACAGGTGACTCCCATAGCACTTCATGTCTCTGGCCACACACTGCTTTGTCTAGCTGGCTAACTCTATGACCTGCCACCTAGGACTCCTGGCTTCTGGTTCAGAGTCTGGAGCACCAACACTTTCTGTGCAAGAAGTCTGCCTGACCAGGAATGACAGTGTCAAGCTACTGGCTGTGCCTGTTTTCACAAATTTCTGGGAAGGAAGCATTTACCTGGGATGTTGAGGTGTGTGGGTAGTGGGGTACACCGTAGCTTCATTTTCATCTGGCAAGAATTCACTACAATGTTGTCATTGGGATTCAGGTTCCTAGTGTTGACAATACCAGGGGCATAGTAGCCCCTCATCAGTAAGTAGTTGGTGTGGGAAGCCTGGTGGGGTTTCACTTCTATCCTGCGTTTGGCCGCAGCACCCTCATCCAGCTCTTCCTCCTCTTCATCATCATCTTCCAAGCTACCATCCTTTGCCAAGCTAAGAGTAAAAAAAAAATTGTATTTATCCAAATAAATTGCCTCTTTTCAAGAGAGGACTCAAAATGAACCATAAGAGAAGAGCTTATCTATTTGTTCTATCTCTTCTAGGATGTAAACTTCTTGAAGGTAAAGGCTGTTGGTGACACTTAGATTTTTGATGACCTAGTGGACATCCAAGGTAGTGGCCCTGATTACCCTTTGTTTGAACTACTGCAATAGTTTTTTAACCTCCTCCCCTAACTCTAATCTTTCACATATTTGCTAAATTCATTTTCCTAACACACAGTTCATATTACATATCATATTTTGCTTTAAAAAAATCATTTCATGGCTCCTTATTGCTTAGAGAATAAAGACCACACTCCTCAGCTTGACACTTAACTCTGATCCAATCTGGCATCATCCAGCCTTACGTCATGCTACTTCTCTAGACCAGACTGCTCTTTGCCCACTACGTTCATGGTTTTCCCATATCTCTGCCTCTGATCACACTGTGCTCTATTCTGTGGCATCCTTCAAGAACCACTCAAATGCTACTTCCTCCAAAAAGCCTCCCCTGATTTTCCCAGTTAGGAATGATCTTTCTTTTCTTTTATCTTGAAAATCACTTTGTATAGGTCTTAAGAATTTCCCACGTTCAAATCTGTAATACAGATAGACATACACACATTTACCCATTAGACAGTAAGTTCCATTAGGACAGAAATCATGTCCTATTTAATCTTTGTACCTGCCCCCAGTGCCTAGCACACTGTTTTGCAAACAGTATGTCCTTAACTGGACAAATTGAACAGTAAGTACTTAATGAAAGTGTCTTGAATTTAAATGTTTTTATCATTTGAATTTAACTTTAGTCCACCCTTTTTGTTATCTAGGTCCCTCTTTTGATCCTCTATTTCTGTTTCCCCCTTTTAAAAGTTTTGTTCATAAATAAACCTATAAAAACATGTAAACATAATTGATTGTCCAATAAGATTCTGCCACTGATTGTGGTATGACCTAGGGCCTTTCTTAGGTCCTCAGCTTTCTTATTTATGAAATGAGGGGGTTACATTAGACAGATGATCTTTAAGGCCCTTTCAGGCCCTAACACATCCTACGTTCTATGGGAAGTCATGTTGTCACAGAAACTGCACTGGACTGGGAGGCAGAAGACCTGGGTTCAAATCCTGGATCTAACACTTAGTAGGGATGTGGCCCTGGAGAAAGGATTTGTTTGAGCTTTAGTTTTTTTTCACTTTAATTATGTGGCCAATCAGCCTTAGTACCTCTATCTAAGAAAAAGGTGAGAAAAGCACTTTGTGAAATTTGAAGAGTCACAGAAAGGTAAATAACAACCACCAGTGCCACAACTATGGCACTGCTGCTGATGACACTTGCTGTGGCTCAGGGGAGGTGCTCTGGAGGCCCTGGGGTCCCAGCTACCTGGCAGCGGCTGGTCTTACCTCTTCATGACTTCATTCTCGACCATAGAGCTGTCTACCACCACGATCTGCTCAGGGATTCGTACATCTACCGCAAGAAGTCCCAGAGAGAAAAGGCTGAGGATGGCCACACAGTGGCCTCCAGGGCCATCTAGCGAAAATGCCACCATGTCAGTCATGGCACCTTCTGGTTCCTTGAAGGAGAAACTGTCTGGCTGGTCTGCCTGGCCAACAGCCTTGACCTTCTCAAAGAACTGGAAAGATTCTGTGCAGACTGTACTGGGGAATCGCCATGTAAAAATCCTAAGCATTGGGGAAAAAAACAGAAATAAGTAAGAGAAGAGCTTCAATGTAGGGCTGAAGGGGAAAAAAATTTGTTTTGATTTTAAAAGAAAACAAACCCCAAATTCACATGGAGGTGAAAGAGTTTCTTTTTAAATTTCTTATACATACTCAAGCCCTTGTCCCTCTCTAAAAGAGCAATTTTAAGAAAGTTAAATGAATTAAGGATTTGGAATCAAGTCTGGTTTGAGTTACTGACTCTGCTACTTAACATCTGTGTGACCTGGGGCAAAAGGTCGACATGTATTTATTATGCACCTATGCCAGCTATATGTGCTAAGCCCTGAGGATACAGAGAAAGGTAAAAACTGTCCCTGTGTTCAGGGAGTTCACAGCCTAATAGGAAAGACAATACACAACTATGTATAAACAGTGTGTGTGTGTGTGTGTGTGTGTGTGTGTGTGTGTGTGTTTAGGAGGGAAGGCACTAACATTACGGGGGATTGGGAAAGGCTTCTTGAAGAAAGTGGACTTTTAGCTGAGACTGGAATCACTTGATCATAAAATATGTGGACTGGAGTAATGGATAAGAAGACTGGAAAGGTAGGAAGGGGTCAAGTTATGAAGCCAAACAGGATTTTATATTTTATCCTGGAGGTAACAGGGAGCCACTGGAATTTATTGAATCAGGGGAACAGTGACGTGGTCAGTCCTGTGCTTTAGGTAAATCAATCTGCTACTGAGTGGAAGATGGACTGGAATGGGAAGAGAGCTGAGGCAGGGAGACCCACCAGAAGGCTACTGCAATAGTTCATATGTGAGGTGAAGAGTGCCTGTACCAGGGTGGAGGCAGTGTCAAGAGAAGAGAACTGGTCTTATACAAGAATTATTATAAAGGCAGAATCCAAAGGACTTAACAGCTGATTGGAGAAAGATGGTGAGAGATAGTGTATCAAAGGCTATAGAGATGTCAAGAAATGCTGAGATCAGGCCATTAGATTTGGTAATTAAGAGATCACTGGTAACTTTGGAGAGAGCAATCATTTAACTTGTCTTATTATTTTCCTCATCTACAAAATGAATAGGTGAGAGCTGATCATTTCTAAGGATCCTTTTGGCTCTAAACCTATGATTCTGGTTGCCTGAACGAAACATTATAATTGAACCGAACCCTACTTCAATTTGCTATTTAATCTCAGCTAAGCTTTCATGGGTATATACGATAATCCTTTAATCCTTCCCTGACTCACATTCCTCACAGTGGCCATTCTAAGCCTCTTCTCAAGCCTCCCACACTATCCACTCAACTTACTCATCTTGCCTCTTAGTTGAGGGACTCACCTCCTACCTTATTGAGAAAAAAAGACCATCCAGCATGAGCCCTCTGCTTTTCCCTAACTCCACACTTTAAAATCTCTCTACCTTGTTCCTCTCTGCTCCAGTGTCTGAGGAGGAGGTAATTCTTCTTGCCAAGGGTAACCTCTCTACTTGTTGCTTTTGTTTTCATGCTTTTCCCATCTCTTCTGAGAATTTACATCCTCCAGCATTCCTTCTTTCATGTTTCTGTTTACTAGCTCCTTCCCAGGTGCCTACAAACATCCCTAGGACTCCTTCTTTCATAAAAAAAATTCTTCACTTGATCCTGCCATTTCCTCAAGTTATCATCTTATGCCTTTCCCCTTTCCTAAGCCAAATTAAAAGAGTTGTCTATACTTGGTGCTTCCCCTTCTTCTCTTTCCATTCACTTCTCAACCCTCTGCAATCTGGTTTTGGACCCCACCACTCACTAAAATTGCTCTCCTCAACCTAGCTGACATTTTCTCTCCTTGGCCTTCATGATATGGTGTTTTCCTAGTTCTTCCCCTTCCCCTTCTGAACGTTCTTCTTGGTCTTCCTTGCTGGATAATCATCCATGTCCCATCCCCTAAGTGTAGATGTCCCCCAAGGCTCTGGTCTGGGGACCTCTTCTTCTTTCTCTCCAAATTCTCTACACTGGGTGATCTCATCTGTCCCCATAGATTCAATTATCATCAGTACTCATATGACCTCTCTACATACCCAGTCCTAATCTCTGTTCTGAACTTCAATCTTGTATCTCCCAATCTACCTCAATGTCTCATAGGCATCTCAAATGCAATGTGTCCAAAACAGAGTTTATGATCTTCCAACCTACACCTTCACACTTCTTTATTTCTGCTGTGGGCACCATTACTCATCGAATCATCCAGGATCAAACCTCACTGATGTTTACTTTTTATTCCCAACAGCCAATCAGTTGTCGATTCTAATCAATTTTACTTCTATAATACCTTTTGCATATAACTCATTTTCTTCATTCATAGAGCACCTATCCTAGTTTAGGCACTCATTACCTCTGCACTATACCAATAGTTTCCCAACTGGTCTCTTTGCTTCTAGTCTCCCCTCCCTCCATTCGGTCTTCTACAGAACTAACAAATGATATGATCAAACTTGTACTTCATCTGCTCAAAAATCTACATGTACAAAAATATTTATAGCAATTCTTTTTGTGGTGACGAGGAATTAGTGTTTGAGGAGATGCCTAACAACTGGGGAATGGCTGAACAAGTTGTGGCGCATGATTGTAATGGAACATTATTGCAATATAAGAAATGACGAGAAGATGCTTTCAGAAAAACCTGAAAAGACTTACATGAATTGATGCAAAGTGAAGTGAGCAGAACCAGAACAACACTGTACACAGTAACAGTAATACTGTACGATAATCAACTGTGAAAGAATTAGCTATCCTCAGCAATACAATGATCTAAGACAATTCTGATGGAATTATGACGACAAATGCTATCCACTTCGAAAGAAAGAACTGATGGGAGTTTGAAGATCAAAGCATACTTTAAAAAATTTTTCATTTTTCTTTCTTTTTTTGGGGGGGAGTTTCCTTTCACAACATAATTAATATGGAAATGTTTTACATGACTACACATGTATAACCTATACAAAATTGCTTGCCTTCTCAATGAAGGAGCAGGGGAGGGAAAGAGGGACATATGGAATTCGAAAAATGTTTTAAATGAACATTAAAAATTGTTTTTACATGTAATTAGAAAAATATAAAGTATTAAGCCCCCTCCCCTGAGTTCTGATAGATACATGGGCACTCACCTATAGTAGGTCTGTGACAGCTGATAAGACATGGGCACGAAAGGCAGGGCACGGCTTTTTTTGGGCCCCAAGGTATGGTTCACACGACGACGGTTCACAAGACTTCTCTTCTGACACTCTACAAAGGCTTTCACAAGGATGTGGTCCTTGTACTCTCGGTAGAGACGGAAAGTCTGTAACAAAGCACAAGCATGAGATCGTGGAGACTAATGTCACAGTGGTCACAGGATCAGTCCTTTTCACTGACTAAAGACACAATGAGGAGACCTCACTGAGCTCATCTTCAGGGACAAAAGTCCAAAGGGTCATGTGATTTAAGAGAAAGGATAGGTCACCAACTCTGAACAAAAGAAATTATTATCAATCAGCATCCCTTCCCTCTGATTTCCAGAAAAGTAATATTTTGATCCTAACAGGTGTTTCAAAGGAGACTTCCCTCTCAGATTTTAAGAGATACTACGCAGAGATAAGGAGGGAGATGGCTGTCCCACTATTTGTTTACATATCAACAGTCAACCAAGCTGTCTGTCCTACTGTGGATCCAACTGCTGGTGAAGTTTATCATGGAACTTGGCAGCCAGCTAGTTTAGAGTTAGAGAAAGAAAAATTAAAAGGATGATGGAACCCAGTATTGTCTCTATAAATCAATCTATAAAAATTTACTGATTCTTTTTCATGCACAAGGCCCTGTTCTGGCTTTTACTTGATAATCATCTGAGCACAGAAGGAGCAAAGGGTAAGAGAATGCTAGATCTAGAAGAAAAATCAGGCACAGAGGTTAAGTGGCTTGTCCTAAGGTCACACAGTGAGGAAGAAGTGGAGGAGAACTTGTCCCTTCCAATATGTGGATGTTTCCTAGAAGAACATGAGAAAAGATATGCTGTTTTCATCACTGTTATTTAACACATATGAGAAGGTTAAGACTTAGTGGGGACATGACCATTGTTTTCAAACACCAGAAGGGCTGTCATATGGAAGAGAGATTAGACTTTTCTCATTTGACCTCAGAAGGCAGAACTAGGACCAATGGACAAAAGTTATAAGACAAGAGAAAAAGGCTTGCTATTCATTAGGACTGTCCAACAATGGAATAGGTAGCTGCTGGAAACTTTCTGTCACTGCAGGTCTCTGAACAAAAGCCAAACGATCATTTGGATCAGGGATTCTGTAGACAAGATTTCTGCATTAGGTAGGGAATGGATTAGGTCAATGAAGTCAAGCTCAAAGAGAAACAGGGGCCACCTAATGTAGACATGAAAATTCTTGAAGGCCATACACAGACTTTGTCTTAAAATGCAATGAATTTATCTTTTATTGTATTTTTACTCATTTTGTTAAATATCTTCCAAATACATTTTAAACTGATTCACGACTCAGGAGTGTTGTGGGTTGCATATGGCCACCTATGGAGTAGCTGACTTGAGATCCTTTCCCAACTTAAAAGTTTTATAAATGCATCTATGAGGCCCAAGGCTATGGGATGCCAGGATTTCTGGGAAGTATAATTACAGGGATACAGATTGCTGGACTGAGACTCACCCATCCTATTTTGATCTTTCTCTTCTTTTTGCTAAATAGTCTGGTGGATGAACTTTTCCATAAAGCAAGAGCCTATGATTGACACGGTAGTCTAGCAGAGGAAATAATTCCTTAGTTCTAGAGTAATGATTAAAGAAGTTGGGGTTTACTTTCTGATTAAAGACGTTTTGGGTTTCAGGTTCCTCTGTAGGAAGTGTAGCTGTAGACTACCTATCTTCTACTTCCCCTAACATCTGCTTGCCAACAAAGATGTGTATATATGTATGTATGTATATGTGTGTGTGTGTGTGTGTGTGTGTGTGTGTGTGTGTGTGTGTAACAAAATTCATCCAGTCATATAATCACTGACAAAGCTGGAAAAGTTCCTTAGTCTAACCCATGACCAAATAATGAATGCTATTTGCAGTGTTCTCTAACCTCTATTTCAAGAATCACTCAACACCATTTACTAAATGCCTACCTACTACATGTCAGACGATGTGACAGGTGCTAGGAATAAAAGATAAAACTGAAACAACCCCTGTCCTCAGGGAGCTTACATTCTATTGGGGAGATAACAGGTACATAAATTAGCACATACAAAATAAAGACAAGTTAAATTTGGTGGAAGATGAAGGAATCACAGAAGGCTTTAGGTAGAAAGCAGAGTCTGACCATGGTTTTGAAGGAAACAAGGGATTATATAAGAGGTAGAAGTGAGGAGAGAGGTGAATATATTACAGACACGGGGAACAGCTAGTAGGAAGAAGATAGCCAGTCTAGCTGAACCAAAGAGTGTGGGAAAGAGAGTAATATATAAAGTTGGAGAGGTAGGTTGGGGCTAGGCTGCTGGCTTTACAACCCAAGCAGGAGCTTATATTTGATTCTAAAGGTAACAGGGAGCCAATAAAGTTTACTGAGTGACATAATCAGACTGTCACTTTATGAAAATCACTTTGACAACTAGTTTATGTAGGCTGTATTGAAAAGAGTGAGTACTCGAGGCAGGGTAAGCAATAAGCTGATAATATTCCAGGTGAATGGTGATGAAGGTCTAAACTAGTGTGGTGGCAGAGAAGAGATGCATATGAGAGATGGCACAGGGAGAAATGGCAAGATTTGGCAACTGACTGGATATGTGAGGATGGAGAGTAGGAGTTAAGGATAACAGCAATGTAAAGAACCTGGGTGATTAGAAGGATGGTGGTTCATTGACAGAAATAGGGAAGTTTGGAAGAGGAGTGGGTTTTAGGGGAAAGAAAATTAGTTCATTAGCGGAGGAGATTTCCACAAAAATAAATAAGAACTCACTATATCCCAGGGCAAGCCATTTCAATTTTAGACAGTGTTAATTGTTAACAAACTTTTTCTCATATTGAGACAAAAACTGCTGCCTATTAACTTCCCTTAATTGTTTCATCTTTCTGTCCTCTGGGAGAAAGCAGAGTCAATATATTCTCATAGGTAGGCTCTTTAAATATTAGACTTCTCTTCTTCCATTTCCTTTAGTCCAATTTTTCTTCATATGATAGTTTCCAGACTTCTCATCATCCTAGCTACCCTCCTCTGGTCATGTTCCAGCTTACTGATCTCACTTTTAAAATGTGATACCCCAAAACTGGATCCTACATTGCAAATGATATCTAAACACAGCAAAGACCAATAGACTATGACCTCCCTCCTCCCCGCTCCCCTTGGGGACTCCCACACCCCTGTTTTGGACACTAGCATAACCTAAGATTGTATTAACAGTTGTAGCTGTCACAAATAACTAACACAAACAAAGAGGCATTACAGCAAAACATCCACGGACACACAGGGCAGAAATTATAGCTCCACTGGGGAGAGTGTAAAAACCTCCATTTTCAACCTCATCTCCCCTAGTAACATTTCTCTGACCTTCATGTCCTAAAATAGATTCTAAAGGGACATTCATATGGCTTTCGGATACTCTCCTCAACTCTTCATTAATGGGCTCTTTAATTGGGCCTGAAGGAGCTCCAGGTTGTGAAAAAGGGCCCTCCAAGCAGTTTCCCAGGAATTACCTGCTATGACATTTATTTCCATATAACACAGAATTAGTTTTGGGATTTCATAATTATTAGTACTGGAAGGAAGAGGAGCACTGTGGTGGAACAGAAAGATCACTGGACTAGAAATCAGAAGACATGGGTTTCCTTTAGCTGCCACATACAAGGTATGTGACCTTGAGCTCACTACTTTACCCTTTTGGGCCCCAGTGACTTCCTCTAAAAATATGGAAGTTGGATCAGTTAACATTTATTAAAGGCCTACTATGAGCTACGTTGTGCTAAGAACTGGGGATACAAAGAAAAGGGAGCTTCCTCAAGGAGCTCACAATATCACAGGGTAGACAACATGCAAACAAATATATAGAAAGTAAGCTATGCAACACAGGATAAATAGGAAATGATTAATAGAGGGAAGGCACTAGAATTAAGAGGGACTGGGGAAGGCTTCCTGAAGAAGATGGGATTTTAGCTGGAACTTAAAGGAAGCCGGGGCGGGGGGTTGGAGGGAGAGTATTTCAGGCAACGAGACAGCCTGAGAACATGACTGGAGCTGAGAGATGAAGGGTCTTGTTTGTGGAACAACCATGGATCAAAGAGTCCATGGTAGGACCAACATCTAAGAAGACTGGAAAAGTGGGAAAGGGCTAGGATATGGAGAGCTTTGAATCCTAAACAGAGCATTTTGCATCTGATGTGGAGGTGATAGGGAGTCACTGGAGTTTACTGAATAGTGCAGCAACAGGATCAGACCTGCCTGTGCTTTGGGAAAATCACTTTAGTGGCTGAATGGAGTGTGGACTGGAGTGGGGAGAGACTTGAGGCTGGCAGACCCACCAGCAGGCTAATGCAATGTTCCAGGCATGAGGTGATACACCAGAGTGGTGGCAGTGTCTGAGGAGTGACGGGGGAGTGTATTTGAGAGATGTTGCAGAGGTGAAATCGACAGGCCTTAGCAATAGCTTGGGAGTGAGAGGCAGTAAGGAGGATGACTCCTGAGAGACTAGGGGGATGGCTGTTGTCATCTACAGTAATAAAGAAGGTGGGGGGAGAGTTTAGGAAGAAAGATACTGAGTTCAGTTTTGGATATATTGAAAATAATATATGTTCTGGACATCTAGTTTGAGATGTCTGAAAGCCAGTTGGAAATGAGAGACTGGAGGTCAGCAGAAGACTGGGGCAGGCATGGTAAATTGAGAATCATCAGCATAGAGACAGTAATTAAATCCATAGGAGTTGATGAGATCACCAAATGATCACCAAGTGTGGAGGGAGAAAAGAGGACCCAGGACAGAACTCTGAGGGACACCTATGACTGGAGGGTGGGATCTGAATGAGGATCCAGCAAAGGACACAGGAGTGGGGCAGATAGGTGGAAAATCAGGAGAGGCTGGTGTCCCAAAAACCTAGAGAGAAGAGAGCATCAAGGAGGAGGGGCATCAGTGGTGTCAAAGACTGCAGAGAGGTCAAGGAGAATGTGGATCTGGAAACGAAGAGATCACTGATAACTTTGGAGAGAGCAGTTTTGGATCAGATGATGACAATGATGGTGACTTCCCTTCCATTTCTAAAATTCTATGAAGAGCTTTAGATGCCAGAACAGTCCGCTATTACTACATATTTTGGAGCAGGAACTTGAAATGGTCAACTCTGTGCTTTGGCTCTATAAATCTGTGTGTGGGATGGATTAGTGTGCAGGGAGACTAGCGGCAGGCAGGCCTACAGGAGACTACTAGTATACAGTGGCGGTGAGAGATGACGAAGGTCTGACTTAGGGTGGTGACTGAAACAGCAGATAGAAGTGGACGTAAGAGATACTATGGAGGTACAAAAGACTTAATTTGGGCATGGAGTTGATGGGGGAGGAAAGGATGACATATTGCAACTCTGGGTGGCTGCTTCCCTCCTCTGAAGACAAAAAGAGGCATCCAATGAACAGTCTATAAAAATGCTGTCATTTGGGGCAGCTAGGAGGCGCAGCGGATAGAGCACCAGTCCTGGATTCAGGAGGACCTGAGTTCAAATCCAACCTCAAACACTTAACACTTACTGGCTGTGTGACCCTGGGCAAGTCACTTAACCCCATTGCCTAGCCAAAAAATAAAAAATAAAAAAATAAAAAATGCTGTCATTGTACAGGTCTTAGCAAACGTCAAATGCTTAGAATTCTTATATGGGTTTATAGGCTCCATATTCTTCTTTCTATCCTAGTTAAGGCCTCACGCTACATGTTCTTTGAGGCCAAGGCCTGGTTTTCACTATGTCTTAGTTTTCCCTGGTGCCTTGTCTATAGCAGGCACTAAAATACTTGCTCTACTGGAATGGATGGCTATTTGGATTCCTCCCAAGAAGGCGAAGAAACACTGGAGAAGAAAGACTGTGGACCAGTGCTGCTCTAACTCCTCAAAAGGGAAGGTTGTTCAAAATCACACTGGGAGCAAACAGTAACTCAGGAATCAACAAGGGTCTCCTGACCCCCAGTTCAGTGCTATTTTCATTATGCCATGCTGCCTGAGATAGTATGGCTTACTGCTACCTCTCTGGTCTCCAAAGCACACCATGGCATTTAAGGAAATATCTCATATGTGGAGGAAAGTATATTTACTCACAAAAGAAGACAACATACACAGCTAATAAACTTCAATTTGCAGAGATCCCAGGCATGTTGATAGAATTCAGATGGAAGCAGATGGTTTGTTACTTCTCTGCTCAAACCCTAGAATTTTTCTATTAAAATCCAATTAAAATTCTACTTCCTCCAAGAAATTCTTCCATGACCCTCTACCCTCAATCCTTCTGATGGTCCTTACCCCAAAACAAAAGACCTTTTACTTTCTGGATTTCGTAATGAATTTCAGTTAAATTTGTGGGGATTTACAGTTATTTTTTCTTTCTCATTTTATCCTCCCAATGTAAATTCCACGAGGGCAGGGACAGCTGTCTTTTCTCAACTTTGCACATCCTTGTGTACCTAGTACAGTGCTCTGCAAACAGTAGGTAACTAACATACATCTGTTGAATGAATGCCCTTTGAATGAGCCACAACAGAGCTGTGGAACTCAACCACGAAATATGTTTTTCCTGCTATTTCTGCTGGGCTCCCTCTTGTGGCCAAAGTAATGAATTCTTCTCCTTTAATACCTGAGGATACTAAGAGTATTCCTATATACCTGTTAGCTTTAAATGAAAACAAAACAAATTTTTTGTTTTAAAAATAAACTCTTCCCCCACCAAATTAAATTCCTTGTCCCTCCCCTTTATCAAAGTAGTTTGCATGCATAAAGTTAAACTAAGAGGCACTGAACTTCAATGCTAAAAGCTAATACAAAGTGAATTATGTCAGAGGGTCACGAGAGATGACTTCTTATGCACAAGAGGAAGCATGATATGGGGGACAATGCATTAGACTGGGACTTAGAATACCTGGAATCAAATTCGGCTCCACTACTTACTAGCTATATGATCTTAGGCAAACTGATCCACCTATTTGGTGTCATCTCAGTTTCTTCATTTAGAAGACAGATATACTAAGTTCCCTTTCTACCCCAAGAGCTAGTCCATCAGGCTATATATCTTAGACAGACAATGTAGACAGACAAAGAAAGTTAAGGTACACCCAAAGGCACTTGAGAAGCAGTGATGGATGTGCAGGGTACAACATACTACCAATGAAGAAGGGCTCAAGAGAAGAGAATTTTGTAAAAGATGCCAGCAGAGAGAGGTGCAGCCATTAAAGGTGGGCCACTCAAGCAGTGGGAGTGAGGGGTAACTGATCAACAGTCTGTGTGCTCTACTGGTATTTATCCATGTGGAAAGACTATGTCAGCAGAGAGAAGTGGATGCAGGCCACTTTGTGGAAATATCCACATCGATGAGATCACATATCAAACCTGGAAAGACCTATATGGTCTGATGCTGAGTGAAGTGAGCAGAACCAAGAGGACTTTGCACACAATAATAGCCACGTTATGCGATGACTAATATTGTTAAACTGAACCCTTCTCAGCATTACAAGGATCTAAGACATCTCCAGAGGCCTCGTGATGGAAAATGCTGTCCACATCCAAAGAAAGAACTATGAAGTTGAATCGCTATCACTTATTTTTACCTTCTGTTGAATTTTGTTTCATCTTTCTGATGGTTCCTCCTATTGGTTTTAATTTTTACTTACAACTTCACTAATGTGAAAATATGTTTAATAGAAATGTAAATATAAAACCTATATCAGATTGTGTGCTGTCTTGGGGAGGGTGGGGGGGGGAGGAAGGAGGAGAAAAATTTTCAACTCAAAAGCACATGGAAGTGATTGTTAATAAATCAATAAATTAATAAAATTGGGGGGGAAAAAAAAGAAGCTGAGAGACAAGGAAACAAAAGAGGAGGTAGACAAGATGATTTATGTTCCAGGGTACCCCAGAGATAACTTGGCTCCAGCATGGAGTAAAGGACCTGGGTCTGAATTATCCTTCTGTAACTTACTACCTGTGTGACCTTGGGCAAGTTACTTTGCTTCTCTGGGTCTCAGTTTCCTCACCCATAAAACAAGGGGGGTTAAACCAGAAGATCCCTAAGGTCCTTTCAGCTTTAAATCCTATGACTTTGAAAATGTGGCAGTTCCTTAAATGTATTATTTTTATTGTTTCCCTATAGTTCAAAGGGGATTTGAAGCTGGAAGGCACTCTAAAGAGGATATCTTTTGATAGATGAGAAAGCAATAGAGGAAGGATTTAAACCTAGACTGTCCGAATTCAGTGCTGTTTCCCCCCACTACACCATGATGCCATCTGCAAAAAAGCCCTTAGAAAATCTCCAGGTAACTGCTTCAGGATGAAATGGGAGATGAGAGAAGATGCTACTGTGCTATTTGTCAGGGGAATAGGAGAAGAGAAGGCAGGTAGAAGAAAGGGTATTGATTTCCAAGAAAAAGAGCAAGGATCTACACAAGGACAAAAGGGGGGGGTGAACTGTGGCTCTCCTGGGATAAAAGAAGGGATTGAATTTGGAGGCTCTGGCCTCTCCAAATCTTTTACTTTCCCTGAAAGCTGCTCTCTATTTAGATATTAACTAATTTTTTTTTAAAAAGAAGGTAGTAAAATCTCTTAAGAGCTAGGACCAGTGGTGCAAGGTTCCATTAAACACTTATGTGCTTTAATTTCCCCTTCCTCTTAATCTTTTTCATTTGGGTATCAAAAACATAAATGAGGAGTTTTTTTAAATTCTCTGGAAAAGTAGAAGCCTTAAAAGTCCCCAGAACATTACATTTTCAACATGCAGTAATTACTAACATCCAAAATTCTGGGCACTAACATATATAAAAAAAGAACAAACAAACTCCCCAAACTGGCCGTCTATGTTCACTGTTGCTTCAATGACATCCCCATCTCCCTCCTTTTGCTCAATTTCCTGTTTTCAATGTTGCTGCTATTCCTTTTTCTGCTGAAGTGCAGACTGTCTGCCTGCATGGACCCTCACTCCTCTCACATCCCATGGGCCAGAGAGTGGTAAAGACATGGCGGATATAAATGGCAGCCTCCTCTGCAGCGTTTGGAATCATCAGCAAACGCCGTGCATAAGGAGGAAATACCAATCTGATACCTACCTGAAATGACTGACATAACTTCATCTGATTATCCGAGAGGGCCAAAGTACTCTGGATTAGGTTCTGCAGCACCAGAAAGTGAATATCATCCACACTGAAACAGAACAGGCAGGTGACAAGAACGTCAAGCCGCGGAGACACTCTGAATTCAATACTGACACAAAAGAGTCAGCAACCTCGTAAAGTAACGGACAATCAAAGCAGAAAAAAAAACTTCTTGGCACTGAATCTCCCTAGCTGGTTGTCCTTGGCAGACAGAAATGTTTTGAAACTGTCAACTGGGGCAGGTCAGAAGATGATGTTGCCTTATTAGACACATCAAATCAACTAATATAGTGATTATAATAAAAATAATTTAAAATAGCTTTTACTCTAGAGAGAAAAGATTTTTCTTAAGGCACACAATTTAAAATATAAAACTGATACTAGTTTTTAGAACTAAAAGAAAAGTAGACATAATGCAGTTTTCCTACAGAGAAATCATGTGATAATAGTTCTAAGAGGTTACCTTTTTCTAGCCCACCTTGATAATGGAGACCTATCACAGTTATAAAATCAGGGAACTTGAGTGCTGGGAGGAAGCTCAAAGACCTGTGTTTCCTAACCCACACTCTAATACAGAGAAGTGAAAAGCACATGCTTTCCATGACATAACCTGTTCTGCCTGGCTTTCAGGACCAGAAGCTGGAAGTTGGTGAATGAGAATACAGGGAGGAGGAAAGATTTCTTCTTTTGTTTGTTTATAGGTTTGAACTTTTGGCAACAAAACTTTTGTGGGCTATCTTCACTTCCAAGGGAAAAAAAGCAAAGATCTTTCTAGGACTGTAGGATTTACAGCTGGATGAGACCTTATGAGATTATTTCATTTAACCCCTTCATTTAACAGATGGGGAAAATGAGCCACAGAAAATGAAGTGAATTGCCCAAGGTCACACAGCCAGGAAGTGGCAGAATTAGGACCCAAACCCAGGTCTTTTGCTGACTCCAAATCCGAAGTTCTTTCCACTATGCCACACTGCCTCTAATCAAGCAGACAATTTTAAGAAAGACAACGGGTGGCCTAATGACTACAGGGATGACACCTGCCCACACCCACCTGTTAAGTTCATCTTCTTTTCTGCTTTGATCCTTTTCATCCCCGATTGCCAAAACTCTGTACCTGAAGAAGAAACAGAAAAGGGAACTCTCCAACACAGAAAGCAGGCTTTGAACTATTTGACTAATATCAGGGGGACATACTTAACCTAACATCCCTTTATGGTCATCTGTAAACCCTTTGCACCAACCCCAAACCTGGATGTTAAAAGTCAAAGGCAGAAGAGGGGAATTAGACACAATTTTGTAGATGAAAGAGAACAAGGTGGATCCAATAATACAAGGAATAAATCAGGTCATAAAGATAAATCCATAGCCCGGGGGCCTGCGTGGTCATCTGAGTGATCCACTCGTGGCTTTTTCACATAAACAACATTCCAAACAGCTTCTTTGGTACAGTTCAGCTTTTCTTAGTCTGACTCCTTGAGGATATTCTGGCCTTATTTACATTGGTCTTCACCTTGGCTCTAATAACTATCTTCTAGTTATACCATTTCTCCTCCCCACCCCCTCCTCTCCAACCCCACCCCCAGTCTCCAGGACTAGCCCAGATGTCTGCAGCCACACCAAGAAGTCTAATGAATTAACATTACTTTGACATCGAATTTGATAGGTTTAGGCTGGTCTGGGTCTCCAAGTGAAAGGTACGGTAAAATTCCTTTTAAAAATGTCATGGCATGAATTAATTTTAATTCACTTTATGAATACTTCAGAGAAAAGATAAAGTTCTACCTGTGAATATTCTTTGCAAGTCATTTTCTGGAATTTTGCCCGTACAACAGAAAATTTGGGCCACAGGATCACAGAGCTGGAAGTAACCTTAAAGGCATCTAATCTAATCTCTTCATTTTATAGAAGAAGAAACTGAGGTTGAAAAATAATTTCTCCAAGGTTACATCGGGCAACACTAGTCACTCATCATCAGTGTTGGAAGGCTGATGACAAGGAAGACTTTTTTTAAGCTGGGTTCTAGACGAACCTTAACTTCCCACATTTTCCACTGGACCTTCCTTTCTGCCTTATCACACTCTTCTGTACCATAGTTCTTTGTGTGTTTGGCAATTCCCCTTGGGAAAACCATATGCTTCTCAAGATCAGGGTATATGCCACAACTAACTGCATTTTTCCCAGTGTGCACAGCACAGTGCCTCGCATATAGCAGGGATTTATTTAATAAATGCTTGTTGAAATTAAATGGATTCTATGGAGTTAGGACCAAACATATGACCAACTGGGCTTGAATTAATAAACAGAAAATGTTTAAAGAAGGTACTTTAGAACTCAAACTGAAGGGACTTTCTCAGTGAAAATGTAAAACAGAGAAATCATTCAAACTTGAGCCAAGCATGGGAAATCTGGTTTCATTAATGTGAAAGTTTGGAAGTAGAGTACTCAGAAACACAAGTAAGTGACAGGGGACACCCTAGTCATAGGTTCCTATGCAACAGGAATGGAAATGGAAGCAAAGCTGATCAAACCAGGAACCTAATAATAATAGCCCATCCTTCTCTAGTGTTGTAAGGCTGTTAATTTCCCCTCAAGCCCTAATGTAAACAGAACAAGTATTGCAGGACTCAGGCAGAGTGAGTGGAGAAGCCAGTCTGGGCTGGTTGCGCAAGGGAATAGGGAGGCACAAGGCAACCATTAAATGTGCAGCCAAGTACAATTAGACAGCATCATGATTTTCATACTACAGCTTGTCCAAGAGAGAAACATGTGGGAGCCTCAGGCTGACTGCACTTCTCTCACAACATGGACCACGTGAACTGTCCGGGAAGTACTGTACCTGCTAAACAACTCCTGCAGCGTGTCTGGGATTTCGAGGTCAGGATTCCTCAGGGAAGAACTGAACTTCTCTTTAAGCCTCTCCACAAATTCTTTAAACTCTTCAGCACAAACCTTGTGAAAGAAGAGGATGAAACATTAAAGCCCTTCCCTTCCCTTCCCAAAAGAAGGCTATACTAAGTCTCATCCAGTCAATTACCTCATAATGCATGTCATCAGCCTGTCCCCAAAGTGGCCTCATTAGATACCTCCTACACTCTCAAAGCTGGGAGGCCAGGAGAGAGTACCTTTCTAGTGTGTACAGAAAAGAAAAAAAAGTGCTCTATCCGGGAACTATAACAAGTATGAGTCAACTGAGGCTTTGTCCCTTTTCCAGGGTCTACCTTTTCCCCACCCCCTTCAGGGACAGGGGTCAGACTCCTCTGGCAACTGGGGTCACACCTCTGCCTAGTGACCCCTCTCCTTCACCTTAATGTACACCAGGAACAAGACTACCTAGTCCTGGCTTTGCTGATTCTAAGAGTCTGTAATATCCTATCACCAAGGGGAAATTAACAGCTTAAGTTTCTATGTACTTTTATTGCTTTTCAGTGGTGTCTGACTCTTCGTGACCTCACCTGGGGCTTTCTTTGGCAAAGACGCTGGAGTGGTTTGCCATTTCCTTCTCCAGTTCATTTCACAGATGAGGAAACTGAGGCAAACAGGGTTATATAACTTGCCCAAGGCAACATAGCTAGTAAATGTCTGAGGCCAGATTTGAGCTCAGGAAAATGAGTCTTCCTGACTCCAGGCCTGGCATTCTATTAATTGTACCACTTAGCTGCCCAACGTACTTTAAGGTTTAATAAAGTTCTTTCTCTAACCTCTAACCTCTCAGAGATGTTAGTAGCCTAAGTACTGTTATCCTTATTTTAGAATTGAGGCTGGGAGAGCTAAAGTGTTTTGTTCATGGTTGCCCAGATAATTAGTTTCAGAGATGATAAAAACTCTGATTTCCTGACTCCAAACTGGGTCAATAAACATTATCTGTTTATTAATTCATGCCAGTTAGCATTATGTTTGATCTTATTCAGTGAAGTTCAGTTCATTTCAGCAAGCATTTATTAAATGCCTGCTGTATGCAAGGCACTGTGCTGCAAGTACTGGGAAAAATACAAAGCCAGATGTGACACAAACCCTGCTCTTAAGGAGCTTATGGTCTACCTGAGAGGAACTGCCATGCACACACAGAACTATGGTACAAAAGAAAGTATGACAAGGGGAAAGAGAAGGTCCAGAGAATGAAAAATGTGAGGAGTTTGTGCTCTCTGGGTTCATTTAGCAGCCAGTTTAAGAAAACTGACCTTGTCAGCTGCCAACTCCAAGCTCTTTTTCTAACACCACAACGGGAAAAACAAAGGAGCTGAATTGGGGAGAAATATGTATCTGCCTAACTTGTCAGCTGCCTGTCCCCAATTTCCTCATCTTCAATCTAAGAGACCCACTGCCAGATGGTGTCCTTCCATCCTTATATGGTTCTGTGCACCTGAAGCACTGGGGTCCTTCCAGAATTGCAGGCTTTCTCAGAAAGCAAACTTTGTACCCTTCTTCTTAAGCTCTCCAGAGAGATCTGACAGTTTGCAAAGAACCTGGATCTGATCTCTGAAGAGCTGCTCCATCTCCTTTCCAATGAAGGCCTGAGGCATAAGAGCATTCAAACTTCTACCCTCATTTAAAAAGTGACTATGGGAGCCAGTTGAGTAAAGTCCAAACTCAAGGAATTGGGAAGTAGATTTCCCAAATGGTCATGAAAAATCCTATGTTTGCCAGTCAAAGTCCAGCACTGGCATTCAGTAACAAATAAATAAGAAACTTCTCTTGTGGGCCAGAAATCACACTGCTCTTGGTTTCAAGGCCTCATAGCAATTACACCATCCTTACCTCGGGGTCTTGATAGTTCTGTTTTCGATTTACAAAATCCTCAACAAGAGCTTTATCTTGGTACACCTCTGCAAGGCAAACTCTGCATCAGGAGAAGAGAAACAAAATGATTTTGTGTGTTTTAAGGTCCCTTATGTTCTGAAATACCAGAGAATTGACTAGGGGTGCTTCAGTTATGGTTGCAACAACTGCACCAGAGGAGAGAATGAAAGGTGACAGACACATCAATAATAGTTCTTTGAAGTTTCCAAAGTGCTTTCCTCATGGTTACCCTAAGAGATGAGGAGCACAAGTATTATTTCCTCTGTTCTGCAAATGAAGAAACTGAGGCTAATCAGAGAGCTAGTAAGTGTCAGAGGTAGAACTCAAATTCCTGACTTGGACTCAGAGATGTTGATTCCCCTATGGCACAGTGCAGCTTATCTCTTGGGTGTTATCTTTTTCACAAAGCCCCCAACTTAAAAGTACCAGATTTAGGAACCAGAGAGCTGGTCCCCTAATGTTGGTGCCCAATGTTCCCACTATTCTTGCCATGAATCAAGAGCTTGCTTTCTTTCAAGAGGGTGAAGAGTACCACCCAGGTGACCTGACTGCTTCGTAGGAATGACTGGGAGAGCTTTGAGTGTTTTAGAAGGCACCACAATAAAATGTTTTTGTTTTGGGCTGCCTTAGAAGATGATAGCAGCATAACGGATTTACTTAGAAAGTTCAATGGGGGGGCAGCTAGGTGGCGCAGTGGATAGAGCACCGGCCCTGGATTCAGGAGGACCTGAGTTCAAATCCGGCCTCAGACACATAACACTTACTAGCTGTGTGACTCTGGGCAAGTCACTTAACCCCATTGCCTAGTCAAAAAACAAAAACAAAAACAAGAAAGTTTAATGGGCTTTCAGATGATACTTGGGTGCCAATAAGCAGTGCTGGCCTTTATTCTCCAGTTCTAGAACTAAGGAGAAGAAAGCCAAAATGACTTGATTAAATTCACTCAGGATGGCACCTGGATTTCCAACTGTCTAGTCAGTGTTCTACCTGATATTTTAAAGGTAGGAAGGAGCTTTCAGAAGCCTATCCCCTGAGTCTCCAAGGGATGTGCCAGAAAGATATGGAAGATGGGAGGAGAATGTGGGCTAAGGCTGGAGCGATTGAGGCAAGGAGCCATCTGAAGTGGCTGCTCTGAGATAAGGAATCCTTTCTTTGCAGGGGTTGACAAATGGTGCCGGCATAGTTCTATTAGCCCATGATCACCCAGCTACTAAGTGGGAGGAGTCAAACTCCAGGTCTTTTGACTCAAAGGTCAGTGTTACTGCCACCATACCACATTCTACCTCATAGCAAAAGCAATAATAGCCTGTGCTAATCTCCTAAAGCTGCCACTCACTGGGCAAGCTGTTAACCTCTCAACGCCTTAGTTTCCTCATCTGTAAAATGGGGAAAGGCATGTCATAGTAGATAGAGGCCTGGCTCTATCTTCAGGAAGACCCAGATTTGAGTCAAACTGATTCATGTCTATCAATTAAGAAGCCTACTGTACATCAGGCCTTATGCTGGGTTTGAATCCTACTACTAATTACCTGTGTAGCCACAGGCAAGTCATGCAACTCTCTAAGACTATAACTCAGACACAATTTGCCAGTTTGCATCAGTGGAGGAATTTTCCAAAGTGTGAATTCCCTATCTCAATGAAATCACAGGTCTAGAACAAAACTTAGGGGTGTACAGTAAAGGTATACCTGTCCTATCTAAGGTTTATTATGTGGAATACTTTAATACCGAGAGCTAGAATTATTAGAACCGCCTTAACCCCAGGTAAAAAATATTTCTTTACAAATAGCTTACTTATAGTTCAGATAGGCTTGTGGATTTTTGACTATGTAGCGAGCTCTTCGCCCAACTGAATGGGATGTTTTATCCAATGACTCTTCAAAAGTGGCATGCAAAATATCCCGGACAACTTGCCATGGAACAAATGGGCCTTTCACCTAGATCAAATGTGGAAGATAGAAAAATAAGATTTCTTTAAGAAAAAGTCAAACTCCTTTGTCTAGTAATATGACATCACCCTATCTCTCCAGTCTTAATTTATATTACTCCCATATATGTATTTTATGTTCCAGGAGAACTAGACTACTTTTGGTTCCACAGATATAAATGCAATCATCCCACCTCTTTGATTGTGTCAAGGCTTCTGCCTAGAATACTCTCCTCTTTTTTTCCTGAATTTGTCTCTGTCTTTTAAAGCTCACCTCAAATGCAAACTCCTTCAGTTCAATAATTTAACCAGCACTTATTAAGCATTTAAAATGCAGAAGGCACTATTCTAGAACCTGGGGACACAAAGTCAAAACAATGAACAATCCTTATCCTCCAGGAGCTTACAAGGAGGGAGAAGGATAGAATAACATTTACATAGATATGTGAATACAAGACAGATTGAGGAGGGAAAGAACAGCAATAATTAGGGGCCTCTGGAAAGGTTTTCCATAGGAGATAGTGTCTGAGTTCAACCTTGAAGTAAGCCAAAAATTCTGTGAAATGAGGAGAGGAGAAAGTGAATGCCATGCATGCACAGGACACAGCCCAGGCAAAGGCCCAGAAGTAGGAGATGGAATGCTGAGTTAAAGAATAGCAAGAAAGCCAGTTTGGTTGGAAGGTCAAGGATTTGAAGGAAGGGGAATAATGTGCAAGGTAGGCAGGAACCTCCTTTCTCCTGCATGGTTGTCCTTTGCCCCCTCTACCTCACCCTACACCTACCCTCCCACAGACACAACAGCAGGCTTTAAGGACCTTCTTTCTTGGACCTCCCACGATATTCTGTTTTACACTTCTCTAATATAATTATTGTGAGAAATTGTGTAACAGAGCTGTGTTGGTGACATAGAGTGACAAATACTTTATGGAGCCTTTCCTTAAAGCACATTTTACAATGACTAGCACTTGAGTTTATTTACAACTGTTTCATGGGGCATCATACATTCCTTATCCTTACATCATCACTGCAAAGGACGGAGAATTGGGAACATACTGGATGCAGCACCAATTCATTTATTAAAAAAACATTTACCAAGTACCTATATATGCAAGGTACCCCTGCTGGTAGTGGTGAGGACATAAAGATTAAAGTAGAACCTCAGATCTGAGGATTATAGATACTGATTTAGAGCTGGAAGGGACCTTTGAGGCTATCTAACCTAACCCTCTCATTTTACAGGACACACAGACTCAGAAGGTTAAGTGACGCATCCAAGAGGCAGTGAGGGGCAAGGCAGTGATATGAACCTAGGCTCTGTGACCCCAGATCCAATCTTTTCCATTACATCAAGTCCTACAATTGAATTAAAAAAGAAAAATCAGTTAAAGTACAAGATAAGGCAGGCATGGCTAATGAGTAGCTTGTGTGGAAAAGATTTGGGGCTTTTAGGAGCACTGTGAGCTCCGTGAGTCAAGAGTGAGATGTGGAACCAAAAGAGCAGATGAGATGTCAGTGCACATTAGGAAAGGCTTAGGCCTGTGCTGAGGACTGTGGATGGGAGCACTCTAGGGCACTCTGCTCTGGAGAGACCCCATCTGGAGTACCTCGGTGAGCTGGGGCAGCCCACATAGCAAGGTGCCGAGGATCTCATCTGAAGAGTGCCCAGGAGAGGGGAAACAGAAGGATGAAGGGCCTTGAGATACTGTTGCTTAGCTCATGCGTTACTCTGCAAGCGTTACTGCGCTGCTGTGAAGTGGCCCGGGTATCCAAGAGAACCAATGGAGACATCCTGTGTCCAGACACAGAATGGAGAGACTCAGCTCTTCTTTATGCACAAGGAGGTGGTCTAGGGAATGTCTCAAGGAACACGAAAAGGAGACTATCACTCCTTAGTGCCTTGGAGCCAGAGCAGAGGCCCTCAGACTGTGGTACACAAGCTCACAGTGCTTGGCACAGTTCTGGCCCCAGTGAATGCTCCAAAGGATGAGACAAACCAAAAGATGCCAGATTTTTAAAAGGATGTTTTCCTACTCAAAATCTGATTTCTCAGTAAAAATCTAAAAACTAAACATTCAAAAGACATCACTGGGATATACTGTTGGGGTTTTGTATTCCCCACCCAGGGTTTGCACAGAACTGGAGCTCAGCAAATAATTGTTGGATGAGTTGAGTATTTGTAAAGCTCAAGTGAGAGTGCAGTGGAGGGAGGCCCCAGGGGGCCAGACACAACATTTTAGTAATCTATGAGCTAGAAATACAATACTGGGGCACATTATAGGTGGAGGGTAAGGTGGGAGCAAAAGCACGTTCAGGGGTGCCTGGGTAAGACGCACTTACATGTTTGTCAAATGAATGAATGAAATGGACACCGCAAAGAAAGACAGCAGCAGCTGACTGATACCTTTGTGTTTAGGACATTACTGGCAATTCGGCAAAGCATCAGCAGCCCATCTTCCTGCATGGTCCAAGTCACGCGCAGACGTGTCATCCTCTGTAGAGCACTCTGGTCAGCCTCATCGTGGTAGCGCATTTTTTTGCTTTTTTCTTCTGACTTTTCTCCTAAACATGAGAGGAAGAAATATGCTGACTCAGTTTCTTCTAACAAACATCATGCTTACATTTCACAGTTTTATAGGCTTTACACCCAGAAAGGACCTTTGAGATGATCTTGTCCAATCCCCTCATTTTACAGCTGAAGAAACCTCACTGTCTGCAGATTTCACAGCCATAACTTTGGGTAGGTGTAGGGCTCTCCCCCTTCTCCTCCCCCCTTAGTGTTTGGACTGTAGGTGGCAGCTGCAGGTGAAGCTTTTGAGTTACAGAAGGTGGATACTACCTGGCATTACCAGTTTCCAAAAGTTCATTTTCCAGATTTGTTTTGTTTTGTTTTACAAATTACTTCTAAAAAAAAGAAGAAGAAAGTAGGGCAAGAAAATGTGAATCCAGATCCATAATATTGAACTTTCTTAATAAATTCTAAATCTAGATCTTGATAGGCCCTACTATATTAACCTGCTCAAACCCCTCCACAATGGTTTATCCAAAGGGTAATAATTCAACTGTCGCAATTCCATTTTGAATGATATCAGTCAAATGAATCCAGTTCCCTGACTTCCCTATCCCCACAACATATAGATGAAAAACTTAGATATCTTTGGATTCATTTTCAAATAAAAACCTAGATTTTTCTTAAAATTTAAATAGCCACACCAGCTAGATCTTTATGGAAAAATCTGGGCTACTTCTTTGAAATAAAGCAATCTTTAAAAAAATCAAATATGCCTCCTTTCATCTCAAACTGTTTTTCCCTGTAAAAGACATCTGATGTGCAATCTTAAGATGAAAATCCAAAGAGCAATGCACTTGAGTTCCTGATTCAAGTTTGAAAGAGTCGTGGAACCCTGCTCTACAGGTTTTAATTACCCTGCCTGCTCTTTGAAAGAAGTTTCAAAATAGAAAATGATGTCAAATTTTGACTTAATTGGTGTATGTACAGAGATGAAAAGAGAAAACAGAAGAGAGAAAACAGAAAAGAGATTAGAATTTTTGCAAGGTGTGTATACTTAGACAAGAATTTGCAAGAAGAAACATAATCAGAGGTTTGAATCAAGACAGGAAACTACACATACTGAAGGAATGACTACTCTTTAAAAGACAAAGATAAAGAAAGCTGGGAAAAGGTATATGGAAATGCAAGGATCCTTTCTCATCTGTCAGTATGACTGGGAAAACGAAATGGCAATGACAAAACTTAAGTATCTCAAATGAAGGGAGAGAATAGAAAACAGCAGAGAACAGATTTAACACCTGGTTGGTATGTAATTTTCACAGGTAATATAGTAAAATCAAGAAACTAGAATAGCAACAGAAAAGGGAAATGAAACTGCAAGTGACCAATCACCTTTCTTTCTTCTCTTAACCTTCTTGCCAGGGTCCTTTTTGAGCCTTTTCCGTTTTTGGCTTTTGCCACCCCTCACCCTCTTGTTTCTGTCTTGCGTCATTTCTTTGCCAATCTCAAACTGCTCTTCCTTCTCAGTAGGGAGTTCTGAGGGGGCTTTTGCATCTCCCAAAATATTTATCCTATTATCTAGAAATGATTAAAAGAGAAACATTACTACAAACATTAGTTTCAAGACATCTTCTGAACACGCCTAACTCTTTCCAAATTAAACTGGAAAGTTTTTTGCCGCTGAAGCATCATTATTTCCATATTTGGGAAGAACTGAAGATATCACTGAGGCACAGAGTGATACTTACTTCCACCACTTAGTGGCAGAGAGCGTTTGGATAAAAACGTCTGGAGCCTCACTGTAAGGCCATTTTCTGAAACCGTATTCTCCTAAAAGACAAATATGTGTAAGCATCAAGAAATACCCAGGTATCTCAGGCAATAAATTCACTAACATTCACATCAGCCTTTAATGAAGCCCAGAAAATAGTTTAGTAATAACAGAGGAAAGCTGCCTGCAACTTGGTCTAGAGAAGAGAATTTTCTCATGCATGCCACAGTGCTTATTATCATATTATCCTTTATGTAATGTTTTCCTTGAGCCTCTTTCTTGAAACCTTTTAACTTGTTTCTGCAAAAATAATATATTTTTTATGCTGTTTCCTGGAAATTTTACCCCAGAGGGAAGAATCCAAAGAAAATCTAGAACTGAAAAAGGATAGAACAGGCACACAGGCCACAGGGATGTTTAACTGAACTAGATGACCTTGAATTTTCCCTTCAGCTCTGTCAGCAGCATTCAGAGACACAAGACAATTATAAGGACTGTTCACACCTACAGTGAGCTCTACCCGCAGGGGATAGCAATAATGCACAAGGTGTTTAATAAAGGCTCAGGTAGATGGCTGATGATTTTGAGACTGTCAATTACACCAACGTGTATCACACTAAATGTGCTGAAGAGAACCATGGTGGGATCAGGGAAATCTGAGTCCTGATTAGTGTGTAGATTTCTGTTGCTCTGTGAGGGCAGCAACAGGTCAGTTGGACACATGGAGGAACGACCTGTGTCTGTATCTCCTTTTCAGAGTGAATTCTGGGAGCTCTACTAACCCTGTCTCTGACAGGAATGACAAAGTAGAGAGTGAGGTCTTCTTATCAACTGGAAAAAGACCAATTATGAATGAGCTGCCTGCCAGGCTTGAGATGGTACTTTCCCCTAAGACAACCTTTTCTCAAGGTCCTTCCCCTTAGAGATCACACCAGAGTAACCCAAACTCTGATAAGAGCATCCTAGGTTCCCATAATTTACCTGACACTACCTTCTGACACACTGAACTAAATATTTGCTTCTGATTTAACTCTAGTTTTGCTTATACAGAAATTTTCATAGGGCAAAAAGTTCTAAGTAGGTAAATTATCAGTACCTGCAATCTTAAGATCACAGACTTAGAGCTGGAAGGGACCTAAAAGGTCACCTCATCCAACTCCTTTCACAGATGAGAAAACTGGAGCCTGAGGAGGGCTAGTGAATTGCCCAGAAGCACATGGGTGGTGAGCAGTCAGAATTCAAAGCCAGGCCCTTGATTCTAAACACTCTTTCATATACGAACTGTATGACAACATCAACAACTGAGTCAGCTCAACAACTCACCTTTCTAGTCTTGTTAATGATGTAGCTGGTCCAGATCCAATTACGCTTTAAGTGTGCGTAGAAGCTAGAATCCAGACCTGCGGCCCCTAATCCATCACCAGGGATAGAGCCATCATCCAGCACCTCACGGCTCCCACTAAAGAACAGAAAAATGAAGGCTCTAAGATCCTCCATGGTAAAATAGACACAAAAATGGTTAGGGAACTCTATGTGCTCTCAGTGCTGGAACGCTTGAAGGTCCTGAGAGCGGGTCAGAGCAGGTATTCCCTCCATGGACATGAATGGCAATTTCTTTCTGACTTAGTAAGAGAGTCTTTGATAGTTTGGGATGTTGTTAAGTCATTTAGTCATGTCCAACTCTTGATGACCCCATTTTTTATGAAGTTTTCTTGGAAAGATACTGGAATGGTTTGTCATTCCCTTCTTTAAGGTCCCCATTTTACAACTGAGAAAACTGAGGCAAACAGAGGTTAAGTGACTTGCCCAGGATCACAGAGCTAGTAAGTGTCTGCAGCCGGATTTCAATTCAGGTCCTCCTGACCCCAGGCCTAGCACTCTCTCCACTATACCTCCTAGCTGCCCAGAGTTGCTTGGGTTTAAAATATTATTACCTTGTTTGTGGCTACCCTGACGATGAGACTGTCCAACTTGGCTAAGTTGTTTCTCAGATCCCAGACATATCCCCTTGACCAGGCCTTTATAGACTGGGAAAATTTGACAGAATTTATACTCTTCTAATACAGCCTCAAGAACCCAGGGCCACTGCACCCTGTGAGGAGGCCCTGGGGTAGGACTTCAGAGGAACATCAGCATACAACATAAATAAAAAGCACATGTGTACACTTTTGCCCCAGTTCATTTCTCAGTCCCCTGAGAATTTCACATCCAGTATGATGTTGACTCCTTTACTAGTTCTGGAATGTGGAAACTTCAGTTTTCTACCTCCCCCAAAACTGGCAGGCAAGTGGAAATGGGAGTTATGAAAATCCACTGGCAAGATATGTGAGAGTGGGAAGGTACTCCTTTGCAGGCCTAAAAGAATGGGGGGAAACTACGAGAAAGATAAAAGTAGGACTCTCCCTAAAATGGCAACAACAAGAATGGTGAGAGCTGAGAAGCATAAGGACGTAAGCTTTGCCAAGGGCTTTGCATACATGATGACCTTATCTGATCCTGGACTAAGGCAACTGCCAAAGGCATTTTTATCCTATTATAGAAAGGACAGAAGTGAAATGAATTAAGAGACTTTAAGACTTGCCCATGATCACACAACTTGTAAACAGTAGGGGCATTTTTTGAACTCACATCTTTCCTGATGAAGTATCTAATTAAATACTGACCCATTTACTAGATAAGAAACCTGCACTGTAAGGTGAATTCTCAGTAAAGTTTCTTGGTACATCTAATGCCATGAAGATCAATAATACTAACATTTACAGACGCTCACACCCTGGGGTGAGGAAAGGCCTTTAGTTTCTTTGTTCTTCTCAATGCCTTTTAGCAGTGCTGTGGGAAGGTTGATGCTAAATGTAGATATACTCCTACCCTCACCTTCTCTGTATCTGGCATAAATGTAATTTTAAGGGGTCTGAGTCAGGATGTGGTTCATAAAAGGATAATAACCTAAATCTTCCTAGGGATGACTTCCCACTGTATATATGTCCCTCTGGTTTTATTAGGTGTGGGAAGAGGCCATGGGAACATTCCCAGGAATGAAACAGGTAATCCAAGTCAGGGGTTGCTATGCTCTGTCATGGAAAGGAAGGGAAAATAGTATAATATGAAGTCTGGGGCACTGCAGCATAGGAAGTGAGAGTCCAAGGGCAAACAGAGTTGGCAGTAAAGTGTCAAGAGGGAACTCAGTATTAGCTGCTACTGATTCTCAATGAGGGGAAAGTAGTGACTCTCCAGAGTGGTGCCTTGTTTAATAGACCCCAACGAGCGAGACTTGGCTTCAGCTAAGCATAGTCCTATGCTGAAGAAGAAAGAGAACAAACCCAACCTCTCACATTACAAGTTGGAATCCTCTCCATACAAACAACACCTAAAGAGCACATGACCCTAGGTTGGTAGGAAAAAGTCTGGGGATGACTCTGCAGCTGCCCCACTGTGTTGCAAACATGCAGACGATCTCCCTTCATAAGACCTGGCTAAGCCCCTTTCCTTTCCCACTCATCTTCACTGGCCTTCTTTCTTGCTAGAGGGAAGCAGGCAGGCAACGAGTTCTCCCTGGTTACCTTGGTATGTATAAGCCTGAATTCACTATCTTTTCAAAAGGACTCTGCCTTTCAAAGGGCATAATAAGGTGGAAGGAGACAAGCAAAGTTAGTAAATCATGTCCCCCATAGCCAACAATGCATAAATTATTGATCTAAAGTCAGCAGAATAGCCCACTTTGAGTGTGGTGTAGTAGGAACAACACTAGATATATAGCTAAATGAATTGGGTTCAAATTCTGGTACCCTTGAACAAGTCCCTTTTATTCTCTGGACTTCAATCTGAAAAAGCAGGGAGCTGGAAGAGATGATTGTCCAAGGTCTTTTCAAGCTCTAAGTCCTGTGATTTCCAGGGCTATGGAGTACATTAGAATGGAGAAAAAGCTTCCTAGGACACTGAAACATTAAATGCACCAGGATACATAACAAGGATGGGGGTCTGGGCATAATGGAAAGGCCCATGTACACATCTGCATTCTGGTACTGGGAGGGTGGGCCAGCCACTTTCCATCTCCCTAGGCTTTAACTCTCTCATCTGTAAAACAGGGATAAGAATATTTGTACAACATCCCAGATAGAGAATTTTAGAGGGAAGTACTTTGTAAACCTTAAGTGCCACGTGAACAACCCCATTATTATGAGAGAAGACACAGTGCCTTTAAATGCTCACCATGAGAGCAGCTCATACTCCTACAGAACTCCACAACAATCTTGTGAGGGGAGCAGTGCAAGCATTTTTTTTGAAAACTTCCTTTTTGTTATTATAAACATTTCCTTAAATGAAGGACAGAAAAAGATGCCTGCACAGGACTATGTGAATCTCTATTGCATCCAGCTTGGTTTTTAAAAAGTATCCGTTTTGTGCTGGACGTTTGACCCCGGGCTCTAAGACTATATATAAGCAGGACAGATAGTGTGGAACTGCACTGGTAATGTGGGCTTCCCCCCCGAGTCCCCTATGACAGTGAAATAACAGGCCCAGCCCCCTCCAGTCCTCTTAATTTTTCACTAGTGCAAGTATTCTCATTCCCATTTCACAGGGGAGGAAACTCATCTCTGCAAGACAGATTAAGTGACCTGCCAACAGGTCTCAAACCCAGGCTCTTCTGACTCTAAGTCTATGGTCCTTTTACTAAATTCCAAGTCATTTGTGCTCTGACACATCACACTCTGTTTGAGCCTACGGAGAAACTTGCAAAATTCTTTTGGGTACATGTATTCTCTGTCCACAACAAAGTGGGGAACGATCAGAAGGTCAACATACGAAATGTACTCCAGCATCGCACACTTGCGTTCCAAATTGTGCTTGTCTATAGCGTTCTCCTGCTCCATGTCAGTCTCCATACTGCCAGGCTCACTGTTCGGATCCTGAGCACTGCTTTTCTTGACACGAGGGTAGCGAACCACTCCTAGGAAACCAAATAAATCTCATGGCATTACTCCTGCACCGCTGAAAACACCCCCTTCCTATCACCAAAGAATGGTGATAAAATGCAGCTAGGATAAAATTAAGGATAACAAAGTAGAAGACTCATGTCTCCTAATAGCCTTAACTGCATGAACATTTTTGGGGGAGTGATTGAGGGGGCAGTCCAAGTGCACAGAATTCTCAGGTCAGAAACTCTCTTTAGCAATGTAGACTGGCAACCTATCTCTAACTTTTAGTCTTAGAAAGCTTCCTAGGACATTGAAACATTAAGTAATAGTCACATTAAGTAACAGTATGTGACAAGAGGCAAGATTTGAACCTGGGTCTTCTTGACTCCAAGGTCAAATGGTAGATCTATAATCAACAGAACTGACTTCTAAAGAGATTTATAAAAGTACAATTTATACCAGGAGAGGGAGGAGGCTATTCTACTTTAGAGACCAAATATTTATTTCAGGGTTAAAGGGTTAAGTGGAACAACATGAATGAGGATGCTATGCAACTAACAATCCAAGATGGAGAAATGGCCACAAGAAATAAACAACCACCTATACTCACTTGTTCTGGAGAACAACCCTGATAGCAAGGCCCCAAGACAGAAGACAGAAGGGCTGGAAGGAGAACAGGAGTGACAGGGGTAGGAGGAAGACACATGGGAGACTATGAAGTCCTCTGAGGTAGCTAGTTCTCTGAACTGCTGGCTAGCATCTAAGGTTCCCTGTTTCTCCCTTGGTTGTGCTGAGCTAGTTATGTGTTTAATGACCTACACTTGATGCTGAAACAATTGTATTTACTGGGATCTAAGTTACTCCACATTTCCTGGGCAATGATGGAAAGGAGTCTTCACTGATCTGTGATATCACTGGTATGGGTCCCTGTCTACTTCTATGGATGGAGATCATGGGCCCTTACACACCTTAATAGCTAGTTGAGAATGAGTAGGTATTTAGGTAACAGCTGGGCTCATATTTGAAATTTTTTCAATTTGGAAGACCCTGTCAGAACTTGTGTTCAACTGGCATAGACTTTGAGAATTGAGGGTCACCTCTATGACACAGTATAGTATCTGAGGATGTTAGTGACAACATAACATAACCATAGGACAACTAGATTACAATCTAGCACAGTGCTGTATATGTGGTATGTAGGTACTTAAAAGCTGATGAATAAAGTAAGTCTCTAAGATTTCCGGGATAAAAGAAATTAAAGAGAAGCATAACTCATAGGTGTATGTGTTATTTCCCTATTTCTATTAAAGGTGCTATCATTCTTTAAGTTATATAGTTTCAGAACCTAGGAGTCACCCTTGACTCTTTTTCTAGAACTACAGCAAATATTCTGTTACATGGACACTTGACATGGTTGAAAATCTCCTGACAATCTTTGCTGAGAAAATTCTGAAACTATAAAGAATATGCCAGGCCATAAACTTTTATCCTGGCATAAAACACAGTAGTAGCTGGTCAAACAGCAGTTTGTATTTTATCCTAGAAGCAACTGGAAGGTCCTAGGTCTTTTTGAACCAGGAAATAATATGGTTCCACCTGTTCTTTAGGAATATCCATTAGGATGACCGCTGTGTTGATTTGTTTTGCTTTGACAACGGTTGGTTCTATTGGATGGGGCTGGAAGAGTAGTAGTGTCAGCAGAAAGTGAAAGTGATATTAAAAAAAGGCACCAATAAAACAGTAAACAAGTATTTTAAAAAAGACTATCAATCTAGTAAGTGTGAAGAAGATGGCCTGAAGAGGGGAAAAACCTGAGGCAGAGGGACCAATTAAGAGGCTATTGCAATAGCCCAAGCAAGAGTGATGGCAACTACCAACTAGGGTGGTTGTGATGTGAGTGGAAAGAAGGGGACAGATGTGGGTATGTCGTGGAGGTAGAACTGACAAGGCTTGTCAACTGACTGGATGTAGGGAGTAAGGGAGAATGAAGAGCCCCAGACTCCTAGGGTGTGGACTTCGGTGACTAGAAGATGGTGGCACTGTCACTGGAAATAGGAAAATGATAAACACACATATGAGTAATGTTACTCTTTCTGTTCTACCCCTTGCTTTAAGAGGCAATGTGGTACAATGAAAAGAATATTAGTGCTAGAGTCAAAAGATTGGGGGGTCTGAGTTCCAGCACGGACATTTATGAGTTGTATGGCCCACTGTAAACATCCCTCTCAGCCTATCTCCTCATCTCTAAAATGGGGAGAATCCTTGCACTACCTACTTTTGAGGGTCAGGGTAAGGAAAAGTCTTTGTATACAGTAAACCTGCTCTACAACAGTTATTTTTATGTGTGTCTAAGAGGTAAAGGACTTTAGTTCTTCTTCTAAACACAAATGGAATAAAGGTGCCCAGCTACTTTCTTGGAGAGGGAATAAGGAAGAATAAACACAAGAAAGAAGAGTACGGTGGGAAGAAAGCTGAATCATGTCAAGGAGACTTGGACTTTACTTCTGGTACTGCTATTAACTGCCTAAGTGACTTTGGGTAAGTCACTGTGGTTAGGTCTCGGCTCCCAAATCTGTAAAATGAAGGGTTGGATGAGATGGTTCCTTTCTAGCTCTAACATTCTAAGATTCAATACAATAGAGGAAAAGTAATGAGATCTGGCAAAGAAACTGTACCTAGTGGAGTATTGAGGCAGACACACTGTAAATCAAACCAATAGTTTTCCACATCTTGCATCGTGTCCAGAATGTACAGGCGCCTTTCATAGGGTCGGCTGCTTTGGGCCAGATTATAATGTGGGTCACAGATGGTGGTATCAATTATCACTGCATTCTTCTTTAAAAATATGAATACCTATAAGAAAATCGTGCATGCACAAAGACGTGAGCAGTGAGTCTGGTTGCTGGCCCACTGCTCCCGCCAACCCACTGCCGCTGCCACCACCACCACAACTTGGGCTTTAAAGATATTACCTGATCTTTATCCTGAAATTTTTCTGTGGGACCAAACTGCAGCAGTCCCATATAGCAAAGTCTCTGAAGATTCTCCACTACTGAAAAAAATATACCGCCTGTAAAAGAGATGGATAAGAATGATGGGCATCCTAACAAACACTCAAACATCACCAATTATATTTCGGGGTTATTATTTCTGGAGCAAGAAAGGGACTTCTTGCTCTAAAAGTCCCTTTAAATGAAACTCAGGTACCTCAACTTGGGCCTTTTCTCACATAAAACCCAGAATCACCATTCCCACCAACTAGAGAAGGAAATGGAGTAGTTATTTTTAAATCTGGTTTTGATTTAGCAATCAGAACCACTGGGAAAAAATCATCATCAAATCAAAGTTTAGGGGGGAAAATATTTACTGAGGACTAGGGATTTGGGGATAAATTCATATGAAAGAAAACTAATTAACATTTGGAATTTGACACAGAACCTTCTTCCCTAAATAATTTTTTCTTTCAATTAATAGTTAATTTTTACTTGAAAACAGCCTTGATATTATCATGTTTAATAATTTCATAAATATGTATCATATTTTATATGTATATTTATACTTCAATGGATCTATAATCTCATCAATATGGATATTTCCTCTAATGGTAAAGATTGAAATCCAGCTTTTCTTTTCACCCTGCGAAATTCTTGTACATGTTTTTCCATAAATCCTCCAGCAGAGCTCTCCCCAACATACTGGAGGCCTTCTTTAGGGCTTTTTATACTTTGTTGTTGACAAAAGAGTACATAGATGGTCGGTCTGTATCCCTTACTCTGATGATATGACTGGCCTGTTTCTTTTTATGATCATATCTTTCCTAAATAGTATTTCTTATTCCAGTGGCTTACAAGTTGTCATTAGCTATATGTTGCTTCCATGCCCTTTGGGTCTCCTACCTTACTGAATGTCTGGAGAGAGGTTGTGTTTCTTGAGTTACAGTCATATTGTACAACTAGAATTACAACCCTGCAACATTTCTCTTTCCTCTTCCCTTTTCTCTATAGAAGGTATACAGGCAGGAAAATTAAATGAAAATTATCAGTCTTTATTACCTTGCTGGCATAATCTGTTTCTCCTTCTGGGGTTATGTTTATTTATAAGACTGCTTTAAAAGATACCTTGGCAAAGGTACTTTGCCAACATTAAAATCAGTTGAAAGCTGATGAACTTACCTCTTATACAGAAGTTGCTGTCGGATTGGCCTGGGAAGAAATCTAATCAATGTATGCTTCTTCAAAGGGTCATTCAAAAAATCTTCCAGGTTGTCCACCTATAAAGGTCATTTTTAGGGTGTACAGATTCTAAAGCATAAAATGAATGGCAAGGAACATAAAAGAATGCTAACAACTGTATCTTGGCCTTGGGTTTGCAAATGAGAGAAGCTGGGAAATGTTCTGCTCCAACGAACGTCCTTATTTATTAACCTGTGCTGGCCCTCCTCTACAACACCTGGAAGAGGCACAAAGACCCAAACGGTCCATGACTATACTTCCTTCGGCCCTGCTTGACTGCTGGAGCTAGGTGCTTTGAGAAAAGAGCAAAGCTCAGGCCTTACAGATAAAGACAAGTACACACTTGTATGTGAGATGGAGCCACACTCTCAGGAAGGAACCCCATAAAGTTAGGTGTTCCATTATCTTGGATTATTTCCTTAATTAAAAGCAGTGAAGGAAAGAGAATAAGCATTTAAATAGCACCTCCTATATGCCAGGCACCATGCTGAGTGCTTTTTATAAATGTTATCTCATGATTTTTTTATTTGATTGGAAAAGCAAACAGACACTAAGGAGGACAGGAACGAAGCAGGCAGGGCCGGTTTATTTGGAAGGAAATTACAACCAAAATGATCTAAATGGCACATAGGCTATACCATATGGGGACTGGGATGGTTCCCCCTGTCACTGTAGCACTCTAGTGAATGGGGTAAGAGGAAGGGAGAAAGGAACAGATTTTCTCAGCCTGGAATGGTAGGTTTTGAGTAATAAACTGTACCTACCATAACATCCACACATCTCTGAACTGTTCCCTAATGGTATCTTGGGATACCAAAGCTCAGAACTTTGTTGGCTGAGTAAACCATTAAAGCCCACTAAGAACCTCCAGGAAAATGAAATAGTAACTCCACACGCAATAAATAACAACTCCCATTACACAGTACTTTCAGGTTTACTGCCAATGTTATCATCTACATTTTGCTGATGAGGAACTGGAGATCCAGGGAAGTTAATCAATGCCAAAACTAGGATCTGAGTTCAGGTGTCCTGATGCCAAGCCTATCCTTCTCAGCATGACATAATATCATTTTCTCCTACTAACCACAGTCACTCAGTAGCCATGAGGAAGCAAAAAGACAAGCATGTCTCAATGCTAGATTCGGTTCTTCTTCCAAAGGACAGTTAGTAAGGTGGTTTCCCCTTTCAATCCATGCTTTTTTGGTCTCCTGAACGAGTGTGTGCAAAGTTCTCCTGCTCTGTTCTGAGATCAGTTTGTGAGCAAACAAGCTCTGGAGCAGAGGAGAGGAAGAAACAGGAAATGATCATACTGACCTTATAGCTGACTTGGACTATCTGGATGAAGATGGACAGAGGCAAGCAGAGAAGGATATCACTGACAAGGGCCCAGCCAAATCCAAAGTCTCTGTGTATTGGGATGGGGGGAACGTAACGCATCCAAGAAGCTTCATCCACAAACACTAGAAGGAGAATTTGAGTTAGTCCTAAGAAAGGCTACCTCATCCCGAGGAAGACATATCCAGCCTCAGAGGCTTTACAATTGGCTTTGGCCCGGATGCTGCTGCAGGATATGATAGTCCAGATACTGCACTGGAGTGCAGAGGAAAGTAATGGGCTGGGCTGCCACACAGGGCCGTGAAGCAGAACCCCTCCGTGCTTCCCCAACCAGAAGCATGTTTTCTGGACTTTAGAGCAGCCCCCGAGGTGCACCACCACACAGCGATCGGCCTGGGGTGCTGCTTCCTTGGTCTTCATTTATCTCTGGAGCCCCTGACCAAATCGGGGGCCGGCTAAGTCCAGCTCAGGCCTCTTCCCCTCTCCCTCCTTGCTCACTCCTCCTGATGGAGGAACCCCCATCTGTCTGTGTGTTTTGTCTTGTCGTCTGTGAAGCACTGGCCCCCGATGTGCCCACCAGGAATCCCAGGAGGACACTCAAGGCTGTCGGAGCAGCTATGCCTGCTTTGGGCCATCTTGAGGTACCTTCTAAAGCTCTGCTCCCTAACCCTGTGAACCTAAATAAAGTCTGTGTGATAAAAAAAAAAAAAAGGCTACCTCACCTACCATGGCAAAATGCTTTAAATAACGGACCCGGGAGTTTGGTTAGATTCTCAGAAATCTTGGCAATGTACATAATCTCTTACAAAAACTTACTTATTTCCAAATCTAAGTTTCGACTGGATGGTGGAAAACATGGGTGGGTGGGCAGGGGAGCACATAAGTTTATTTTAATTTTGAAGAGTAGGCTAAGGACAACTCTGTCTATCAGATATAATTTAGTCAGTTACCTTGCACTTGAAGGATCAGGTAGAGAAAAAAGCACAGGAGGAGGACACGTGAGAAAGGAATTCAACTGAAAGTGTACAAATAATGAATAGGAGAGTAGGAATAAAAAACAGAAAGAAGGTCTTAACTGAGAGAGACTCTTGAGTGAATGAAAATCACACAAAAACAGGGAATAAAGAGAGAGAATTGAGCTAGAAAGAAGTTTGAGTCAGTGAGTGAGGCATACACCTTGAAGTGTGCCTACAGAAGAGAGGATGGTGGGCAAATCACTATATTACAGGTAGCCAGAAGACAACAAACACATACAAATTATTTCATATACAGGCCAAGCAGAACACAGCTTGTCTCAGTGGGCTAGCTAATGAACTGGAGGAGAACCTATACATTTGCAGACTTCACACTTTGGTTCTTCCATGACTTTCTATACAATCATGGCTATTATTAAGGGGTTTTTTTTGGGGGGGGGCAAGGAGGGGTGGTGGTGGTGGTTCAGTTGCCTTAGTTATTGAAAAAAAAGAGAAGAAACGACTGTATTGATTTTCATCACAAATGGTAGCTGCAGAAATGTTGTAGGACATCATAGTATGAAAGAGAAAGATTACTGCCATCAGTAAAAAGCATGGCAATATGCTAGGCACTGCACAAAGAACAGAGAGGTCTTCAGCTGATGTCTATGGATTACAGTCCAGCCTGAAGGCAGGGGCATGATCGTTTTCATTATTCCAAAAATGTGGAAGCTGAAAGATAGATGTTCCAAAACCATACAGAGAATGGGAAAACTGAGGGTTGGGTGAGAGACCTCCAAATCTATCTTATTCCCACCCCTCCCAACATCCTGGCTATTACTATGAAGACAGGTCTCAATTCAATTCAATTTTATACACATTTAAGGAGACGAGTGTGCAGAGCCCCATGCCAGGCCAGGACGAGGTACAACAAAGTTCATATGCTTGGTTCCAGTCTTCCCAGATTACATTTGGCAAATCATACACAAAGTTAACTGGGAGGGCTCCCAAAGAGACAGCATTGGCAGAGACCTCCTCACCTCAGGACCCTCCTTGTTGCCATAAGCTTCTCATCCACCTTTCCCCTCTCCACTATGATCAACTGCGAGGCCAATTCATCCTACTTCTCTCCTCCCTATTTGCTACTCAATATCCCCAGTGGCTTGCAAATTCCCACCTCAGACCTTCTAGCCCTTGCGATTCAGAAGCATCATACACTAAATGAACATTATTTTTTCCTAGTGAACTCTCCTTGTACTGTCTCATCACTATCCAGCTCAGCCTGATCTCTTTCTCTCAAGGCTCCATCCTGTTCCACATTTTCCTTCCATCAATCCCTAAAACCTGGGCTTCTCTATTTACCTTCCTTGCTCCTATTTCTGAGATGCTGTGTGCTGAGGAAGTCATGAAGTTGTTAGCGAAAAAGTTCATGTCATCTAACTTTAATGGGGCCATCACTGTTGCAAGCAATCCCTTTATTTATCTCTCTGTGCTTTACTCCACACAGTGGCCATTCTAAATATTCTCTATTCTCAAGCCCCCCACCTCCACCCCACTGCCCTCTTTCTAGCAGCTGACAACTTTTTCAAGAAATCTGGTAATGAAGGAGAGAGGAGAGACAAGACTGTATGGGGCAGAAAGATCAAAAGAATGCTTTTTAGCATGGAATTGGGTATGCTTGGAGGCGGATAAAGAGACAGAAAAGGTGAGGATGAAGATGCCACAGAAGTGATGGCTTTTGGAGCAAGGTCTTGGAGAAAGCAGGAGGGAATGGGGTCAATGGAACTGAGGATAAGAAAGGCAGCAAAGCACATTTACACTCTTCAGAAGACACACCCATTAGAACATGGAAAACTAGCATGGCATTCTTTCTGTACAAACAAGAGGTGGAACAAGACCATAAAAGGTCCCCATAACATTGGTTATCACCTAGCTTTTTGAAAATTCTGTCAGGAATCATGTTCATATCAATAGATCCAATGGTTTCACACACAAATCCAGCAAAAAGCATTTCACCAAGAATCCAAATAACTTTTGTTAAACCGCATTTACGATTTTATTTGTGTAGGGAGCTACCAGTAAGGAAACTCCCTTTAACAAGGCAAATCATCACTGATTTGGCAACTACCCAAATAAAGAGAGGAGAGAGTTTGGCTAAAGTCAAATAAACATCAGAATCAAAATAGAAATGTTGCTGGTTTTCAGACCCCTTATTCAGATAACTGAAATATGGATGAAATCAAATGTTTTCTATATGCTAACCAAAGGATAATAAATATTTATTAAGGTTTATGTTACTTGTATAGCTTCTGCCCATTGGAGTGGTAGGGTCTCACCTGTTTCAGTGGCTAGCTCTACTTCAGCCTCCGAATCTCCTCCTCCAGGGACCTGGATACATACTCTGTTGTGGTCAGTACTTGGCTCTTGACTGTTGACCTTTCTTTCACCATCTTGACCAGCCCTCTCAAATATCTCATTTAAAGGATGTCCATAAATTAAATACCACAGAAACATATGGACCATCCGTAATCGAGGCATTTTAGGGAGAAATCCCAGGGAACGTCCAAGTCCTGGAACTGAAAATTAAGAGAAAGAATGATGAAGACTTCATGCAACTCAATTCCTTCTACATCCAAGTAACTATGGCACTTTCAACATTTAGATTGGAAAGGATTTTAAAAGACATCTAATCCAAGGCTTTTATTCTTCTACGGAAACAGAGGCCTGGGGAGTGCTGGGTGGGGGACAGGGATTTATGTGCCCAAGGTTACACAGACTATAAGGGATAGAAGTAGGATGACACCCTCATTCTCTGGATTCCTAGCCCATTGTTCTTTCTGCAACAGTATAATATTGAATATTTTATTTGTATTTGTAAATTTTTCCTGCTATTATATTGCAAAGAATATAATGTACAAGCCAGATACAGTTTATGAAGATTATGCAAAGCCCAAAGGCATTGAAATTGTCACCTCAAGACTTGGGACTATTGTATCTAATTTATTTATTTATTTATTTTTATCAAAGCCAGTTCTTCTTTCATCTACACCAAGGGCAGATGACAGGTGAGCAAGCAGTGGGCACAATCCTGGGTCAGAAAGAGGCAGAGATCAATTATGAGATCATTTCACCTTAATCCCTGAAAGCAGGACTGCCACCACCTTCCCCGAAGAATACAACAGAGATATAGATGCATCATTTCTTTTGCTAGAGCGGATGCATACATGCCTCAATGCATTTCTCCCTCCCTTGTTGAGCTGAAAATACTAATGAGATGGGCCCTTGAAATAAAAAAGTCGTTTGTTATGGGCCCTTAGTAACTGAAAGTAAGAATAATGATCCTTTTATATTTGTTTAATATTTCATAGTTTTCAAATCAATCATCTCATACAGCTGTCCTTTGAGGTAGAAGGGCAGGATCTATTATCCCACTTAATAGTCCTGGGCTAGTGAAGAAAAATAAGCTCAAAGAGATTAAAGTGTCCAAGGGTCGCATGGCCACTATATTTCAGAGTTGGGCCTAGACTTTCAGTTCACTGCTCAGATATATAATGAATGACATGTCAAAATGATCATGAAATAAGCCCCAAATGGTGAATTGAAGCCATTTTTACCTACAACAGGATTATAATTTTTGAGCTGTGTTATGCCCATTTTCTCATCAGTTTTCTTCATTCGTCCACTACTTTCAGATTTAGAAGCTGCTGTGTGAGATTCCCCTGATCCTCCAACTTCCTCTTTTCCTTGATTTTCTTCCTCCAGCTCCTCCTGGGGAGCAGGGGTCTGGGGTGGTTTAACCCTGCAGTCAGAGCAAAGACACAACATGGTGGAGGAAGTCAAAGCCCCCAAGCAAGACAAGATCTATCAAAGTGCTGAAAGAAATCATTCACACCAGAAGGAGGATCAGGAAGGCCAAGTAGATAACTTATAGGTTCTCTAGGCTGGCACTCTGGGAACCTTTTAAATCTGAAAACTGTATTTCAACATCATTGACTTCCTTTATAATCTTATGTATTTTATTTTATGAATTTACAAACAAGATTCTGAGAAAGTGTCCACAGGCTTCCCCAGACTGACAAAGGGGTCTGTGACCCAAAGAAGGTGAAGAACCTCTGCTCCAGGCAAACTTTGGTAAACACAGATGCTTACTCAAGGACTGGTATCTCCTGGGCTTTTGAAGAAAAACACGTGTAGAACATAAAATGAACAAATCTGCTCACAACCTAACAAGCTATAAACTTATATGTTTATATGAAAACGAGCCAGCTTCCTAAGAAAGACATTCTAACCCCCTCACAACACCTCCCCTTCCCACCGTCCTGTTGAGTAAAGAATGAGAAAGAGAAACTTTAGGATTCTATTTTCTACATAATCTTGGAAACAGGACAGTGCTAGACCAGGGCACCAAAACAGAAGTCAAAAACAAAACAAAAAACAATTCAAGTTAACGAACTGATCTGCTCTCATAAAGTCTGAATAAAACTTCTTTGCACTTCATGTCCTTATGTATTACAGTTATCAATGATGCTTTATTTCTCTATTAGGTATTAAGCTCCATGAGGGCAAAAACCTTTTCTTATATAAATATTGCATTTTCCCCAGGACCCATCATTAGGTACTCTGTACACAGTAAGCATTTAATAAATATTGCTTAACTTAATATCAAAGGACAAGGTTCCACATGTTGCCTGGGAAGGGAAAAACATCCGTAGAGGCACAAATCCTTCTTGGTGCCTGCAACTTGCCTGTTTGCTGTGCTTGAATTGGAGATCCGGAAACGAACCTGTTCAATGGCACTTTTCATAAGAGGGTCATTGGTGTTCACAGAAGGATGGACCACAAACTCCACCTACAGAAAACAGCCACAGTTTCCAAAAAAAGCAGGTGTGGATAAGGCAGAGGAAGGGAGGAGAGGAAAGAAGAGGAGAAGAGAGGGGACGAGAGGAGAGAGGAGGACACAGGAGGAAGAGGAGGAGAGGCATAACTTGCTCCCCAACTTTTCCTTATCAACTAAATACAATGATATCTATTTTCAAATAATATTCAGATTTATTTCCAAAAGATATCTCTTTAAGACAACTATATCAAGATGCCAGTTGTTTTAAAATAATTTCAGTTTGTAGTTACTCCAGCCAGAAAATTTAAAAAATCATGAAGCTTTACATTTGTTTTAAGGCAAATGATTATTCTGCTATGAAGACGAATTAGGTCTTTGAAATAAAGCAGTAACACTTGCAAATCCCCTCCTATGAAGTCCTAGGACATCAGCTTCCTTCATGGTGCCTGCCTGCCTGTCACTGACTGTGATGTCACAGATGGTTACACAGCCATCATCTGATCATTTCCCTGTTATAAGTGACCCTGGATGGCCTTCGTTTGAAAAAGATAATGGTGGCTCAATAACCTTTCTTCAGTAATATTAGAGCTGGAAGGTACCATAGGAATCATCTAGTCCAACCCCCTTATTTTATAGATAAGGAAACAAAGGCCCAGAAGATGTGACTCGCCTCAAGTGACACGGTAGCAGAGGCTATATTCCAACACAGGTCCCTGACTCTAAATTCAGTGCTCTCATTCTTTAACACCACTGCCTTTTTTGTCATGCATAAAGCCTCCTCCAGTGGGCTTGGATCTTTTATATTCATATTTGTTCAATGGAACAAACACCATTGTAACTCATTTCTTTAATTGTGAAATGGAGAACAAAGGAGGTTCTCCCTCCTTTCTCAATATGTTAAGAAGTATAGCCAGAGATGGATAGAGAATGGCAATCCTGAAAGCTTAGAGTCAGATTGAAAGTTCTTTGCCATTGGTTTGAGATCTTTTACTTTTCATAGTAGAGCAGGTCTTGGAAACTTCCTCAGATCTAGCTGCCTACCCTATGAAACACATATAGGAGCAAAAGCATCAGGTTCACATCAGTGCAGAGTCTTGTGCATCTTAATCATATTCAGCCTTCCCAAGACAATAAACTGATTATACTTTTCCAGCCTGGAGTCAGAATTTTTGAAATGAAGACTAATTACAGTTACTCTCATTAGTAAAGGACAGGGCTGGCTTCCTTGATCCATGCTGCTTCTTCTCTCATCTACCCTGTACTCAAATTCTGTCCTCCTGGGCCTGTTTTCATTTTTGAGGATGTATAATATGCTGTTTCTTGTACTTTTAATTCATTTAATTATGTTTGTAATTTAATTACATTTAATTATATTTGTAATTGCTCATCAACTAATGGGTATGCCACTAAACTCGAGTGACTCGCTCTATGATTTGGGGGAACTTAAATTCTCTATTTGTAAAACACAGTCACTTCAGACTTCAACTGCTCTATAGAGATATCGACTATATGAACTAATCTATGAAAAAGCTCTTTTGATGAAAAATGGAACGGAAATAAAAGGTTCTGTTGCCAATGGAGTATGGGTGGGCTCTTACTTCCTTGGATCCCACTTTAATGCTGTCATTTCTTCAGTGTGAGTTCTTGGCATCACTGCGGTTCACACCACCTTAGAGGACCACCTCCATGAGCTGTGGTGGCCAAAATACACACCATCTGGTAGTCAAGCTTGTAAGGACATCTGAGTTTGGTTGTTGGAATATAGGTATCCAGTCCTACATTCAAAACTTTGCTGAAGCTTCCAGGTTCTGTGTAGAGAATCTAGGGTCCCCTCCATGCCATGATGACACATTAGAGTTGGATTTTATTGGAGGATACACAAAAAATGCTATTTTCTACCCTAGTCTTCCCTGGTTAGGTTTAGAGCTGGACCAGGGCTCCTTGAGTGGAAATCTTTCTCAGGGTTAGTAACTTCTGAGATCTTTCAATCCGGTATTGGAAGATCTAGATTCAGTTCCTAGCTCTGACACTTCCATGTCTGGGTGGTCTTGGGAAAGTCATTTCATCTCTTGTTTTTTCTCCTGTAGCATAGGATAGTAACATTTAAACTCTTTATCTCAAGACACTCTTATGAGGCTCAAGTAAAATAACTGACATAAAATGCTTTTGCCAACTATCATTTATTACTATCATCACAAAGAACTGACCTTGCAAGCATACAGAATTGTCTTGTCTGCTTTAAAAAAAAAATAGAAAAAGGTGATGCCAAAGTTAGGATAAGAAACTGAAAACTGGGTCAAAAAAAATGACAGGTAATTCAAAACGACTGTCCCTACAGTGCCATTTCCTTTGGTCTCAGTGCAGAGTTAGCACTACCTTTTATACTCATACCCCATAAGATGTATGATATATAATATGTGCAAAAAGGCTGAGCTGTAGTTGCTAAGGGAATACACTACAACTTTAAATTTTCTCAAATAGATGAGTTACAAGACAAAAAAGACATATTGTTATTTACTGGACAACCCCAGTACTGTATCTAAATGAGTTGCTTCCATCATTTCCTTTGGGATAACTTCTTGCAGACCACCCTGGATTTTTTTTTTTTGATGTTCAATCTAAAATTTTACTTTCTAAATGTTATTTAATTTATTCAAGCTACGCTGCTGAGTTGCAATAAGCTTCCCTTTCCTTTGGGCCCTTAGGGCTGGCTGAAGAGTTGGTTTAGTTACCAGAGAAACAGCCTGGCATAATGGAAGGGCAACGGACTCAGTTAGAAAATCTGTGTTTGCTTCTTGTTTCTGCTCCTTATGACCTGCAGGATACAGGGCAAGTGACTTCACTGCAATGAAGCTCAGTTTCTTCAACTGCAAAATGAGACTTCTGCCTACTACAGAGATAATGCAAGCTCAAAGGAGATCGTGAAAACTGCTCTGTTAATCAAACAACACACCACAAACATCACTTATTATGTGCTTTACAAACCACAAAGCATTGCACAACTGTAAGGAATGTTTGTTTTCAGTATTCCCCTCTGCGCACCACTTTAGGATACAAGCTAATTACTTCCCCATGCCTTGTACAGTTCCCTCTTTAAAAAGGTGACAATTTCTATTCCTTAAATTAGAAGAAATAACGTGACAAAAGATGATAGTTATGGAGAAAGAGTTTAAACATGGCAACGGGGAGGAAGGAGAAGGGGAGTTACAGAGAAGAAAAGGAGCGTGGGAAATAGAGTAGGGAAAGCAAAAAAGAAAGGTGGAACATGGAATAGGAAAGGAGGAAGAGGAAAGAGAGAGAAGGAAAAAGGACAAGATAGGAGAAGAGTGGAAGGGAGATAAGAGAGTAAAAAAGGAGGAGAGAGAAGATTTTTTTTTTATTTTGTAAAGGTAAGAGTGTCTTTAAGATTACCTTCTTTTTAATGCCGTCTTGGATAACTGTGGTTCGGTATAACCTCAAAAGCCCTTCCTCAGATAGCTTCCGAACTAAGCGAATGATGGACTTCTTACAACATTTAGTGGATACTCCTTCTTGCTTTTCCTGGTCCATGATCATCTTCTGAAGCCTGGATGATCACAAACAGGAAATTCCAGATCTGTTATTTTCAACACATTTCACAACTTACTCCGGTGGACAAAAGAAACCAAGTAAGACCCAGGCATAGCTTTTAAGTTGCAATCGAGTAATTTCTTTTTGGGGATGAGGAAGGACTGTGTTTGAGGTAATAGAGGGTAGTCAAGACAAGGCTTCATCTAAAGCCAAACTCTCTCTCCATCTCTTTTACCCAGGGATGCTAAGAGGATTAAGGAGGTAATTAATGTCAACACTAAAGTGGCTCTAAATAATTGATTTATTTTGATAGTTTTTATTATTATTATTATTATTATTATTATTATTATTATTACTACTACTACTACTACTACTACTACTACTACAACAAAAGCAGACACTCTTACGTGAACAAGCTCTCGATTAATCGGAGGTTGCCCACAGCCTCTATTATCAAATTTCGTCGTTTGAGCACTCGGTAAGTTTCATGAGGTTTCTCCTGGGCTGCGGCCTTGGGGTTCTTCCCTTTTTTCTGGAGAGAGCTATTTTCCTACGACAAAAAGCAAAAGTAAAACTGAGTTAATATCTGGAAAAGCTTAGACTTTAAATAATACATTTACTGAAGCATTTATCCCCTTGGGTAATTTTTATCCACATATTTAAAAAAACAAAACAAAGCAAGAAAAATGTCTTCCATTGCTAAGATTCTTTATGCCTTGATAACTACTAGCAGAAGCACATGAAGGGCTTCAAGAACACCAGGTTCACAGATGAAAGCAGTTACATACTACTAGCAATCTGTCTATTCCTATGTCCATTACTTTTACTTTCTTTCCAGTGAGAGTAAATGTGGTGTTGTGCAAGGAGTGCTGGGCTCAGAGTCAGGAGACCAGAGTTTAAATCCTGGTTCTAACACTTAATAGCTACATAATCCTGGTCTCCTAGACTCTGTTTCCTCATTTATAAAATAGAGACAATAACCTTTCCATCATTTACCCTGCAGGGTCATTATGAGGAAAGCACTTTGTAAATCTTAAGGCTCTACAGGAATGTGAGTTATTTTGGGGCAGAATCTGCTACTTACTACTTCCTAAAGTAAAAAAAAAATGCAGCAATAATCTTCCTTTTGAGCTCCAGTTCCATATCATCAACTGCCTACAGTACAATTTGAACTGAACATAGGCCTTTCAAATTCAACACATTCAAAACAAAATTCATTATCTTTTCCCCAAAACACATCTCCATTCCTAATTTTCCTATTTTTCTCAAGAGCACCATCATATTTCACAAATTTGGAGCTATCCTTGACTCTTCACTGCTCCTTACCCTACTGTCTATATCTAATGAGTTGTTAAATCTTGTTGATATTACCTCCACAACATTTCTCACATCTACATCCTTTCCATTCACATCAAAACCATTCTGTTTTAGGCTCCATTGCTTCTGACCTGGCCTACTGAACCAGCCTCCTAATTGTTCTCCTAACCTCAAGTCTCCTCAAGTCTCCAAGCCTTCCTCCAACACTGGGGTCAAAGGGATAGTTTTAAGCTACACGTCTTACCACATCACTTCCTTGAATCACAAAATTCTCGTGATTTTCTGTTGCTTCTAGAACAAAATACAAACTCCTGGTTGTCATTTAAAGCCTGGACAGTCTGGCTCGAGTCTACCTTTCCAGACTTACTCTGTATTTCTTCCCTTCAGGCCCAAGTCACTTACTTACTGTTGCTCCCTACACAGCACTCCATCTCCCTCCCCTGTGCTTTTCCTTAGGCTGTATGTAGCCCATCTCTACAATGCATTCTTTACTCACTTCTGCCTCTGAGAATCCTAAGCTTCCTTCAAAGCTCAGCTCAAGTCTGACTTCCTACCTGAGGCCTTTCCAGTCTTCCTCAAAGGATGGCAGGGCCTCCCCACCACTTGAAAGTTCCTTGTATTAATTTTGTATGAATTACGTATTTACTTCGATGTATCTGTATGTTTTCAATAGAATGGAAGCGCCTGAGGACATGGATGATTTCATTTTTGTCTCTTTATCTCTACTGCTTAGCACAGCGTCTAAATAAATTTTTGGGACCAAACCTGTGACTTCTTTATAGGCAGTGCCTGGTAAGGAACTTCCTCTAGGAATGCAAAGAAGCACTTTCTCTGCAAATTCCACTATCAAGAGAGTTGCCAAAGGGTATTTTTTTTTAAGGCAATTGGGGTTAAGTGACTTGCCCAGGGTCACACAGATAGTAAGTGTCAAGTGTTTGGTCTGAGGCCGGATTTGAACTCAGGTCCTCCTGACTTCAGGGCCGGTGCTCTATCCACTGTGCCACCTAGCTGCCCCCTGCCAAAGGGTATTTAGAGGTTAAGTAGCTTTCCCCAGGGTCACCCAACCAGTATGTGTCAAAGGTGGAGATTTAACCCAGGTCTTCCTGAGTCTGAGACCAGCTCTCTATACCATGCTGCCTCTGCCTGGTTCATAATAGGTGCTTCATAAATGCTTGACTGAATGATTTAAGTCATGCTGTTCCTTTTCCTACTTTCTTCCTGTTTGTCTCCTTATACTTTTATCCTTGTTTCAAAGACGTAAAATTAAAAAGTACCTCAGAGGTCTAATTTAACCCTGTCTCAAGAGTTAGGGAAACAGGGCAGAAATGTTGAGTGACTTGCCTAAGGTTACACACTTAATAAGAGGTAGAGCCCCTAGAGACTTTGACTCTAAACCCAGTACATTCTTTTCTCTCTACAGAAGGTAGCTCCTTGCAGGAAAATTTTTATTTTGTCTTTGTAGCTGCTCTAGGGCCCACCCCACAATGGCACTTCCTGCTTGCTGGATTCTTGCCTCCCTCGTATTGGCAGTGTGCCTATGTCTTTCAATCACTCACAGCCTGTACTACGCTGTCTCAAAACAAACACGCCTGGCCCAAAACAACAGTGCAGCTTATAAAAGTTCCATTATAATTCCTCACTTGAGGCCTTTTCCACTTTAAACAGGAATAGGTCAAAAGGCACTTTTCAGAGCTTGGGGAAAGGCAGAAATGTCTGCATTAGGTGACCAGGTTTCAACTTAGCTTAGTTATTAGTTACACATTGTTCTGTAAATCTGGGTGTTTCAGTTCTTTAGCACACTGATGAGGGAATCTCAAAGAGTAATGAAGTTATCAAAGTTACAAGATATGCAGTAGGCACAAGATGCTTACACAGTTCCTTGTCCTATTTTAGAATGCAAATATCAGGGAAACATTATTTACATAAATGTAGCAGAATTACACAGTGAGCTCCCTGATGGCAGGGACTGGATCTCTGCCTTTTTGATACCAAAACGGTATCAAAGTGCCTTGCCCATAGAAGGTGCTTCACAAATGCTGGTTGACTCATTGCTGACTGACTGATGGTAGTCTTCTATGGGACAATCTTTCTTAAAACACACAGAATGATCTGGTTGTTATTCCTTTGCAGAAAAAAACTGTGGGTGACTCTTTATATAACCCCCCGCCCCAGAATTCAGAAGCCTCCACAATTTGGTGCCACTTTCCCTTTTCAGTCCAATCCCATTATTGCTTCTTTACATACTCTACAATCCACATGGACTGCTCTCTATTTCCTCAGTATTTCTTGAGCTCTCACATCCCCATTAACGGCTTCGATCATACTATTTCCTATGCCTGATATTCCCTTCAAGCCCCTCTTCATGTGTTGAATTCTTAACTATTCTTTAAAGACCAAATCAAATTCCACCTCTTCTATGAAGATTTCCTTGATTTCTCTCAGCAGTGATAACATCTGCCTAGGGACCTCACATGGCACTGTTTTGTAAATCTCTAATGCACTTATCATGTAATATTGTGCACTACAGATAAGTGTTGTTTTCTCATCCTCCAATTGCCTTCTCCATGAAGACAACTGTTTTATCTATATTCTGTATTTTTTTGTATCTCACAGAGAGGAGATTCAATGTGATATGGCAGACAGAGTGTGGGTCTTGGCATCAGGGAGATATGGGTTCAAATCATACTTGTCACATTCTATAGCTGTATGGCCACAGAGGGGCAAGTCACTGAATCTCTACATCTCAGTGTGTCCATCTCAAAAATGAGAGGCCTCTGAGAGACCTTCTAGCTCTATATCTATCAGATTTATCTAAGAAGATAATTTTTCTCTAATTTGTGAAAAGATTCCTTATGAGGAGAAAGCTAGTAAACTCCAGAGCCAACAAACCTGATGATAGAAGTCTGTCCCCACAGGTAACCCAACAATTCATTGCAGCAAATATTCATTAAATACCTATTAAGTATACACAGGGCACTATGTCAGGTGATGACAATAACAGAGAGGAAATAAGAGTTAGTCTCTGCCCTTGTAGAGATTTCAAACTGGATACAAAAGGAGTGTAGATGTGAAGGGTTGAGAGAATCTCCAGGAAAAGGTAAGAATATCCAAGTATCAGATGCTATTCAATGTTTAGAATTTTATATCCTCATCCAAGCAGAAGAAAGCAACTACAAAAGGGGAAAGTGTAGCAAGGGATAGATATAGAAATAGATGGGTGATAAGAGTAACATCTTACACCTCTTTCATCACTTTTCCCATATTAGCACCATGACACAAGCCCTCTGACAGAAAACTACAAAATTAAAGAAGTCTTATTTGTGAAAGACTACTACGTGTCAAGCATGTCAAAGGCCAACTAAACCAGAGGCCAGAAGCCAGAACTTACCTTTGGGTTTTCAAGTCTGACCTCTTCGATCACAGCCACATCACCATCTTCATCTGTGGAGTGGGTGCCAAATGAGATGTTGGCCTCAGAGCCTTTGGAGGTCTCTAAAATGTTGTCAACAAAGGCCCTGGAGGTTTCATCAGTCTCATCAGTGGTTCCTAGGGAAGATGATGACTTCTTCTTTGTTGAATGTTGGTTTAGGAACCTCCACCCAGCTACAAGAAAGAAAATGATCAAGAGTGGCCATATAAGTCAGTCAACAAGCAATAGTGCCTATGATATGCCAGGTGGTAAGCACTGGGGGTGCAAAGAAAAGCAAAAGACAGTCCTTGTTCTCGAGGAGTTCTCAGTCTATTGGGGGAGTCAATATGTATACAACCACGGACAAAATAGTTACATACAGAATAAAAGGGAGGAAATCAATAGAGAGAAGAAGACACTAGAATTAAGAAAAGTTGGAAAAGACTGCTTGTACAAGGTGGGATTTTAGCCGGAAGTTGAAGAAGGGCAGGGAAGCCAGGAGACAGAGATGAAGAGAGGGAGAATGTTCCAAACAAGAGACAGCTAGTGAAAATGCCCACAGTTGGAAGATGAAGAGTCTTATGTGAGGAACAGCAAGGAGACCAGGGTCACTGGATCAAAATGTACACAGGGAGGGGGTTCTAATGTATAAAAAGTCTGGAAATGTAGGAAGGGCCAGGTTATGAAAAGCTCTGAATGCTAGACAGAAGGTTTTATATTTGGTCCTGGAAATGACAGAGAGTCACTGGAGTTTATCAGGTCTGTGCTGGGGTGGGGGGGGTGCCGCTAGGTGGTGCAGTGGATAGAGCACCGGCCCTGAAGTCAGGAGGACCTGAGTTCAAATCCGGCCTCAGACCAAACACTTGACACTAGCTGTGTGACCCTGGGCAAGTCACTTAATACCAATTGCCTTAAAAAAAAAAAAGTCTGGGTTGGGGGTAAAGAAGGTGAAAATGGTCAAATCTGTGCTTTAGAAAGATTAGTTTGATAGCTGAATGGTGGATGGACTGATGTGAGATCAATGATACCAACCTGAAGGCTACTGAATAGTTCACTAATAAAAAGCTAAGTGCCTGGCAGGACTATCAGAGAAGAAAAGGGGGTGTATGTGAGATGTTATGAAGGTATAATTAAAAGAACTGAAAGGCCTTGGCAACAGATTGGTCTTGGGAGAGAAGGGGGAGAATAAGAAATTAAGGATGACACCTAGGTTATGAGCCTGTGTGACTGGGAATGGTGGCGCCCTCAACAATAATAGGGGAAGTTGGGAGGAAAGATAGTGACAATCACTTTAACAAGAAAACTAGCGAAGGGCAAGACTAACTTAGGTGACTAGTGGTGAGCATAGACTTCTTTTCTTTTTTCTTGCTCGATTAATTTCAAAGTATATTAGCAGCATTACCTCTCATTCCACAACGACCCAATGGATGGCTGAATGCCAAATTCAGCAAGACAGATTTGGGTAAAACCTAGAAAAACTCACGGCTTTATATCAATAACAAAACCAAACAGAAATCATATGATTATCTCAATAGATGCAGAAAAAGCTTTTGACAAAATACAGCACCCATTCCTATTAAAAACACTAAAGAGTATAGCAATAAATGGAGCTTTCCTTTAAATGATAAGCAGTATTCCTCTAAAACCACCAGCAAGCATTACCTGTAATGGGGATAACCTAGTAGCCTTCCCACTAAGATCAGGGGTGAAACAAGGAAGCCCATTATCACTACCATTATTCAATATTGTACCACAAATGTTAGCTTTAGCAATAAGAGAAGAAAAAGAAATTGAAAGAATTACACTAGGTAATGAGGAAACAAAATTATCACTCTTTGTAGATGATATGATACACTTAGAGAATCAACTAAAAAAACTACTCGAAATAATTAAAACTTTAGTAAGTTGTAGGACGTAGAATAAACCCACACAAACCATCAGCATTTCTATATATTAACAACAAAGCTCAGCAGCAAGGGACAGAGAAATTCCATTTAAAATAACTGTAGACAGTATAAAATATTTGGGAGTCTACTTGCCAAGACAAACCCAGGAACCATATGAACACAATTATTTAGCACTTTTCACACAAATAAAGTCAGATCTAAACAATTGGAAAAATATCAGCTGCTCATGGGTAGGCCAAGCTAATACAATAAAAATGACAATTCTATCTCAATTAATTTACTAATTCAGTGCCACACCAAACTAACAAAAATTATTTTATAGAGCTAGAAAAAATAATTTAAAAAATTCATCGGGAAGAAAACCTCATGACTTTTAAGACTAGAATGGAGTCTGTAAATTATTTAAAAATTAAATAAAGACTAGAACAAACATTCTGGAGAGCAATAAGGCAATATAAAATAAGAGGCACAGGCCCTATGATGTCCTTAAGCCTAGGCATTCCACTGCTAGGATTTTAACCTAAAAATATAGAAAGAAAAAAAAAGGAACTTAATTTACAGAAATATTCATGACCATTCTATTTTTAACAGCTAAGTACTGGAAGCAGGCTCTGCATCCAGCAGTTGGAGGATGGTTGAATCAAATGTGGTGTGTTGGTACAACAGAAGATCACAGTGCCATAAAAAATGGGGATAAATACCAGGCATGCAAAAAATATAGAAAGACAAATATAGAGTGATAATAGTGAGAGACAAAGATGTGAAGGAAAAGAAAAGGAAGGCAAGGCCAAAGGTGTCAGAACTGCAGACGCATCTGGAAGGGAGCAAAGAACAAATGCATTTTTTGGGGTTCTACTTGGTTAAATGTTGAGGGTTTTATGCAAGATTTTGTTTTTTTCTTTGTATATTTATTTCATGGACTGTCTTCTCCCTCCTCATCCCCGCCTCCTGGATTCTGGGGCCTCTTTCAAGTCTCAGATAAAATCCCATCTGCTTCAAGAAGCCTTTCTTGTTCCCTCTCAATGCTAGTGCATCTCCCCTGAGATTATATATTCATTTTATCCTGTTTATATCTTGTTTGCACATAGTTGTCTGCATGTTACCTCACCCATTAGACTTCAAGTTCCTCAAGGGCAGGAACTGTTTCTGCTTTTCTTTATGTCTCCAGTGCTTAGCACGGTGCCTGGCACATAACAGGTGCTTAATAAACGCTTGTTGGCTTAACTTCTAAATACAACAGAGTAGTTCTGAACATTTTTGCAGAGTTAAGTTCCATTTTCCCTTGCTATGACATTTTTAGGTTAAATCCTAGCAGCAGAATGTCTGGCTAAATAAAAGGCCTAAGAAGGCTAAAGGTGCCTTGGGAGCAAAGGGATGGACTGGATGATTTGTGCAAGTTTCTCTTGCCTTATGATGCTGATGTAATGATGATGATGGTAAGGAGGCTGAGAATCTATTGCACAATAGCGACGATAATAGTGATAACCTTTTTTCAGACCAGGTTTGTGCTTGTAGGTATGGAAACCCCCTCCAGAATGCAGCCTGGCAGCTCTCTTGTAACTTGTGGTCTTCAGGAAAGCAGGGGTTACTGAGAAGGTAAGTGACCTGTCCACGGTCATACTGTGTGTACAAGAGTCAGGATGTGAACTTTGGCCTCCACGACTCCAAAAGTGGACCTCAATTCCCTCTGCCTTATTGCCTCTCAGTCAGGGCAGCTTAAATTTATACAGAGCTTTAATTACCAAAATGCTTTTACCTATTGTCATTTGACTCTTTCAACAGCCTTGTGAGATAGTCACTGCAAATACTATTGTCCCAATTTTGTGCACGATGAAACTGAGGTTCAGAGAAGCTAAGCTAGCTATCCAACTGCTAGAACTTTAACTTAAAAATATAGAAAAGAAAAAACTTAAATTTATAAAGGTATTTGTGGCTGTTCTATTTTTAATAGCTAAGTACTGGAAGTAGCCTATGTGTCTGGCTATTGGGATAGCTAAATAAAATATGGTGCCTTGGTGCAACAGAAAATTATAGTGCCATACAAAAGGGACAAATACCAGGTACGCAGAAAATTTATTAGCTATCCTGCTCATAAAATGGAACAGCTAGGAGGGTCAGTGGATGGAGCACTAGGCCTGGAGTTTGGAAGAGCTGTGTTCAAATCCAGCCTCAGACACTGTGTGACCCTGGGCAAGTCATTTAACCTCTATTTGCCTCAGTTTTCTCATATGTAAAAAGGGTATAATAATCCTACCTATCTCCCACGATGGTGTGAGGATCTACTAAAATAACAATTGTAAAGCACTTAGCACAGTGACTGATACATAGTATCCCTATTATTGCTCCTGCTGTTATTGCTAGAATCAAGATTCCAAGCTAGGAATCAGTGTGTTAAGAGTGTCAGAGCACTAGACTGTAAGCGAGATGAATGAGGTTTGAGAACAGGCTCTCTACTTTCCTGGTCATTTAACTCTAGACAAGGCACTTCTGCTCTTTCACTATGGGTCCCTCATCCATGCAGGACATGAGATACACTCTAGTCTCCCTCAAGTCTCTTGCAGACCTAACATTTCACCAGCTTTTACATCTTCTGATGCTAAGTCCAATGTTTCTTCCTCCATATCTGAATGATACAGGGGAATCTACTGGACTTCCAGTTTGGAACAGAATTTTAAATAAGATATCTCTAAAACCAACACCACAAAGCAAAGAGTGATTGACTTGGTAGGTCTCTCCCTTCTAAATAACGTAGTCCACAGGCAGCATTTCCTAGACACCCTGCCTATCTACCCTTTTCAGGAACTTGTGCTTACCCTTTGTTGGGGTTGAATGCTTGGGACCAAATTTTGACCCTGATCCCATTTCACCGTGGGATGCTTTTCCTCTTCTTTTGGTGCTTCTGGTGTTCTCTTCTTCACTGTCAGATTCAGTGTGGAAGGTCTCCTCTCCTTCAGGTGCGAGAGACTCTTCAGGCACTGGAGCCAAGTTAACCATGGTGAGATGCTCACTTCGTGCCTTTTCCCTCTCATACTGCCGGCTTAAATCACTTTCTTCTGCAAAAACATGGGAAATATACTTTGTTGTCCGCTGTCGACCTTCATCTTCCATGAAACCCTGAAGAGATCAGATTAGGTTAATCATACTGGGAAACTAATTGAGGATACAGAGGTGGCATGTTTCAGTGAGACAAACCACAACTGGTGACTAAAGAGTGGTCATTTAAAAGTATTATTTTGCCCCCATGAAGGATGAAAAATCGATATATTTGGAGTCAGAAGACTTGGTTTCAAATTCCATCTGCCTGAGCTTGGGCAGGTTATGTGCACTCTCTGGGATGGGTTTTCTCTCAGTGAAATGGGGAGGATGGAGTGGACGCACTCCGAAGTTTTTTTTCCAGCTCTAATTCTTATGAGATGCTGGCACCATTTAACACCTCGTGCTGGTTTCCTCACATGCAGAAGCAGCTCACCCCAATGTCACGTTAGGGATGAGAAATGTAATACAACCACAACTTAGCGATCTGAAAATGAGCCAGCTGATTCTTGGTTACCTCTAGTGATGTAAGGCAGGGACAGCTTAAGTAACGGAATCCTAAAGAATGGCAAATCTTGGCTTTATCCAAAAATTTCAACCTCTTCCTTAACCAGATTGTTTTCTGGGAGCATAGAGAATTCCACCTCTTTTTCTATTCCATATGTTAGTAGGTTGCTGACAGGCTAAGTAAAGTGACCAAAAGGCTAACGACCAGAGGGTAGAAATACAAAGCATCTGAACAATTCACAAACTGGCGACCAGCCCCTACATTTACATAGCACTTTAAACTTTTTAGAGGGCTTTCTGCACAATAACCTTGTGAGATAGGTAGGGCAAGTGTAAAGCCCCATATTATAGATGAGAAAAACAGGCTCATCTTACAGGTTAGGTAATTTGCCTGTGGTTATGTACTTAGAAATGATCAGAGCCAGGACTCAACCTCAAGATTTTCTAAAGAAAAGTCTAGTGCTCTTCCCACTTCTAACATGGTAGTCCTGCCTAGTTTTCTGGCTCAGTCAAGTGTGTTTTTCTCTTCTCTGTATTGATAACATATCTAAAGACAAACCAAATCACTAAATGGGAGGTGATGTCACAATGTTACCTTGACCACTTTGTATCTCTCGAGCAGACGACACAACATCCTCGCTTCCAGTTTCCCCACGTTCATAGCCATCCGCACCTCAGCCTGGGAAATTCCTTTGGTGCCTCTGCTTTCAACTGTTGAAACAAGAAGATAATATGCATTCATTCAACAAAAATTTACTTAGAGCCTACTAAGTACAGAGCTTTGTGCTAAACAATGAGGGAAACATAGATAAATTAACACTACAAAGACAACATGGGTTGACCTGCAGAAGTCACCACAGGGTAAGGCTGTTCTTCTTCTGGAAAACACAGAGATTTTAAGGCAGTAGAATCCTCTAATGCAAGCAAATCCCTGAGCTGCTGCCATCTCCTTTGAGTTAAAAGTACTGTACCAAATATGAAGAAATCAAACGCTGATTGTCCAGATACATTGCCCCTTTATTCCTTAAGATTTCTTCAGAGACTTCACAGAATTTCAGAGTTAGAAGGAATCTCAGAGTCCATTTAGTCCAAGTGAAAGCTGGTATGATGTCTTCCTGGTGATCTCTCACAGGGACTTCTCCTACAGGTAAAGTATGAAGGCTGGCAGGGTGAGGGCACCTGCTACTTTATGAGAAGCCACACTGGCAGCGGTGCAGTGGAGAGGGCAGCCAACATTGTGACATAAGACCTGTGTTTGCTTCCTAGCCCTGCAATTTACTTGTCAGAATGCACATTTCTTGAGGGCAGGGCCTGTTTCTTGTATTCCCAATGTTTAGCACAATACCTGGCACACAGTAAGCACTTAATAAATGCTTGGTGACTGACTGACCTCAATGCAAGTAATTTACCTTCCCTGAGTCTCAGTTTCTTAAGATGTAAAGGGAGATCAATCAAGCAATCAGCAATCAACAAGCATCTATTAAGTATCTTCTCTATGTTAGGCACTGGGGAGACAAAGAATGAAACAATCCCTACTGTCAACTAAAATAATACTTGTGGTAACAACCCCACAGATTTGTACTGAAATTCAAAAGAGTTAAAATATATATAAAGTTTTATAATCATAAAAACATACAAGCTCACATGCACACATACATACATACATATGTGTGTATACATATACACGTATAAGCTATGATTTTTTTCTATTAACTAAGATCCTTGAGACGCAAAAAGTATAGCTAATTTTTTAAAATTCCTCCCTCCAGTTCTGAAATGGAAAGATGTAATGACATGCACAATCCATAGTAAGCATGGAATATATGAACTCCATTGTAGAAGCATACTTCCTTGCTGAACAGAAATTAAATTTTTCTTGATAATTCACTATCAATGCAACACTGTATGTAAAGTACTTTGCCAACAGTAAAAGATCATAAGAAATGCAAGATATCATCAATCACTGTACTTTAAGGCTCTGTGGTCTATTGTGGACACTCTCTACACCCGTTATTATACTATGCTATAATATAGTGATGCCCTCTGGAACTATTAAGGTGTATTATAATAATAAGACATGGTTCCTACCATTTTAAAAAACACATTTTCCTACCATTTTAAGGTTTATAAAACACTTTCTCCACAATTCCCCAAGGAGCCAATCAGTGCACATGTTAATATGATCACTTTATAAATGAGAACTACAGTTTGGAGGCTTGAAGTGACTTGCTTCAAATCTGACCTGTGGTCTTCTGACTCCAAGATCCTTTCTGCCATGACTATAATAAATCAAGAGCTCCAGACTGTTGTGCTTTTGGAGCTGTGTAATTATAGTGCAAAGTGCCCTGGGTTTGGAGTCAGAGGACATAGGATCAAGGTGATCTTGGGCATGTACTTGGCTTCTCCAGCCCCCATTCTCCTTATATGTAAATCGCTTAACCTCTCTAAGCCTCAGTTTACCCATCCATAAAATGGGGATAATAATAGCACCTTTCTCACAAGGTTATTGTAAAGATCAAGTGAGATATGTAAAGTGGCTTACAAACCTTAAAGCATTATATAATGAATAAACAAATGAATGAAAATGCATTTATTAAGCACTTACTATGTGCAAAGTACTGTGCTAAGCTTCAGGGATAAAAACTGAAAAGTAAAACAGCTTCTTCTCTCAAGGAGCTCACATTCAATACTGGGAGACTACATACATAGGAGATTTCTGCTAGAGTGCATGTAAAGGCCCAAATGTTCTTAGAGTGCAACAGCAAGGTAGACGGAAATGCATCTTCTTTAATGGCATTTCTAGCAATAAAACCCTATCTGTTTCTGAGGTTAAACCATCTGATGGTGCCAACAACTTTAGTGTCCAGAACATTTCCCCCCTGGGTTTTTAGGGGCTGTGGAGGAGGTAGGGGCTTAGCTATTATTATTATGGCTGTCTCTTCCCATTAAAAGATGCATTAGGTTCCATCAGAAGGTGAATTAGGATCATAGAGTTTCTGGGAATGAGTATTAGAAATCTAGTCTAGCCTTCTCATTCTACAGATAAAGAAACCAAGGCCCATAGAGATTCACAATCTGTTCAAGGTCACAGAGGTTGTAAGAGGCAGGGAGAAGGTTCAAGCCTAGGATTGAGGAGATTTGGAATTAATATTTTTCATACCCTAACCTGAGAGGTTGTGTTTTTCCCTCTTCCCAGAAATTAAGCTAAAATCCCTCCATCCTGATACCAAAATAGACAATATAAAAACACACATTGTGGCTCCTATTTCTTTACTGTCTCACACTGGGTAGGACCAGTACACTTCATATTCAATCTAATTATTAGCAAAGAAAATTGATGCTCTCATGCATAACAAAGTAGTAATTATAGAATGAGTATGCAATTTCACAGCCCCCTTCATTCCTCCCTTTTAAAGCTAAATCCAGGCCTGCCTCCACACTAATCTCCTTAACACTTTCAATTTCTCTCTTTCAGCCTCTTAAAGTTCACATTTTTACTATTTAAAAAAATCTTGATTTGACCCTGCTACTCCACTTTCTATTTCTTTTTCTCTTATAGCCAAACACTTCAAATGATTGGATTCAACACATAACTTCCAATACCTCACACTTCTTTAACTCCCTATAGTCATGCCTTACACATAGCTGGTACTTTGCAAATCTTAATTGAATGAATGAATGAATGAAAAAATGACTGCACCTGGCTTCCATTCCCACTTCAGTCACTGAAATAGCTAGTCACCAATTACCTAGCCAACCTCAAGAAGTTACCTAAAGAAACTCACTCAGGATTAGTCTTCCAGAACAATGCTCACTTCCTAGCAGATGTTTAACAAATAACTGAATAAAGGCTTCCTTCCACAACTTTTCCCTGCCCCTTACTTAATTTGTTTGTTTTGGTCAATGGTATTTATTACTATTCTCCCAGACCCCTTAATCCAAAATCTTCTCTACTAGTCAACAAGTTCTGTTGGCTCTGTCAGTTCTTCTTTTAACATGCTCCTTCTCCATTTCTACTGCTCTAATCAATGCCTTCATTACTGCATAGCTTTATACTGCAATAACCTAATTAGTCTCTTTGACTTCAGTATTTCCTCTCTTTAATCCATCCTGCAAATGCCACTAGCTGAATCTTTAAACACAGCTTTATCATGTCCCTCCCTAGTTGAAGAACCTAAAAAAAACACTACTAAGCACTTATTTGGTGCTTAATAAATGCTTGCTGATTAAGACCCCAAGTGGTTCGATTCGAAATTCCCTAAGCTGACATTCAACCACTTCCATCAACTTAGCCCTATGCTTTCAGTGCAATCCAATAACAGCAGTTCCTATTTACATAGTTCTTCAGTTTGCAAAGCCCTTTACTCACAACATCCCACATACTAGGTACTTCAAAAATTACTGTTCCATTTTACAGGTTGTGACCATTTCAAACAATCCAGGATCCAAATCCACATCTTCTATCTCCAAGATTGGCACTGTTTCCTCTCCATCATGGAGCCATTTTTAGTAGTCATTATTCAGAACAAAGATCCTCTACTCCAATGATAACTTTTTTTTTAACCATTCCCATGTTGTATTAATTCCTGCTTCCACACTCTTGCTTATGGGTTTGTCTGGGGTTTTTTTTGCTGTCAACAATGTCCTCCCCATCTCTGAACTTCCATATCAAGACCCAATCCCTTTCTGAAGTGTTCTCTGGTTAATTCAAGCCATGATGATTTTTCATCTCTCTTAATTCCCACTGTACTGACTGTCTATAGTCCAGTGCTTCTTAAAGTGTGGGTTACAATCCTATGACCTACAGTATAAGAAGTGCTGAAGGTGTCTCAAGTGGAAAAAGTTTAAGAAGCCCTGCTGTACACTATACAACTTTCCATTAGATGTTCGACTGTTCTCTATTTCATGAATATACATTTGACTTTTTAATAATTCATGAGCTTCAAGGATAACGGTAGTATTTTCTATTTCTTTTCTATCATCTCAGTGGTTAGCACAATGCTGCTGAATCGATACAATATAAATAGAAGTATTGATTAAACTTGAAGTGGAGTGGCAGGTAGAGCTAGATGTCTGTAGTAAGGGTCTAACAGTCAAGCACTTAACTCTTTGCATGGGCTTCATGTAATTTCTGTCTGGTAGAACAATTCAGAATGAACATCCCAAGATCATTAAACAAATAGGAAGAAGAAGCCAGCTATAGTGAAAAAGTCATTGCCCTGGCAATCAGATGACTCAAGTGCTGGTCCTCACATTGTCACTAACTAGGTGTATGACCTTGGACAAGTCACTTTACTTCTCTGGGCTCAATTTCCTTATCTGTAATATCAGGGGATTGTGACAATGAAGAACACTTCACACCTCTATGCTGATGGGTGATAGATCGGGGCTCAGAATGAGATGTTTTTACATATGGCTAATGAGTGGATCTGTGGGTTGTTTTTTGATGAGGCAACCAAGGTTAAGTGACTTGCCCAGGGTCACATGCTAATAAGTGTCAAGTGTCTGAGGCCAGATTTAACCTCAGGTCTTCTTGACTCCAAGGCCAGAGCTCTATCCACTGGACAACCTAGCTGCCTTGGGCTTTTTTTTTTTTGCAAGACTATTTTGAGAGGGGACTTTTTGAGGGGCAGGTGTTTGATACGGATACTAAAAAGGAAGAAAAGAAAAAAAAGACCACCAACAAATATTTTTTAAAAATAAGCAGGAGAAAGAAGCATGCTTAGAAGACAAGCAAGGCAATGTCTGAACTGTCAACATTGTTATATGTTAAGCTTGAAATACACAAAAACACCCAACTGTACATAGTAGAGATCGCTGAGTGTTTTTTTCTGGTTTCTTGTGTGTGTGTGTGTGTGTAAGGAAATGTTCATATTGATATTTGTTCAGTTCATAATAATAAAAGGAAAATTTTAAAACATACAATGAACTGAGGGGACTGAACTACAAAACAGCTGTGCCAGAAAAGGTAGTTTAAACTGATACTGACAACACATAATACACCGCTTTAAGGTTTATTCCTTTCATCCTTGATCAACAAATAAGGGCAACTTTGGAGTGGTGTGTGAACTATGAAGGGGTAAAGAGTTCATCCTAAATGCTTTCTTACTTTAAGACAGCCTTGCAAATAAATATAGCAGTTTCCCAGTACTACACAATGTTCCCTTAACCTGACCTTCCCCCAGGAACCTCACTGCTGGTAAGAGAATCCAAATCAGTTTTCTTTACTACTCACTGACCCTCTGTTGCTACTTCCTAGGAAAAGCCACAGGTGGATGGCTGTTTATGATGTTTGCTTTTCTCTCTCATTTGTCTTCTTTCATATTTAGGAAATAGCATAGAGTTTCAAAGCCCACCTTCCCACATCAGGTACACAGAAAGGCCTAGGTCCAGCTACGCAGATTTCCTTTGACTACAAAGGCTTGTGAGGCTCTCAACAGCAAAGAAGCATGGTCAGAAGATGCATTTAGGTTACAGCTATCATAAAGGTCTTTCCTGCAACTAAGAATCCTAATTTTTTATACATGGACAAAATTAAGCTAGTTCAGAAGCATGCTTAGATGCATATAACATGATAATGCTACCTACTTAGTTCGTAAGTCTGTGTTAGCATGTCTCTCTCATAGACGATGTCTACAGGCTGGATCACCTTGGAAATCACCTCCTCATCATCATCATCATCTTGATCGTGATCATCTTCTACCTTCCGTTTAAATTCTTTCAGTAGCTTGAGGCATCGGACCATGACATGTGTTCCTAGGAATACAAGCAAACAACTTTCAGTAAAGAAAAAAGTAATGCTATCAAAACATATGTCAGCATAAAAATGGAAATTCAACAAGTCATAAATCTATTTACATCAAACACAATACAATCTCCTTTTCTGTATCAATAGAGTAAAAGTCATGTCTCTGTTAAAGACACGTGATTATTGGCAAGTCACTTTACTTCTGAGCCTCAGTTTCCTGATCTGTAAGAGAAGGGGATTGCACTAGGTGTGTGTTTCCAACCTTCTGAAGTGCAAGGATTCTTTTTTTAGCTTAAAAAAAGGAACAGACTCTTTAATGATAGAATTTATACTATTATTATCAATTGACTGAGAAAAAGTGATAAAAAGCTACCAGGAATTCAGTAAAACTTTTAAGTGAACTTATTAATAATAGGATCTAAACATATTTGAAAAAATGTTCATGTGTATATGTAACAGACAGTGATTCAACATATGGAAGTATGCTTAATGCTGTCTATTTTGTTAGAGGTAAATAAAGACCAAAATAGTGATCCTTGGTGTGCATAAAATTTGAAGGCCTGGCCTTAATCCCCTCCAGGGATTCTCAGATCACAGGTTGGGAACCACTGTTGGGAACCACTGAACTAGACAGATGATTTATCTAAAGTCACTTCCAACTCTAACATTTTATGATTTGTGATCTAAATCAACCTAATGCATAAATTAACCTGAAATTTTTTGTTGTGAAAATTCTGCTTTGGGCCTGTAGATATCCTGGAGCCACAAGCCCAGAAGCACCTCAACTGTGGTACAGAAGTAGCAATAGGAAAGAGAAGCTCTGGGCTCTAAGTCTTGGCTCAGCTACTAACTCATACAGCTCTAGGTCCTAGTCCATAATAATGTCTACTGATATTTATGACACTGTTAATTTTGCAAAGCACTTTACATGCAGAATCTTGGTTGAACCTCATGACAGCCTTGTCAGGTAGGTAGTAGAGACATTATTATCCCTTATTATTATTATTATTACAGGTGAGAAAACTAAGCCTCAGAAAAGGGAAGTGATTTAACCAAGTCTCCCTGTATCTACATCTAGAATGCTACCCACTATGTACTGATGTACTGCCTGATCTCTTTCAAGTGAGGTGGCTGCTCTAAATCATCTTTCAGGTTCCCTCTAGCCCTAACATTCTTGTGTCACAAGGTCCCTTCCCAGGTCTTTATCCTATGTTTGAGGATTTCTTCCTGCTATAATATTAAATGATCTACAAAATCTTCAACATTGAGTGCCACTTTCATTGTCTATTTTGTTAGGGCAGCCAACACTCCCAGAGTGCCTTTCAATCCCAGTTCCTAGGCAATCCCAGCAGTGGCAGTAACACCTTCTGACTTAGAGTCAGAAGCCACTTCAACAATTGTCTAGTCCAATCCTCTTATTTTATACAGCTCTGGAAACCGAGGGTCAAAAATGACTCTGAGGTCACAAAGGTATGAAAGGTTGTTCTTCTCTAGTCTTGGCCCTGCCCCTCTGGGCTGAGCTACTTTCTGCCCTTCAGAATGGCTCAGGATGAAGTTCTTTCCTCAGCAGCACACAAGGTTGTCTCCCAATCAACTGATTCATGCTAATGTGCTAAGAGGGTACAGAACCCAACCTCCTATAATATTCTCCTTTACCTCCTAGGTAACAAATATTGTACTATAACACTTTCTTATATTCTACCATCACTATCAACCCCCATTCAAACCCCAAGACTTACGATGATCCAAAGGATGTACAAGCAACAACAAATTAACATGATTGCCTAGACACCAGAAATACTTTCTTCTAAGACAGCAACCTAACAATACTGCACTTGAGAGAAATTCAGTCAATTTTTTCCTAGCCAACTTCCTTAAAAACAAAGGAAAGAAACAACATTTGGTTGTTGACTTAACTTCCTTAAGAGACTAACTAGCCAAGATGCATAGAATAAGTATCAACAGATACTAATGAAAGAAAATAAACTTTATGAGGGTTATGTTGGGCTCTGCTTTACAAGGGAATGCTATTAGATGACTTTTCCTTCACATCAGCCAAAGCTATGTGTACCTTTTCTGGGTCACTCTGGAAAAACCTTTGATTTGACAAAACCACTTATCAGTCCTTTCAACATTTCTCAAGATCCTACTGCTTATTATTAACCTGAAGCCTCTTCTGCTCAGCATTAGATGCTCCATTTCACTAAAATTCTTGTTCGCTCACAACTGGTGGTTTATTCATATTTTAACTTTAAAACACAGTTGAATTTCTTTCATGTCACAGGCCTATAGGAACACATTGTAAACTAGTTAAATACAAGTATTTATTATCTACTATGTGCTAGTTCTCTTGCCCTCAAGGAGCTTAGAGAAAGAAGAGTATATAAGCATATAAGAGATACAAGTATATATACAAGTACTTAAGAGAAGACAGAATATTTGTTGTTGTTTAGTTGTTTCAGTAGTGACTGACTCTTCATGATCCCATTTGGGGCTTTCTTAGCAAAGATCTTGGAGTGGTTTGCCATTCTCTTCTCCAGCTCATTTTACAAATGGGGAAACTGAGGCAAACAGGATTAAGTGACTTGCCCAAGGTCACACAGCTATTAAGTGTCTGAGGCTAGAATGAACTCAGGTCTTCCTGACTCTAAGTCCAGTGCTCCAGCCACTGCACCACCTAGCTGCCCAGGCAGAATATAAGATGGTGCTAAAGGAAGGACTCCCAAAGTACCATATGAATTTAGACGAGAGAGAGAGATCACATTTTGTTGTGGGGATCCGGCTGGACTTCAAAGGAAATTGAGCTGGGTTTTGACAGATGAGTCAGAATATATCACAAGGAAATTATAGGGAGAGAACATTCAAAGCAGCGGGAACAGGAGAAGCAGAGATGGGCAGGCCAGCATAAATGATGATAATAAAAATAACAATACCCTTCTCTAAAGAAAGCACAGCAACACAGTGAAGGAAGCAAAGGAGCTTGAAGGACCTTAAAAATCATCCTTGGAAAATTCTTTCAACTACTCCCCCATGTGCCTATGTGGTGTAACAACCTAGACTTAAGAATTCAATAAGTAATATTATTACAGAGATATATATAGAGATAATTCTAGTGCATGTTTCATTTTACACATAAGAATTTCTAAGGCTTGGAGAAGGAGGAGACTCAGTATGAAGACCCAGGTCTTCTGCCTCTAAACCTAGTACTCTTGAATTGTTCTAAACTACCTCAATATCAATCCTATTTTTAAGATGAAGAAACAGATTCAGAACAATAAAGTGATTTGCCAAAAGTCACTCACCCTAGTATCAGGCTAGAATGGTGCTGAATTCTTATCCCCCCTCTCTCCCCAATTTGTACTGATATTTTTTATTCTTATGTCATCTTAATTTCTTAAATATATCTTCTCCTTACCCAATGAAAAAACCAACTGATACATCCACCAAGTCAAGTTGGATAGCATATGCAATACTGCACCTCTTCAAAAAGGAGAGGCTGATAGATTTTCCTAATTCTTCTCTAGGGCCAAGCTTCTAGTTCATAACTACATAGCATTTAGTTTGGGGTCTTTTCTGAACCCAGAATATTTCAATACCAGAAATCTTTCAACTACACTACAGATATTTATGAGATATACCAATCCACACTTACAAACTCAATAAGTAAAACTATTAGAGAAATATTTTTAGCATCCTGTTTCATGAGACATTGCTTTTTTTTGGGGGGGGGTGAAGCAACTGGGGTTAAGTGACTTGCCTAGGGTCATGCAGCTAGTGTCAAGTGTCTGAGGCCAAATTTGAACTCAGGTCCTCCTGACTCTAGGGCCAGTGCTCTATCTACTATGCCATCGAGCTGCCCCAATATGGTTTTTTTTTTAGATACTGCTTTTTTAATATGCCTTTGAATGCTTGACTTGAAAGAACTCAACAGTAAAAAGTATACAAAGTCTAGTCTAGCAACTTTTTTTTAGCTTTTAAATAAAAAATATATTGTTTCATTTCAATATTTTGAAAGCTATATTTCAAAATATTATATTATTTCATCTATGAAGAGATCTTTTGCTGCAAAAAAAACCCCAAAGTAGGTTATGATTCGTCTTTAGGCACTGGATAAATGGTCTGTGGTCACACTATCAGTGCGTGTCAGGAGCAGGACCTAAACCCAGGTTTTCCTGACTCTTCCTTTTAATTATACCATGCTGCTTCTACAGTGTTTTTAATAAGAATGGGTGTTGTACTTAGTCAAATGCTTTTTCTGCATCTATTGAGATAATCACATGATTGCTGTTAGTTTTGTTGTTGACATGGTCACTTATGCTGATAGTTTTCCTAATATTGAACCAGTCCTGCTTTCCTGGTATAAATCCTACCTGGTCATAATATATTATCCTTGAGATAAGTTGTTGTAATCTTTTTGCTAATATTTTATTTAAAATTTTTACATCTATATTCACTAGGAAAATTGGTCTATAATTTTCTTTCTCTGTTTTGGCTTTTCCTCATCTAGGTACCAGCACCATATTTGTATCATAAAAAGAATTTGGCAGGACTCCTTCTTCACCTATTTTCACAAATAGTTTATATAGTATTGGAATTAGTTGTTCCTTAAATGTTTGATAGAATTCACTTGTAAATCCATCTGGCCCTGGAGATTTTTTCTTAGGCTGTTCATTGATGACTGTTCAATTTCTTTTTCTGAAATGGGGTTTGCCACGCTGCTTCTCAAGTATTTTGACTCTAAAGAATTTTCTAGAACCCAGTTGCTGTCCTAGTAACTAGAGAATATTACTGAGCTCTGATGTAATTTTTTCCTAAGAGCTCAGTCTTGGGAGAATCTAAGCAACTTCATAGCCCAGAAGAAAGGGAAGTGGATTAGAACCAGGTGTCTTGGACTCCAGTGCTGGCTCTACCACCAGCTGAATGACCTCTATGAACCGCTGTTATGGTTTCATCTGTGAGATAAGGACATAGGTCCTTGCAGATATTCAGTGTTTTAAAGATATGGAAATAATACATGTTGAATGTTGAGCACAAAAAAGCAAATAACTCTTTCTGGGTCAAAGTTCTGCTCAAAGGGCATAAATTCTCATTGACGCATTTAGCACAAGTAGCCAGCACATAACAAGTACTTAACATATGTTTGTTAAATAGAACTGAGTCCATCATTCTAAGGACTGCTCAATTCTGAGGCTTACATGAATAAGCTTACTGTATCATGTTTCTATCAGAAACTACTTGGCTAAAGAATTATGAGTGAAACAGTGAACACCAATTATTTTGGGTGTGAAAGAAGAGAACAGTAAAAAATATATAAAGTCCAGCCCAGTTACTTTGTTTTCTTGTCAGCCTTCAAATAAAACATCTTTCGTCCTATTAGCTACAGTTGTGACATCACTGAAGCTCTCTTCTGATGGCTGGTTCATTGTGGCATGATAGTGACCTTGAATTCTCAAAGGCTGTGATAGGGGAGAAGGAGCTTTGGCAGGTGCCACTAGGCTGGATAGACTTTGAGGAAGGCTTTAACAACATCCTGTGTCCTTTATCCCAGGAAAAGCCTGCTACATAAGCGAAGAACAGCTCATCATAAAAAGGGTAGTCACCATGTCATAAGTTTTTGGCTATAGCACGAGCTGAAATTATTGAAATGTAAAGTTTGGGATAGATTTCAACAAAATGGTTGATTGTCTTCCAGGCTGTGACTGAACTGGTGGAAAGAGGCAGTTGAAAGGCCCTCCAGTGCAGAATCCATTTTAAGTCGGCTCAAAAGCAGCTAAGGAATGCATACTGCTGGCTTCATGAATCATATGGGACCCATGCGTTTGTAAAATTGAAATACTCCAAAATGCTTGTGAGAGAACAGTGACAAGATTCCCCTGAGGGCTACATGAAAGAAGCTTTTTTTCCATAGAAAATTCTCTGTGTCAGAGAAAGCATTGTGTTGCTTCCCTCAATATGTAGCTACAAAGTTAAAACGTTCTCCACCTTAAAAAGAAAACCTTAGCTGGAGTCTTTTTATCGTTGAAACACCAAGGGAAATGCCACTGTCTAACAGGGATAGTTGGGAAAATAGAAATTGGGTTAGAAAGGTATCTTTTGCATGAAGCCAATCCCATACTGTGGAAGGGCTTATACTGGTGCAATGCTAGGCAGATGTTACCTAGACACAGTGTAGCAGAAAAAAAGACTAGACTTTGAGTCCAAAGACCTGGGTTATACTCCTGGTTCCACAACTGACCACTCTAGCAAATTACTTCACTGCTCTGGTCCTCAATTTCATTTTTTATAAAACAGAGATAACAATACTTGTACTCTGATTCTCTCAGGGAATTGTTAGGAAGCCACTTTGCAAATTTAAAAGCATGGCATAAATGCGAGCTAGCTTTCTTATCTGCTTACTAAAAATCCCCAATCAATATAATGGTGTTAATAACAATTTACATTAACATGGTCCTTTATGCTTTACAAAGTGATTTCCACCACTCCTAAAGTAAGCAGCACAAGGATTATTATTAACTCAGTTTTTACAGATGAGAAATCCGAGGTTCTGAGAGCTTTGGTGACTTGCCGAGAGTTTATTCAGCTGCTAAGTGCAAAAGCCGGGATTGACCCCCAGACTTTCTGCCTCCATTTGCTGAAACTCTGGTTGCTCTTTGAGTCCACCCTAACGACTGGATCACTGCTTGGGAAATTACACTGTTGTTGAAGTAGTCAGGAAATTGCTTTTTGAAGAACAAATCTGGACTGTTTTGATCACCTGTGGTGCTAGATATGACTGTTTTTATCCCGAATGCTACTGTATGGATCTGGTTAAAAGTAGAAATCTAGGACATCACTGAAAGAGAACTAAATCTGGAGTAAAGGAGCTCTGGGTTCCAATGCTGGCTCTGATACTTACTGTGTGACCACAGGGAATGTCATGCAGGTGTTAATGAGCCTTAGTTCTCTCATCTACAAAATGAGAATAATAACATTTGCGCTACTTACCCTTCAGGGTTATTGATACAGAAAAAGCACTTTGCAAACCTTTAATTATTATATCTGTCTAAGCATATATACTATATATTATTATATACACATTACATTTTACAGGGCACCCCGCCCCCCCAGTTATTCTTATTATGGAAATAACAAGGATAGAGCATCCACAAAATCTTATGTGGTGGCTTTATTGAGACATAGAGGTAAGTCCGGGTTCTTGATGTATACCCCATCAAGATCAAAGCTTGCCAGATCCTACCAAACTAGAAAAGTTTAATGTATATTCTTAGCAACAAACTATTTCTGCTTTCTTAGGACTAGCCTAAATAAGTATGGAAAGGCTCATCAATACTAGGCTGGCCATCTGGTGATGAATTCATTAGCCATGGTAACTCATGAAATAAGGAGAAATACAAAATAGTACTCAATCCTATGCAGCCACTTTAACTTCTAAAGTGATATTGGCAGAGAAGTGGAAAATCACATAGTTTTTAGACCATTTAAAAATGTCAATTTAATTATTGGTATTTTAAATGTAAAGTCCTTGTCTGATGATCAACAAGTAAACATATTACTAGAGAAATGGAATTGTATTGATCATTACAATCTCATGACAAATGAAACCAGGAACCCAAAGGAAGTAATAGCTAAATGAAAAGTTGCCTCACTGGTTGTCCTTGAAGAAATCAAAAGTGAAGCTGCCAAAATTATTTTTATTATATCTGGGGGCAAAAACAAATAACATTCTACAAGATATTTAGTCACATTGGTCTGAGATACTCAACATAAGCATCTGCAAAAGTATCACCATTTTAAAAAAAAGGGCAACTTTAGGGCAAAAAAGGGCAACAAACACCTGCTAGAGAATGAGGAAAGTGAGAAGACTATGAAAAATCTGATAAAACAATATGTTTTAATACTCAGTGACTTAAATACAAAAGTTGGCTTAGGAGAGGACAGCAAAATATATGGTTCAGGAGTAAGAAATGAGATCAAATCACTGATCAGTTGAAAAAGTACCTAGAGTAGTGAGAGAAAAAGAATTTTGCAGACTGTGCACCCTAGTTGATTGGAGCAGAGTGTTAAATTGACACACACTTAACTTCTGTGTTCAGGAACATCCCAAATGAATCCCATTAGTCAAAAGGGGGGAAAGGCAAAAATGTGTGACTTAACATGACTCAGTGTGATCAAGTGTGTGACTTAAGATGACTCAGTGTGATCACATCACTGCTACTGAAAACTCTCAACAGACAGCAAACTCTTCAAAGTCACGAGTAAGCGACAGCATATCCCCTTTCTAATAGCTTCCAATTACAACCATATTCTAGAGCAAGAACTGAGCCCATATATGCACACTTCACTTAATGCTGTTACTGGTTCTATAGAACATGGTATCAGGGGAAATAAAAGTGACAGGTAGCAGTCAGTATGCTAGGAATCATGTTTAAAATGCATGACTATCAGCTGAAGCATAATCCAAAAAGGAATTCCAACTTTATGGTAGTCTGCTTATAATGTATTAAGTATGAAGGAGAGCAGAGCAACCTGATAGGGGCCATGCCAAATATCTTGCCCTCTACTGGTACAGTGGGAAGCACCTTGGCACGTGTCTCTCGGCACATGAATCAGTGTCCCAGATCTACAACTCTCTTGCCTGAGCATGGGCAAACCCTTTCAATTCAATCCAATGCACATTTATTAAGTACCTGCTGCGTGCAGAGCAATATTCTAGGAACCGAGATACAAGTTTTAGGTAAGAAAGGGTCATTGACATCATGAAGTGCTCAGTCTAACAGGAAGATATGATACAAAATTAGATAGCTATAAAACAAAAGAATTTAAGTGTATTAAGACGTAAAAAATGCTACATAAGGAGGTCATTTTGACTTACCATGTCTGGCCTCAATTCCCTCATTTATACAAGGAGGGGGTTAGATTAAATTTCTTAAGTACTTCCAACCTATGACTGTTTGAGTAGCTTCTAGTTTTGTTCAGCATTTTTCTAAACACAGGTGTGTACCATCAATACATGAAAATACAAACTTGCAGAGTAGACAAAACAGGCAGCGATTATTTGCATTACAAGGCATCCTTTATTTTTTACAAAACAAATGGACTATATCTTTCCTTGGTGCACTTAAAATAGAATTCAATTTATAAAACTGATTTAAATGCAACTTTTCATGAACACAACTGCTACACAAAGTAGGTACACCTGCAACATACGAAGAAATGTTCATCTATTTGTTTAATTTTTCTATAATTCTACATTCCTTGATATCACTCACAGAAAAGAATGAATCTGAATTGTGTAAACAAGGTAAATTGAGATCTTGGGAAAAGTACACTGATAATTGTATAATTTTCTTTTGCTTTGTTTTGGGAAGGTCCTGAAGCTGAAATGACTAGAGGACAAATGTTAATGTACTAGTTTAACAGGAAAGCTCAACCGGGAGAAATGTGTTTCTGGAGAAGGGAGTGAAGGAGAGAACTATGACAGCCCAAAGCACAACGGGTTAAAAACTGCAGGCTCAGAGTTCCACATGTGGACAGCTGATGAAGTCAAGCCCTTACTTGAACGGCTGAACCCTGGATAAAAAACTTATCCTTACTCCTAACCCAAGAGCACTCAATCACCCTCTTTAAGGGAAAGAGGCCAAGATGGATGGAAAGGGTTTACTGTTTTACTGCAGAACAAGAGTGTCAGCATGCCAAAGAGATGAGTTTATTATCTTACAGGACACTCAGCAACATACCACATACATTCCTTATGACTTGGACATTCTCCAAAGGAAAGGACACGAACCTAACGTGATCATTACCTTTTTTGGTTTTACAAGGTCCACTGTTGGGATGAATTTCCTGTAAAGGGACTGAGACCACCTTGGCTAGACCAGCATTCAGCATATATTGATAAAGACGCTTAAATGTTCTTTCACAGAGACCCTGTCAAAATAAAATTTGAAAGTCAGCATGAAAGATCTACAAGATGAGTTGTAACAAACAAATGAGCACAGGTCCAGAACGGAATTAATTTAAGTATAATTCAGGTTACCACAGTTTTGTGCCATCAAAGAGAACCTGGCAAGTACAAAAAAGGATTATGAAAATTTTTAGAAGTTATGAGATATGATTATTCAAAAGGAATGACAAATCTTTAACAGGGATCCAAATCACCAACTACTCAACACACCCTCTATATAATCACTAAAAGTATTTTATTTTAAAGTACCATACTGAACACTGGAATGGAGAGCATAAGCAGTCAAAAATCAATTGTGAACTTTTTTTTAAACCAATTCCATAATTTCACTGGTGTAGGGAACTTCTGAGGAGGAAACACCCTCTAACAATATTAACAAACTGCTTTGCAACTTATAATGTTTGAGCACTGCCTGGGGTCTGGAGAGGCTAAGTCAGAAGCCAGGATACGTCATAAGGCAGGCTCAGAATCCAAACCTTCTGCCTCCAAGGCCAGCTTTCCCTCTGTTCTGCTGTTCAGACTCGCTAATCAACAATACTGGATCACCCAACTGTAAGCAATCTGTTTGGCTGCCTCATGAACTTTCAGGTCCTGGGACTATGTCTACCAGGGCTGATGCAGAATGGAGGCTGGAATGCTGGAGGGAATCCCAGAAGGTGTTAGATTTGGGAGGACCTTCAAGAAAATCTAGTGCAGTCCTCTTATTTGACAAACAAAGAAACTGAGACCCAGAGAGGTGAGAAAATCTGCAGCAGGGCCAGGACAAAAACACAGGCCCACTGACTCCAAGGCCAGTACTCTTTCCACTGTGCTACACTAATTAGATGACTGGTAAATTCTCTTCCAAGTCTCAAATTCTGTGGTTCTAAAGTGAAAAAATTGGCAAAAATGTAGTTGTTAATGCAAAATCGAGAGGCCAGGCTGTATAGTGGAAAGAATGAATGACTTGGAGCCAGGAAGACTTTAGTGAATGTTTCACCACCATCGCTCACCAGCTATGTAAGCTAAGGCGGGGCCCTTTACCTGCTCAAGCTTTGTGCTACTCTCAGAGGCTCTAAGTTACACACGTGATGGGAGCCGCACCAGTGGATGGAATCTCACACCGAGAAAACAGAAAAATGCTTCTTGTAAAGGAAGCTACTCACCTAGCAAGCAGAAATCTATAGGAAAGATGGTGACTATTCAGTTTCTGAGTTACCAAGGCCAAGTACAGAGGGCCTGACCAACTGAGTAGTTTGCAGGTTTATTTTAGTGAAGTATAGAAGTTATAAGATTTACCTCCTATACATTAAGTATGGAGTAACAGAAGGCTATCTATTGTGTGCTGCTAGTAAAGCTGTGCTGGTCTATCTGTTTAAAAAAGGATGAGGATGAGTTTGGAGAAGGAGAAGGAAAATGCTTGCAAAGTTGCTGCTGCACATGTTGAGAGAGCCCGACACCCTCTTATGTTAGCTGTCTTCCTACCTCTGGGAATGGCAAACATGTGGCTAGAGCAATAACGATGATGGTGCACATATGCTCCAACAAAACCAATGGTGGTCTGTAGATTGTGCATCTTTGCTAATCTATGTATCTAAAGAGAGAAGCCCATGGACAGGCATAAATTATACCCCCATCAATGGCACATGGTTGTGTGCCAGGCACAGAGGAAAAGGAAAGAAATGACACAGTTCCTGACTTTTAGGAGTCTACAAGGAGAGAGAGGCAAGAAGACTGAAAAACCCTCATTTCCAATTCGCCAGGCTGCTTCTCAAACTCAAGGCACTCTGAGCTGCATCACAGGAAAAAACAATCTAGAGCTTGAAGGAACCCTAGAAATCACCTTGAGTCTAATTCTATTTGATAAAAGCGATGCCCAGAAAGGGCAAGTTATCAAGGGTCTGAGGCAGGATCTTCCTGGCTGTAAGCCTGGTGTTCTTTCCACTGAAGAAGAGGGCATTTTAACTAAAGAGGTGAGATACCTGCTGCCCAATCCAATTTTTCATCATTTCCCAATCATCAGTGCTGTAGAGCAGATACTGCATTGCAAAAGGAAGGCAAACAGGACTTTCTCATTCATAGGAACACAGACTTAGAGCTGGCACGGTCCTTAGAGAGCATCTAGTGCCAACCCCAGCATTTAACAAATAAGAAAACAGGCCCAGAGAAAAATGATCTGCCCACAGAAGCTGGGTGGTATAGCAGAAAGAGTACTGGGCCTGGAGTCAACAAGACCTAAGTTCAAATGTAGCCTCAGATACTTAGTGGCTGTGTCCCCCACAGCAACTCATTTCACCTCTGTCTGCCTCAGCTTCCTCAACTGTAAAATGAGGATGATAATAATAGCACCCACCTCCCAGAGTTATTGTTAGGAACAAATTGGATAAATTTGTAAAGCGCTTTACATTGTGCCTGGCACATAGTAGGCACTTAATAAATGCTTGTTTCTTTCTCTCTTCCCTTTTATAGCCTTAAAACCCAAGAGGGACAAATGACAAAACTGAACCAAATCCAAGAAGTGCTTTTTCCACTTTCAGATTTCTGTGTGTGCCTTTAATACCAAATAACTGGAGGTTCAGGTATCTAGCACCAGGGAGTTGGACTAGATGAGATCTGCAAGAGAAATTCCTTCATTCCAGGGAAATAAACTACAGGATGATTCACCTGATGTAGCCCAATAAGAACACAGACCATTACAGATCACAAGAACAGATTTACATTAGAAACAAGGCTCATCTAATTTTTACAACGCTGTTTACCTCTCTAAAATACTTTTCTAAAAATAACGTTTAAAATGTGATTTTTGGTAGTGTAATGGTAAGAACACCGGATTTGGTGCCAGAGGACTTGAGTTCAAATTCTGCCTGCAAATGTGACTTTTGGCAAGTTAGTTTACATCTTTACATTCTTTTACATCTTTATATTCCTCATTGGTAAAATGAAGAGGCTGCATCAGATAATCTTGTAATGTTCTGCTTAGGTCTAAAACTATAATCCTGTAAACACAATAGCTGACATTGCCTTCTCTTTCCAATACAGCATCTCTTTTGTCCAAAACTGATAATAAGGAAATGATAAAAATCATATTAGGTGGGAGGTAGCTTTCCAAGTTACCCTACTTAAGTGGAAAGAGTATTGGATTTAGAATCAGGAAAGATTTAGGCTTAAATTCTGCCATTGATGTGTACTAATTGTGTGAACATGGCAAGTCATTTAATCTTCTAGGGGCCTCACTGTCCTTACTTGTAAAAAAGAGATAATTCTACTTATAGTACCTAACAGTGATGCTGTCACTGTTGAAATCAAAAGACAATGTGTGAAAAAAATACTTTGTAAAGTCTTAACTTGCTACTTAGATGTAGCTCCATTCTCTAGCCTTGCTTTGCTGGAATCTATGGAGATAAGAATGTACATTTCTAGAGTAGCATGCTGAAATTTACAAGGGGCTTCTTCACAACCACCCCATGTGGATGCAGCTAAAGCACAAACAGCCTTGTTTTACAGATGAAGTAACCTGCACATGGTCATACAGCTAGAAAGTGTCAAAGCTGTGATCAGAATCCAGGTCTCCCAACTCTAAGGCTAGTGTTATTTTTACTACATAACACTGCTTTACAGAATGACCAAAACGGTGACCATTTTTCCACCTTTCCCTTTTTACTTCCCTCCCCAGGCCTGCTACCAAGACATTTCCATGAAAGACTATTACCAACAAAATAGAAGGATGGAATGTAAAAGCTAACTTGAACTTCATATGCTATTTCCATGTGGTCTCTCTGAACACAGCTTGTAACAAAATCCAATAAAAAACTTAAGTCTGCTCAAGAAGCTACAGAATCTAAGCAGAGTTCAAAGGAAGGACAAAGTACTTTTTTATTTCTGTTGCAAAGAGAAGAAAAAGAAAAAGCCCAAACCCAGGGCTGTTCAAGCCTGTAACATGGTCTTCAGGTTTCTATTAGTGATTCATTTACTCTGTGTTTAGAGAAGGAGAGGTTTCCAAACCTAAGCTCCTCACACAATAATTACGTGCAGATTAAATTCAGCACAGCACAAGCACTGGAAAACCACTGAGTGTCTCACCAGTTCTTCCCTCAGGCATCCTAATGTCTCCATCTGGTTAGTTCGAATGCTCAGCATTGCAGAAAGCTTCTCCATAAGGATGTCATATTTACTCCTCCTATGATAAAAGCAGACAATTTGCCATTTTCAGTTCCATTGTCATAGGCCATCTGTATTTTTAAAGATTGCTGTTCAAGAACTGTGTGTGTAAACATACATATATAGAAAGTCTTAGCATCCTAGGATATTATTGCTGAAAGGAACCTTAGAGATCAGAGAGAAATCTGAGGTCCAGAGGATAAAAATACTTTTGAAGGTCAAACAATCAGTTAGTGACAGAAGCAGGGCTTAAAGAGACTGTGTAACTCCTTAAGAATATGCATATCTGTGTATGCCCAGTTTTATGCCTATAAGCACTGACACCTCAGATTTAAAGAACTTAGGCTCTGACAATGAAAAGGTGACAGGCTAAGAATACCAATTCTCACATCCGGGAGCTCTTAGGCTGTAAGATCTGAAGGAATAGCAACAATCCTTCCTTATGTCCTAATAAAGCCACCATGCAGGTGACTTAAGAAATATTAACTCATAATGACAAGGACAATCGCCAAATTCTTTGCAACATATTATGGAGAACTGTGTGACTGAACAAAGCACATGGGAGTGAGAAGACCTGACCTCTACACTATTGGCTCATCTTTTGAGCTGCTGATATATTCTTTCTTCTCAACTATGTTAAAACAAAATATATCTAACATAAATGAGAATGTTATTAATTATTTCCAAAGGAGAATAAATAATGTAAGATGTTCCTTTAGAAAGAACCATGGGCTCCTCTGAAAAAAGATAAAACCTTCTTTAATTCCATTTTAGTCAGGGTTGGTGTGTTACAATATGCAACCCTAGTAAACACTGAATTCTGGTACCCTTGGGCAGAAGGGGGAGCACATGTAAAAGGTACAGAGGCCTACTTCCAGCTTCCATTTTTACTGCTCCAAGGACTTGTAGCCTCATGAAGGGACATAAATCATCCTTACAGTAGCACCAGCTGAGTCTAGTAACAAGTCATAACAAGAATCTGACAGCTGCCTGATATATGAAAATATGCTAATCAAATATGCAGAGATGACACAAAGCTAGTAGTAATATCTATTATGTTGGATGACTAGAATCAAGATTCAAAAAGATCTTCAAACACTAGGAAAGCTGAAGTGAATAAAATAAAATTTAATAGGGATAAAGTAAATTTCTATACTTCAAAAAACCAACTGCATCAGTTATAATGGTGGAGGTCTTTTTTTTTTTAATTTTTAGGCAATTGGGGTTAAGTGACTTGCCCAGCGTCACACAGCTAGTAAGTGTCAAGTGTTTTGGTCTGAGGCTGGATTTGAACTCAGGTACTCCTGACTTCAGGGCCAGTGCTCTATCCATTGCGCTACCTAGCTGCCCCAATGGTGGAGGTCTTAACAGCAGTTTGTGTGAAGGTATTAGGAATTAAGGTTGAAATGAAAGAAAAATTTCTTATCGATGGTGAACTTCTCTAAATGCTTTTATTAGCAGATGGTTTACTACTCATTCTATCAAGCTTCAGAATACCATAAGGTCATTTCAGAAGTAAAAAGATTGGTCTACCAGAACATGGAAAACCAGAAAAACAATGTAAACAAATAAAATGCATATTTCCAATCAAGTTAGTCCATGTATATATTATGGAAAAGCACTGTAATGGCTATTGAGCTGGGCTCAGTATTCATAGGAGCAGGAGATACAATTTGGTAATATCTAGGATCTTGAGCAATGCTTCTGATGATTTCAAACAGCTTATCACTATCAAAATTGATATCTTTCTTTTCCCTTTATGAGTCTGAGTCTCTCTAATTCTTCCATGTTGTACTTAGACTGATCCTTCATGGGCCCAATCCCACTGCTGATCAGCAAGGACGCTTTGATCTGTTCCATTTCCGACTTGTGCCAATTCTTTCCTCAGTAGGCAATATGGTGGTTCCTGGGAAACCCGATTGGTGCTGATTTTCATGTACTCACTTGACTCTTCCAAGCCCTACTCTAGCTCAGATCTCCTGAACTCAAGAGATCTACCAGGCTCAGTACGGAGGCTGGCACAAGTCCATATCTTTCACACTAGTATTCTTTCAGTGTTGCTGTGGTACTTCAAATCATGGATAACCACTAAGCTATGGAAGAATTAAAATGAAAAGAAGCCCAAGAGCAATGAAAAGAAAAATGGGGGACATAACAAGGCTATACCACGTTACTGATGACAGCTTGTGTGTAAACCGCCAAAAATGAGGTCACTGAGGATAAATATGACCAGAAAAGTAGACAAGTTAGTAATAGAACAAGAAAGATAAGTTAAGCTAAAAGAATAAGAGGAAGATATGAAGAGTGCTAGGAAGGTCTTCTGTGGAGGTTTTATAGGAAAACAAAAACAAAAATAACAGAGGAAAAGAAGGTAGGTCTCCATACCTTCATAAGAACAGCTAACATCTAGATGGGTGAAGGGAGTATCTATACCAATCAAATAATGGATCTTTCAAAAAAGAAAAGGAAAAATGTCGGCTACACTCTCAGCATGAACCAAGTGTCATAAATCTGCCCCCAAAGCCATCATTATTTTAGCAAGCATTAATAAAAATATCCTCCACAAACCACTCCTCTCCTTTGTCATTCCTATCCCACACTCCTTTGAAGAGCTGGGAGTTCCGTGGGAGGGAAACACTGAATATATTTTTTTGATACTTTCAAAGTATTGATTGGTTTTGCTGACTGTTAGTTTTTTCTTCTTTTTCTTAAAAAATATACTTTGATTTTCAGGATTATGATAGCATGTAAGGTCCTTGAAAATAGGGATTCATTTTCTGTCTTTGTATCCTAAGTGCCTAGTATAGTGCCTGACACGTAGTAGGATCTTAATAAATGTTAATTCATTGATTGATTGGACTGAAAAGACAGTGGCGCTCCAACAGAACTAGCAAAATTTGGAAGAGCTCTTTTTTGGGGGAAAGGTCATGAGATTTGTTATGGACATAATGAGCTTGAAATGCCTTCACGATATGTAGTTTGAACTATCCATTACGCAATTGTTAATAGAAGATGAGAGCTCAAGAAAGAGACTAGGTCCAGATATATAAATCAGGGAGTCATTTGAATAGAGAGGATAATTAAACCCATGTGAGCTCATGAGGTACCAAGTAAGAGTCTATACAGAAAGAAAAGGAGGACCAGGATAAAGAATTGGCAATATACACATACATGGACAGCAATCCAGCAAAGGAAACTGAGAAGTATCAATAAGACAAGTAGGAGAAGCAAGATTGCATACTATCATAAAAAACAAACAAAAAACCCCAAAAAAACAAAAAACCAGAGGAGAGAGTATCCACCAGGAGGAAAAGATAGTTAATGATGTCAAACGCTATAGAGGAGTCAAGCAGAATAGGGACTAAGAAAAGGCTACAATTGGCAATTAAAACATAGTGGTATCTATGGAGAAGGCAGTTTCAACTGAAGTCTAAAGCCAGACTGCAAAGAGTTAAGAAATGAGTAAAGAAGTGTGGCAACAAGAATAAGCAGCTTCTTCTCAGAAGTTGCCTGTGAAAGAGAAGAGAGGTATAGGACAAAAGCTTAAGGGGCAAAGAGGGTCAGTTGGTGGTGTTGTTTAGGGATGGGGAAAATCTAGGCATGTTTTTATATGGTAAGAAATGGAGAGATTAAAGATAAGCCAGGGATTGGACAAGAATGCAGGGGCATTCTGCCAAATATGGGAAAAGATGGCACAAAGGATGCACACAGAGGCACTGGCCTTAGAGACAAGGGTTAACTTGTCATCAGAAACAGGAGTAAAGGTGGAGATAATTAGGGATGATGTAAAGAGGAGAGAAGAAGCTCATTTTGAATGTCTCTCTGTGAAAGTATTCATTCAAATAGAGGCTGACTAACTGCTGAGTTACTGAAGGACTGAGATAGGTAGTTAGACTAAATGATTTCTAAGGTCCCTTCCCAGATTCTAAATCTACAAATGTTATGATCAACAACCTGAAGTATCAAGTCAAGAACTATTAATTCTCTACACATCCAAATTCATTCATTGTAATACTCCTCAGAAACTGGTTTATGGTTTTTAAAGGCTCAGTTCACACGGCTGCTCTTGAACATTCTATTGAGCACATACACATACTGTACCTGTCAACATGAAAACGATTCAGGAGCAGGAGAATTGAGTGTTGCTGGGCTCCAGTTGGTAATCGAATAACGTGAGACTGCATTGTAATAAGACCATTTCTGTTCAATATTTTTCTGTGGTAATGAAGTTTCCCTGCATCAACCCTTGAGGAAAATGTGGAAACAACAGGTAGTAATTAAATTAAATATACATTTATATAAGTGCCTCCATGCAAAGCACTGGGTTAGCTGCTGGGGAAGATACAAAAAGTTAAAAGACAGTCTCCCTGACATCCAAGAGCTAACAGTCTGGCCACCAACACAGATAACTTTATTTTATGAAAAAATACATTAGAAAACAAAATTAATACACTTAGGATAAGGAGTATGGCAGAACAGGAAGCAAATCTTTGTATCAAATTTCGCTGAGAAGTGTTTGGCATCCAAATTATATAAGCAATTAACATATACATATAGTTACACGTATGTGTGTACATATATAATAAGCCATCAATAACCACATCAGAGTGCTTCAAATCACTAATAATAAGAGAAATGCATCAAAGCAACCCTGAAGTTTTACCTCATATCCTGCAAACTATCAAGGATGACAAAAGACAAGAATAGTCAATGTTGAAAATTGGAGGGGTTGTGGGAAGATAGGCACACTAGTATACTGTTGGTAAAGGCTGTAAATCAGTACAACCATTTTGGAAAGCAATCTGGAATAAAATAAAGTGCCTAAAAATTCATATCATTTGACCTGGAGATTCCACTACTAGGATTATATCTCAAGGAGGCCACTAATAAGAAGAAAGTCTCCCAAATCTTCATAGCAACACTTTTTGTGATAGGAAAGTAGAAACAAATTAGATGCCCATTGATTGGGGAATGGCTAAACAAATGCCAGCAGATAAATGTAATGGAATATAATTGTGCTATTAACATATGATGACTATGATGAATACAAAGAAGCATGGAAAGATCTATTATGTTACCTTCTGTTGAGTTTTGTTTCATCTTTCTGATGATTCCTCCTATTGGTTTTAATTTTTACTTATAACTTCACTAATGTGAAAATATGTTTAATAGGAATGTAAATGTATAGCCTATATCAGATTGTGCGCCGTCCGGGGGGGGGAGGGGAAAGGAAAGAAAAATTTTCAACTCAAAAGAATATGCAAGTGATTGCTGATAAATCAAAATAAATTAATAAAATTTCTAAAAAAAGATCTATTATGAACTGATACTAAAAGAAGCAAAAGCAAGAAAACAATATATACAATGACTACAACAACATAAAAAGAACCACCAAAATAAAAAAATTAAAAATGAATGTTGCAAAATTGCAAATAAGAAGCATGGCTCCAAAGAAGAGATACAAGACATATCCATCCTAACCCTTTACAGAGATGGGAGGTTGGTCCACAAGTATGTCATACCACACATATTTTAAGACTTTTCCAACATAATGATAACTTTTGCTGATCCTTCCTTTCTTCCCTCCTTCTTTCTTTCCAAAACATTATATGAAATGGCTCTCAGGGAGAGGTACTGGGGAAAACTTTGGTAATAAAAGCCCTAAGACATCAATAAAAATTTATTTAAAAAATAAAAGCAAAATAAATACACTAGAGAGTTATGAAACAAAGTGATATGTGAGGTCTGAAGTTGCTGACCAGAGCAATCAGGTAAAACTTCCTGAAGGAAGCAGCATCTGATCTGGATTTAAAAAAAAAAATTAAAGAATGTGCATAATTCAATAGGCAAAGTTGGGAAGAGAAAATGTTTCAGGCATAATATTTTGGTCATAATTTTCATTCCAAATTATGTTTAGAACTTCATGGACATGATATTTCAATAATATATAATAATAAATGATATTTCAATCTTCCTAGACATTTATCCATTAGTGAGGACAATGTATATATACTGTCATTTCCACTGTTAGCCAATCTTGTACTAGTTTCTACATAACTTGTTCAGAAAGGAGGAAACTAGTTGTGTGGAAACAGAGGTCCCTTAGGACCTCATACTCTTGTGGTCGTAGGGTAGGCAGCAGAAGACGTATAGGATCCAATGTGTGCATCTGAGGAGTATGAAAAGGAATCTGAGGTCCTTAGGATGGCTCAAAAACCACTACAAAATCACATATTTAGAGTTGGAAAGGACCAAAGAGGTCATCTAGTCCAATTCCACCACTTTTCCCATTTGCCCAAGGAGACGTTCCAAAATAACATGGCACTCAAAGTAAGAGACAAGTCATAAAGCTCTTGCACTTGGTTTTCAAAAGACTCAATTTTTTTTTTTACTTTTAAAATCAGGTTTCTGCTGATGCAGAACAGGAAATCCTCTCACTTACTTGAAAGCACTGCTGTGAAGGTCCCTCTGAAGTTCTCCCTGCCATCTTGCTCGGCCTAACCGCTCCAAAATACAGTAGGAGAAGTCTGGGAGTTTTAAGTCAGGATCTCCTTCCAAGCCTATTAAGGCCCTGTAACGCATATCCTGTGAAGCAACAATGATCAGTTTCTTCCCCCATCTGCAAATCAGAAACAACCAAGAGAGGGAAGAAGAGTTAAAGTTTTTAAAATTTGTTTTGGAAGTTATTAAAAATACTCATCTCTAACTGTATTATGTAGATGCACCACTTTCCATTTTAACTGTTTTCTACTTTTAATTACAAGAACATGACGCTCAACAGCTAAGCTTCCAGGGTCTCTCTCCTTCTCAGATTAACATAATTTAAGTTGCTTAAAACTGCACTATGACTTTTGGGATAACCTGTATACATCATGCTGCCTCTCTATTCCAGAAAACAATAGCTCTTGTTAACTTAGAAAAAAATCCTATAATACAACAATAAATAAGTTATCATTTCTGATCTTTTTGAAGACTCTTTTTAGAATAGCTGTTTCACAAATTCAACAGCAGTACTAATTCCCTACTTAAGGTTCCAAGGCTGTGACTTCAGTTTTTACACCTTGGCACAAACATAAAAACTAACAACTTCAAACTAGAAATGGTTACCCTAAAACTTAATGACACACAAGAAAACTGCCAAAGTCTCACTTTAGCCATCTGAGACCATTATTCTTCTGGATGATTAAGAGTTTTACTGGGGGCAGCTAGGTGGCACAGTGGATAGAGCACAGGCCCAGAAGGCAGGAGGACCTGAGTTCAAATCCAGCCTCAGACACATAATACTCCCTAGCTGTGTGGCTCTAGGCAAGTCACTTAATCCCAATTGCCTCACCAAAGAAAAAAAAATCTACCAAGAGTTTTACCAAGAGTACGTGTATATGTGAAATTTAAAAAATGGCCTGGATCACCTTATGATCCTAAATAAGAAAATTTTCTAATAATTTACTTATTCCTACTCTGTCTGCCCTTATGTCCCACTACCTAATCCATACAGTGTAGCCTTTTATGTTTACTGTCCCTACTTGGTTACCCTGACAAAAATCACTCCCCACTTTCTAACTGATTCTCCACATGGCTGCCAAACTGATATTCTTAAAGCACAGGTCTGACCATGTCATTCCCTTGCTCCATAAACTCCAATGGCTCCCTATTGCCTCTAGGATCAAATACAAATTCCCCTATTTGGTATTTAAAGCCCTTCGTAACTTGGTCCTAGCCATGCATGTTCTCTACCTCTAGGACAGGTATTTGCCTTTGTTCTATTCCTCTGAAACACTTCATCTTCCGTATCGATGCCTTTGCACTGGCTATATCCCAAGCCTGGAATACACTCTTTTATCTCTCCTTCACAGATCTTTAGGTTCCTCCAAAGCTCAGGTAAAGCTTTATCTTCCACCTGAAGCCTTGAGTTGCCAGCACCCCTTCCTCCACTTGAAGTCACCTTGTATTTATTTGGTAGATACTTTTATGTGCACTTCCATGTTATCTTCCCCCATAGAATGTGAGCTCCTTGAGGACAAGGAGGATTTTCCTTTTGTCTTTGCATTCTTAGGACCTGGCATAGAAGGAGCTTGATAAATCCTTGCTGGCTGATTCATACCCCACTCTTGTCTTGGTCTCTTCACCCACAGCATCTTCCACACAGGATTTGGTTTTTCTTTCTTCCTATGCTGGACAAACTTGTTTGTTCCTCCTTAACCTTTCCCAAGCAAGCAGCAAAAAACCTCATTGTCATACCTGACTCAACCTAACAATTATGTTACCCTTCACTTACATATTTATCAGTTGCTTATAAATACTTATATATATTTAATAGCACATTGCTTATTCCTTCTTTATTACCTACTGATTTAAGTTATATAAATCTTTTACGGAGTTGCACATTTTATTGATTTGTACCCCCCAAACCTATTACCATTGGGCCTATAAAAACTGTGGCACTCAATAAATGTTCACTGAGTTGGAAAGAGCTCATATGAATACAAGAAGCTTAAGAGAAAGATATGTATAGTGGGCAAGGGGAGGAGGAGAGAATTGTTGAGTGGGTTTGGGGGTTGTTTTTATTGCCTAGATTTGATTATTAGCCTTTAGTAGGCTAATTTGAATGTTTTTCCTCAGTAATGATTTAATAATTCAGTAACGACTGCTAAACACAATTTTCTCACCTACTGATGAAAAAACAGGAGTGCACTGAGAATTGGGAATCCTTGGGTTTAATCCTGGCTCTGCCACTAATTTATTTCATGACCCCATGAATATCACTTTTTTCCTGGGCCTCAGGGTTCCTTGTTTGTAAAATGAGGGAGTTTGGTCAAAATGATTTCTCAGTCCTTCTTCTGCTCCAACATTCTACAGTGCTATAACATACTTCAGTTATATAATACTAGATTCAATAAGGTACTGCGAACATGGAGAATGAGAGCTGAACCATGAGACTGGTGACAGTGGGTATATGCGCCTTTGGAGGGCTCTTCAGCTCAAACCTATTGGCAGGCATGGGGGCTTTCTCTACTCTATCCTGCTTCATCAAGATGTTAGTGTTGGAAGAGGCTGTGAAAGACCTGAGTTTAAATCCGGCATCAGACACTTACTAACTGTGGGACCCAGGGCAAGTCACTTAACCCTACTGGCCTCAGTTACTCATCTGTAAAATGAGCTGGAGAAGGAAAGGGCAAACCACTCCAGAATCCTTGCCAAGAAAATCCCAAATGGGGTGACAAAAATTTGGACATGACTGAAATGACTAAATAACAACAAATTTGGAATTACGCTAAATACACGGCTAAAATGTCCATAGCCTTTGATCTAGATATCCCATTGCTAGGCATAGACCACAAAGAAATCAAAGATAGAAAGAAATATTCATAGCAAAAATATTCATAGTAGTACTTTTTTGTGGTAACATTCAAGCAGACACCAAGCAGATATGCCCACTGATTGAGGAATGGTGAAACAATTTATGGTACAAATTTAATGTAATGTTACCATGCCATAAGAAATGAAGAATTTAGAGAAACACCAAAAATGTTTTTTATGACCTGCTCCAAAATGAAGTTAGAACCAGGAAAATCACACACACACACACACACACACACACACACACACACACGGAAAGAAAGAGAGAGAGAGAGTGAAAATATGATGTAAAAGTAAAGAACAAAACAATTAAATATAATGATGCGTAAGTATAATGACCAAGCTTGGCCCTAGAGAATAGCTGGAAAAATGTATCTCTTTCTCTCTCTCTTTTAGTCAAGGTGAAACATTATAGGTGTGGAATTTTATATAAACTGTTAGATTCAATTGATGTGTTGGCTAATTCTGCTGAACAGCTACCCCATACCCTCCTTTTTTATTTTTCTTCTATAATTGGTTTTTTTTTTTTTAACAAGGAACTGCTCTCTGGGAGAGGGGAAAGAAGGAAGAAATGCAGGTAGTAAAAACATGAGATCAAAAACAATGAAAAAAAAAAAGGCAGTCTTCCACCTCTATAACCATGAAGTACCCAGTGAGTCCTCTCACTTCTAACACCTCACGTAGGACCAGCACCACAAACACCAGACTTGATCAAAGGCCAAACATATGTTGCACAACTGGGCTATATTCTGGATATATGCCATTTTCAGGTATCTTGGGATAAGGCAAAGAAACTGAGTTTGGGTGTGAATTTGGCTCAGGCCTAGGAGTTCTGATCAGTAGGTATTTTCTGAGCAGGTCTCAATCTCCTGACGCCTCTGCCCTGATACAGATGTTGTTCATCACACCAGGCAAGGTGGCAGCCTTAGACAATGTGTACTTTCTCCAACCAATGTTTGGCAAATTCCCACCTCATACTCCCTAGTAACAAGTTGTGGCACAGTAAAGACTGCCTTTCCCTATCCCTATTTTCTGCTCTCTCATTCATACCCATCCACATCTTTTTGCTTCCCAGTCCCTATCTTCCTTTGTCTTCCCCTTCTATTGTGCTCTCTGAACCCCTTCCTTACTGGTTCCTATTATTACGGTCTCTCCCCTTCGGCCTTCTACAGATGCTAAAATAATTTTTCAAATTTATGTCTAACTATGTCTAACATGACACTCTCTGCTAAAAAATCCTCAATGGCTCTTACCTTGGCCTGACATTTAAAGCCTCCTACAATCTATAATCTTCCAGACTTATATCACCCCTCTTCAAAGAATCTACAATCAGGGCACATAGATAATGAACTATTATTTATTCCTCAGATTTAATATTCCACATCTTGTTTCTGTGCCTTTGTATATTTCATGCTTGTAATGCACACCTTCCTCATTTCTATCTTGTAGAATTCTTAACATCTTTCAAAGTTTAGCTGAGGTACCAGCTCTGCTGTGAGGCCCAGCCCTCTCCAGCTGCTAGTGACTGCCCTACTTCCCCAATAAGCCTTGTATCTATTTTGTATATGCTTATAATATATATTAATTTTACTTTTGTCTTTGTATCCCCATAGGTACCTAAAAAATGCTTGTTGAAGAAAAGCGTCCTTAGCTGTGCATGACTCCTCTACAAAAATTAACCATATATTGGGGCAAAAAAAATTCACAAATGCAGAAAAACAAATACTAACCACCCTTAACTGACAATTATGTAATAAAAATGATATTTTGTAAAAGGACTTTTGAAGGAAGAATTTAGAATTAATTGAAGACTAAATTACATAATCCTAAAAATTGGGTAGGTCAAAGAACAAATCATATAAATAGTAGAAAATATTATCAAAGAAAACGACAACAATAAAACAACATACCAAAATTTATGTGATGCAACTAAAGCAATCTCTAGGGGAAAATTTATACCTTTTAATGCTTTTAACACCAAAGAGAAAGACAGTTCAATGAAATGAACACACACTTTAAAAAACTAGAAAAGTAAAAAAACCCCAAAAAGTCCAACTAAACATCAAAGTGGAAACTAAAAATCAATGAAGTGATAAACAAAGGGAAAAAAATACTGAATTGATAAATAAAACTAGAAGCTATTTTGGGGGAGGAAAGGCTAATATAAATAAAGCTTGACTAAAAAATACTTGTTGACTCACTGACAAAATCTTTCTTGGGACTTCAAAATAAGATGACATCATGAAAAGTTATAGAAAGGCCCAGCTTTTCCATAAAAAAATCCCACAAATGTATGAAAATGGGCCAATTGATAGAGAGCTGAAAAGGCTCTGAAGTAATTTCTTCTATTTATAATAGAACTTCACAAAAAGATGGCTTTATGAAAACATACTCCAACAGAAAGGTTGAAGTAGGGAAGCCAAGACCAGGTCAGGCAACTGAGGAAGTAAGCAGAAGAGCATGGGAGAGGAGTTATAGCCAGGAAAACCAAGGTGAACCCTGCTGGAAGCCATACCAAACTCTTGCAAACAGACTTGAAGCTAATTAGGACTCTGAACAGGGGTACAGTAAGTCCGTGTCAACTCCTACAATCAGACAACTGAATCTAGATCCTGGCCTGTCAGAAGAGAACAGGACAGAACTACCCACCAGAGATCACTGCACAGTGTTAGGGCTTAGCTATGTACTCCTTGGGTCACTGAGAACAACAGCAGAAGACAGGGACAACTCCTGGCCACCATGGAAGGATAGGCAGTTTATTTAGGAGGCCCATGATCTCTAACATTCCACTATGGATATCAGGGCTATATATAGCAGGGGAAAGTACCAACTTCTGAATAAGAATTACATCAAGGTGAAAGAAACCACTGAAGACCTGAACATGAAATGGACCATCAAGAGACTGAGATGGAGTCAGGGTTTGAGAGAGAAGGTGGAAACTATCATCAGCCACCCCAGCAACATGAGCAGCAGTAGTGGCATCCAGATTACAGAGGAAACTGGACCAAACAAGGATTATCTAACCCATTCAAGTGTGTTGGGGGAATCTTGCTGGAACAAAAAATCCTAAACCAAGGAATGAGGCTTAAAATATGAGTAACCAGAAGATACCAAGCATAATAAAGAAATATTATGGGATAAGAGAAGAGCAAGAGGCAAACCCTGGGACAGGAGAATAACTACTACAAGAAAAAATCTCATTGAAAAAAAAAATGACTTGGCCACAAAGACCATAGGGGTTGCTAGAAGAAATGAAGGAAGAGGGAGCACCGGCCTTGGAGTCAGATGGACCTGAGTTCAAATCCAGCCTCAGACACATAACACTTACTAGCTGTGTGACCCTGGGCAAGTCACTTAACCCCGACTGCCTCACACCTCTCTTCCCCACCCCACACCCCCCCCAAAAAAAGAAATGAAGGAAGAGATGGAAAAATGAAATTAGAAATGAAATGGAAGTTCAGGAGGAAAAAAATTAAATGGGAAAAAATGGGAACAGCTTAGAATCAAAGGTAGAAAACCTTAATTATAAAATGGATTTCCAAGAAAACAGATATTCAAGGATTCCTGATGAAAAGACCAGAATTGAATAGAAACTCTTCAGTGTAAAGTGAGAAATATATATTTGGAAGGGGCTAAATTATGATGAAGTGCTTATATTCCAACAGAAGGAAAGAGACAAGTGACTGGATAGTGTGTTGTGCCTGGAGTCAGGAAAATCTAGGTTCAAATCCCACCTCAACATTTATTAGCTGTGTGTGCCTGGGAAAATCACTTAACCTATGTAAAATGGGGAAAATAACAGCACCTACTTCCTAGGGTCGCTGTGAGGATCAAATGAAATAATATTTGTAAAGAGCTTAACACAGAGCTTGGCACATAGTAAGCTCTATATAAATGCTTATTTCCTCATTTTCTTCCTTTCTATTCCTTAGAATCCTAATATCTTCAAGGGTCACAAAGTCAGATAAAAAAGACAAACAAAAGACAAACAAATTCAGATAAAAAAGACAGACACGATTATGTTGTTTTGTTGGTCTGAAGAAGAGAAAGAGAAGGAAAAAATGAATATACAAAGGAAGAAATGAGGAAGAAAGAAAAGAAAGAACATACTAATTCACATAAAAAGTTCTGAGAGAATAGTATACAAATATAAAGAGTACATCCATTACTGATCACAATGCAATCAACAGAAATTAGCAGAACCAGGAGAATTATTTATACAATTAGAATGACATAAGAAAGAAAAGATCATCTATGAAATACTTATATTAAAAAATAAAAGGAAGAGAGCAGAAATTTTGAAGGAGCTTGGATAAGCAAGATAAGATAGGTACTGCCCTGTTTTAAAAATATATATGTATATGTATGTACATATGTATGTGTATATATGTGCATGTATATATGTATATGCATATGTATGTGTATATATCCACCTTTTTAAACAGATAAATTATATGTAGGATGATTCCCATTTCCTCTTTTGTGGAAATTTGTCCATTATTTTTTAATTCATAATAAGAAAAAGGAAAAGTCTTCCTGATACTCCTGTTAGTGCTCTTTCTGTCTTATTTATCTGGACATGCTGAATTCTCTTCTTCGTGGACATCACACTGTTCTTCACTCCCCTGGGTCTGTTTCATTTTTGCCTTTCTATTTCTCATGCCCAGCACAATACCCTGTACACAGCAGGCACTTTGTAAATAAAATAAATGTTTGCTAAATTAAAATTTTTTTTTCTTTATTCTTTTTTTTACATTTTAAGTTCCAAATTGTCTCCTTCTTCAACCTGCAGTAGAGAAGGCCGCCAGATTTATAAAATATATGTAAAATCATACTATGCGTAATTCTCTTTTATTAGTTCTTTCTCTGGAGGTGGACAACATCTTCCTTCACAGGTCTTTTCTAGTTGATTTGAGTATTTATAGCACTCAGAATAATTTGGTTGTTCATAATTACTCTTTGAACAATACTGCTGTTACTGTCTACATTGTTCTCTTGGTTCTCTTCACTTCACTTTTCATTATTTCATGCAAGTCTTTCCATGTTTTTCTAAAATCAACCAGCTTATTATTTCTTACAGCACAACAGTATTCTATCACAATCACATACCACAACTTGTTCAGCCATTCCCCAATACATAGGCATCCCCTCAATTTCCAGTTCTTTGCCACAACAAAGAGAACTGTTTTAAATGTTTTAGAACATATAGGTTTTTTTCCCTTTTCCCCCCAATCACCTTGGGAAAGAGAGCTAATTGTGGTATTGCTGAATCAAAGGATATACACAATTTTATAACTCTTTGGGCAAAATTTCAGATGGTTCTCCAAAATGGTTTAATCAGCTCACAAATTTTTCCACATCCCCTCTAACATTTGTCATTTTATCATTTTAGTCAACTTGATAGATGATATCTCAAAGTTGTTTTAATTTGCATTTCTCTAATCAAGAATGATTTAAGAGCATTTTTTCATGACCACATATAGTTTTGATTTCTTCATCAAAAAACTGCCTGCTTATATCCTTTTACCATTTATCAATTGGGGAATGACTTATATTCTTATAAATTTGACAAAGTTCTCTACATATTTGAGATATGAGACCTTTATCTGAGAAACTGTCTAGATGTTTGCTAAATTGAACTATTAAAAAAACCTGAGGCAGTAGTGAATTACTGTCCAACTAGGTACGTGGTTCAAGAATCTACTTTTTTAATGAAGAAATATGTTCACAGTGTCAAGACTTTCTCTTAACAAAAATGTCAGAACTAAGATAGGAGAAACAGCTTACCGCTCATAGGCTTCAATTACTGTGCAACGGGGCTGCAAAGATTCTGTCCTAATCTGATCAGTAACATCTACCCTTTTATCAAAATATTGACATGAGCCCTGTATGCCATCCTTATTGTCCAAGATCATATGGATGGGGTAAACATCTTCCAAAGGGACTGGGTCTCTCCTTGACTCCAGGATTCCAGTTTCAAAGTCAATTTCTTCATATCTAAAACGAAAACACAAATAATAAATCATGCTGATCTTCAGAAAACGAACTCTCAACATTTTCTACTGAATCTCCAAAGGAGAACAAGTAGATCAATCAATCAATCAACAAGCATCTGTTATGTACTAAGTGCTAGGGAATACAAAGAGAAAACAGGCTTTATTCTCAAGAAACTTACATTCTACCAATGCAGACAACATTTATCTATGTAAGTATATACAAAATAAATGTGAAGTCATTTAAGAAAGTAGGACACTAACAACTGGAGGGATCAGAAAGGCTTTTCTGTAGAAGCTGCTTGAGTTCATTCTGAAAGGAAGTAAAGGAGACAAGGTAAAGGTGAAAGAGGGTACTCCGAGAATGGGGAATGGCTAATATAAAGGCATGGATACGGAGAACAGAGTGTAATGTATAAGGAACAAGGAAGGCCAGTTTGGCTGGACTAGGTAGAATAGGAACAGAATTAATACATAATGAGGCTGGAAAGATGGGCCATCACTGTGGAGTTGAGTGGGGAAATGATATGGTCATCACATGACCATGACCATGGTTTAAAAAAAAATCACTTTGGCAGCTCTGTGGAAGACTGGAGTGGGGAGAGACTTAAAGTAGGGAAACAGTCAAGACAAGACTGTTGGCTATAAGGTGATGTCTAGATATATAGTGGAAGCAGAAATGACAATTGATTGTACATATATGGTGAGGGGCTGAGGAGAATACTGAGATGAACCTGTGAGTCAGGAAAGATAATGGTGCCCTAGACAGAAACAGAGAAACAGGGAAATTTGTAAGAGACGTGGATTTGGAGCAAAAGATACAAAGTTATATTTTGGATGAGTTTAGTTTGAGATGTCTCTGGGACATCCAGTTAGAAATGTTCAACAGGCAATTAGTAAAGTAGAATTAGAGCTCAGAAAAGACTTAGCTGCACATAAAGATCTGGGAGTTATTTGAATAAAGATGATAAAGTTAGATTGCTCAATTTCCCATGTAGCCTTAGGTACAGACCATTTTCAGAGGCAAAGATATTCCAGCAGAAACCACCTTTCTATCCTAGCAGCCGACACAGTGATTTACATAAATTGGGTGCTTAATCGATGCTTGTTTAATTTAGTTGAATCATGCCCTCCATCTCCAACTCACTAGGGCTATCCAGAGTACAATATTTCTCATCTGCTTTCAAAGTTTCTCCCTTAGATCTGGATCACCTTGGTTTCTTATCATTTTGGGCCAAGCTACCTCCTTACTATTTTCTCCCCCAAACTCCATGCCCGTCAACCTCCTTCACAGGATGCCATCTACCAGGTTCCCAATCTCCTTTAAAGCTCTCCCAGATTCTTCTCTCTTTTGCCTGTAACTCTCACTATACTACCATCCATTCAAATAAGTCTGACTGGCACCTCTATGTACTGCAGGTCACAAGATCCAAGCTGGGAGTCCCTGTTGTGCTAGTTTTGTGCCTGTGTGTCCATGGACAAATCACTTCTCTGATCTGAGCCTCTGCTTCCTCAGATAGGGGTTAATAATACTTGTGCTATCTACTTTACCAGAGCGTCATAAGGAAAGCACTTGGTAAACTTGAAAGGATTATATAAATGTTAGGTATTTTGCTAATGTTCTCCAGTATACAAAGTAGAGTCAGTAACTAAGCTGTGCTTTCATTTTCCCTCAGGCATTTCTTACATTTCTCTCCTTTGGCACTTTCATCTTGAAATCATTAAGGCATAAATTGATATAATTTTGAGGAGTTTGCTTTCTTTTTCATAAAATCTTTCTACCTGTCCCCTATAAAAAAAATGCTAGTACATAAGCTGTAATTGTCACTCTGGTAGTCAAATTGTTTATGTTCGTAAAGAGCAACAAGTATCACATAAAATCATGTTTCTAGTTCCTCTCAGAACATGGTGAAAGTAACTCTAACAAGCCAAGAATAATCTGTGAGTTCTCCTGCCATTCAGCTTCAATTTTTTAAATGGTTTTATCCAGAGCAAAAATGTCAATATATAAGTGGTTCAATTTTTCTGGTGGTCTACCAGTTTATCAACTGAATCACTGGACAGTTATCTCATTTTTAGAGTACCAAAACTTAAGTTAATGTTTGCAGACAATCTAAAAACTGTCATTCTTAGCATCAAAAGCAAGTAAGGGTATAAGACTATTATATATTCTTATCTATGTCATAGGTTTCCGTTGTTCAATGGCCAACATTCTTCAAAAAAGAAGCTCTGAGTTTAGCTAGGTTTGGTTCTCACACAGTTTCTAAAAAATCAGCAATAATCTCTAAACAACCAAATAAATCTATAGTAGTAGCTAAATAGTACAGTGCAGAGACTGTGAGAATTGGAGACAGGAAGATTCAAATTGAAATCCTCCCTCCAACACCTGCCAGTTTTATAATCCGGGACAAATGACTTCACCTCTCTTGGCCTCAGTTTCTTCATCTACAAAACAGAGACAATAATAATACCTTTCTCACAATCAAATGAAATGCAAGACTTAAACCAGTATGTAAATGCTATTCTTATTAAATCTCATAATCCTTTCATTCTTTTTAACCTGTTCTATTTGACTCTACTGAGCGCCCTCTCCTAGATATCTCCTCTATGGGTTTTTGCAACAATACTCTTTCCTAGTTGGCCTTCTACCTGACTGGCTACTCTTATGCTATCTCCTCTGCGGGCTTATCATCCATATTATATCCCCTAACTCTGAGTATTCCCCAAGGTTTTGTCCAAGGTCCTCTTCCTAACATTTTCTGTGTCACGGACTCCACTGACAGTCTGGTGAAACCTACGAACTCCTCAGAATGTTTGCAGATGCATATAATAAAACATATAGGATAACAAAGGAAGTCAATTACATGGACAAAACAGTTGCACATTTTTAAAAAAATTCATGGACCCCAGAAAGTCCTACACTTTCTTGATAATCTTATCAACTCCTATGGGTTTAGTTATCATCTCTATGCAGATGACTCAGATATATATCCATATCTACAAAGACAGACACAGCCTTATTCTCTCTGCTGCCTCCAGTTCCACACCCCCAACTGCCTAATGGATATTTCAAAGCTGACATTCTACTCAAACTCAACGCTTAGAAAACAGAATAAACTCAGCATCTTTTTCCCCAAACTTCCCAACTCCCCTATTTTTATCAAAGGACTACTATCCTTCTAGTCTCCTAGGTTCATAATGCTGACATCCTAGATTTCTCACTCTCCCTCAATCCTCAATCCACATACTCAATCAGGAGTCAAATTCTGTCATTTCTGTTTTCACAACATCTCTCACATCTGACCCCTTCTCTCCATTCACACAGCTACCAGCTGAGTCCAGGCCCTTACTACCTCTTTGCTAGATTACTGCACCATTCCAGCCCATCCTACATACCGCTGCCAAAGTTACTTTTCTTAAGTGGAGACCCGTCCATGTCACTACCCTGTTCAATCAACTCCAAATAAAAACTCTTCTGTTTAGCTCCTAAAATCCCACACAGCCTCACCCCAACCTCTATCTCCAGACTCAAAGGACATTAATTACCATACTACCTTTGTACTTAGTGAACCTGCCAAACTATTCCTTTCTTTGCTCCTCCCATGGGACTCTCCATCTCTAATCTCAGTGCAACTTTGGGCAAGTAACAAACTCTGCGAGGTTCTGATTCCTCATTTATAAAATGGGGGTAATAATGCTTCTGATATTATTATATTTTATATAGCTATTGTGACACTCATCTATAATACCAAATTTAAAATGCTTTATAAGCCTCAAAGCATCTTATATGTCAATTGCTATTGCTGTTGTTGTTTTGCTTATTTCATTTCCTTTTTCTTCTTCTCTGAGTGTCTTTGGTTGCTTTCTTTTACTATCTTGCTTATTTTCAATTTGGAACGTTCACTATCCATCTGGGGTGGGGACTCAGGAGCTGAGCTTATGAACTCTCTGCTTTCATGCCAGAGCTTCATCTACCTTACTTCTTGAATTCAAGATCTATACGCACAAGGCGAGGCTTCTATGGTGTCTTCAAGTCTTTGACTGCTTTCGTTTCTTAAGAATGAACTATATTTTTTCATTAACCACAAAAATCCTTCTCTTGGTGGTCAGGTGATGCTGGGCCCTTAAAGGCTATGTTACTCAAGCACAGGTTCTGGCAGGATCTTCCAGGCTGGCAAAATTTCAAGTATTGTATAATCCCAATAGATTTTTTTTCTATTATTAAGCAATCAACAAGTATTTATTAGGTGCATATTATGTGCCAGGCATTGTGGTAGGTGCTGGAGATGCAAGTGCAAAGAAAGAAATAATCTCTAGTTGCAAGGAACTTATATTCTAATAACCAAGCTATGTGTGGGCTTTTTATCTCTCTCTCTCTCTCTCTCTCTCTCACACACACACACACACACACACATACACGCACACGCGCATATAAAATATATACTATGTATAATACATACATGCATATATACACACACAAATATAGTAGTGAACAAATACAAACACAGATGAAGTATTTACATACAAGGTAGTTTGGGAAGGAGGGCACTCACAGTTGGGAGTTCATGTAGAAAATGGCCAAAGTGAACCAGGCTTTCCTGACTCCAAGAATAACATCATACATACACTGCCACTCCAAAATAACAGATCCAGATTAAAATATCCCAAAAAGAAATCACCACAGGGCAGAGAAAATTAATTTTAATAATGATCTAAGAAATGAAGCTGGACCTAGTACAAAACATCAAATTGAGCCATACACATTTTAAAGGAGATGAAGGAGGATTTGGCATTGTTAAAGAAAAATGTGTCTTTTGTAATGGGACGACTATTGTTGTTAAGAAGAGAGCAAGACAGACTGATAACAAAAAATCAATAGCAGAGAAAGTGGCAGAAAATGTGAATAAAAGAAGGGACTCAATGAGGAAAAAAAATCTCAGACCGTAAAGCCAAATTGGCAAATCGGGTAGAAAATGCAACAGAACACGACGAAAAGATAACTAA